CGAGAAGAAGACGTTCTCGTTGGGAGTGCTCTGCCGGATGGCATCCAGCATGGACACGGCGAAGTTCTGTTGGCCCTTGTAGAGGTTAATCCGCTTATCCAGTAGGTTCGCGTCGGGCTCAACACCACAGAGGCCGGCTAAGGCGATGGCCGGCAGAATCGTCACCACCACAGATAGACTGAGGATGTTCATTTTGTGAAATTTTGTAGGAACCCTATAATAAGTAAAAAAAAATTTTGTTAATTTTTTATACATTATATAAATAAATACAATAATAAATATATAAAGGTATTAGACCCCTAAATTTGGTGACCTTGTACTGTCGATTTATAAAATGTACTGTTTGCAAGTGGTTCGTGACTGGCATGGAATCCTCCGTTTATTTCCCATTTTGTTTGTAATTCCCGATAAATTTATTAGACGACAAGAGCTTCAAAAGCGCACTTGAGTCACACTGATTTATGAAGCCCCCAGAAAGGGTTGATACTTCCATTAGAGTCATAACAATAAAATGTCAGAAAATACTTTCAAATAAAGCAGATTGATGTCTGTGGAAAACCCTGACAAATTATGGGAGTAGTAAAATTAGAATTGCGAATTTAAGATAATTAGACAGTTACTATCGTGTGGTTACATAAATAAGGAGAAATATTGTAAATTACACAGAGTTTTAAATTATCTCATTAGCATTTGCAGTAAAGCTAAGAAAACAATTTGGAATTCTTAGAGTCGGGTTTCTTAAATGTTAAACAACTTGTAACATTTTTTTTCGCTAGAAAAATTTAAAGTCATTTTAAAGCGAACGGATTAAAATTATAAATCAAAAGACCTTGTTAAAAATCTTTAAGCAAATATTATATCGAAATTTGCTCTCGGCCTCGTTGAATATCGCTTTAGGCTGATTCATTGAAAAGCTTTTCCAGTCCATCAAGTCGTTAGTTGTCTTCGGACGACAATTGCAACATCTCTGCAGCCACGGCATATGAAAGTGAAAGTTTCCGCCGCTCTGCACTCAAAATTCGCAATCCGTACATAATGAACCCCATATGCATCCATCGGAGCATGAAAGAGCGTCCACATATCGGGAGCTTTATGTCGGCCGTAGCTCCAGTTTTTCACCAGCTGAGCGATGACGAAGTCCACAGTTGCGTGACTGCAGCGCAGGCAATGAAAAGCGCTTTGTGTAAAAATAAAAAACCCAAAATTAACATTTCCGATAACCGGTTGCGGATCCCACCGGCGGACAGCACCACTATAGTATATGATTCATAAACGGCACAAATTGTTGGCGTTTCGTATTTTTACGCGTATGCTCATTGTTGACCCTGTATTGGCGATTTTGTAATTGCTTTCTGCTGTTGTTACTCGTATACCTTTATACCCCTCAGACGTAACGCTTGTTTCTGCGCATGCGCGGCGTTTTTGTGCGCTCTCGAGTTTTTGGGAGAATCCAAAAATATTGAACAACCAGTTTTAACTGATAGGAAGCGGACATGTCAGCCTAAATTAAGCTGCATTGAACTTGGATTAATGGGTTAGACAATAATAACTTTGAAATCGAGCACTTGATTTGAAGTTTATTAAAAGTAATTAATCCGGCTTAATGAACTTGAAACTTCTAAATTTAACTTACTTTACAAAATAATTGTAGTACGCTTTTTGCAAAAGTTACCCTGAACTTTAAAATATTTATTTTTTATTATTCAGGAGTATATTTTTATAAAGTAAATAATTGTGGTTTTTTATTTAAGCAAATTCTTTGTAGAGGGAATTTTTGTAGATTACTTGAGTGACTAAAAACTTGACACTGTACCCAAAGAAATTTATATTTAATATAGCTGGACAATACCCACAAATTTTTTATGACTGTTTTTCTGTATTATTCATAATAAAATCATCTTTTTTCTTGGAACCCGGAGGAAACTAAAAATTAAATCTGATAAGACAACGAAGGAAGACTCAACGGATTCTCGCTGAAGAGATCAATTAAGTCAAGCTTCATGGGAACTTTATAGATATTCCTCATTGTTATTGCAAAAAAAACCGCACATACAAAAAAGTAGCGCAAATCAGAGCCTCAAATACACAAATTCATATATGCATGTATATAAATATGTGCATATACATTTGTGCATGCTGATAAGTATTACAGAAATAGCGACGCTCAACTATCAACCCGATTTGTTAAATGGTAGTCACGAAGCTCCGGGGAAGTTGAACAAATTGGGACAAACACTTGACAAGCACTGGGAAATACCTTCTTTGAGTGTAGGCTTTGAGTAGCACCGAAATCGCACTATAACTTGGACCGACTTGAGGTCTGTTCACCTGCGGCTAAAACTAGAAACTGAATCGATCCCGAACTGTAACTGGGGACTTATTAACGGCAAGCGCAGCTTTGATATCGATAGGCGGTAATCGGTAGCCAACAGGTGATATTATCTCTTGAAACGGTCACCCCAGAAAATGGGTTGGTTCAACAGGTATTTTAGTTGTCTCCGAAAGTAGTGACTGCCAATGTCCTCTAAAGCCCTATCAAAACTGTACATATTCTGGAAGACCAGAGCATATTCAGCGTATTTTTATCACAGAGCTCACAATTAAAACACGTTACTACAACAAGTACAATTTGGCGAAAAATCCGTTAAAAAAAAGAAAGCTGTCCAAAAAACCATAGATTTTCGAAGTACAATTTGATTATCCTTTAATTGTATACAAAAATTGCTAAATCAATCAGAAAATATGTTTTTTTTTTAATGCTCCATTTCCCTGGGGTCACTATAGACGCCGGCGAACAGGATCGTATGGACTCTTTCATCATAGATGATGAACACAAACGGATGGTCGCAAATGAACTTGGTGGGAACGGGTCGCCCAGCCGATCGGCTGGCTAATAGGATGGTGGCCGCCGCAGCGGTGCTTCCCATCTCGTCCACCTTGATTTTGGCCATGTGTTGGGCGCCATCGATAGAAATGTGGTCGGGAGTCAAGTTCTCAAAGGTGGAGCCACTTCCGAACGTCTTGTTTATGCCCATATTGCCAAGGATCTAAGGAAGATGCAGCCGATTAGCTAAGATAATACCTTTTTATATGTACAAGTATGCTTACCGGAGTCAATACCAGACGCTGCTCGAACTGGAACTTGGGCACGGCCACCTCCAGCTCGCGAGGGATGGACTGTTCAACCAACGTCTTAAGGCTATCTGCATCCAGTTGGGATATTAAATCATTTACATTGTTATAGTTGGAGGTCGGCAGAATAAGGACCATAGAGACATCGGACTTATCCTCAGGAGTTAATAGCTGATCATCTTTCGTTATGAATTTAGTCCGGTAGGGCAGCTTGAGGATTTGAGCTTGCAAGTGTTCATCTATGTTCATCTTGAAGGTGGCACTCTGGTGCATCATGGGTACCATTGTTTGCTCACGGTCATTTATATAAAAGGGCTGCTGGGTGGTCTTCTCCACCTTAAACTGACTGAGCCACGCCCCCTTCATGTAGGCGGCGTTGGCCAGGACCAACATGGTGCGAGAGGTGATTTCATCGGAACTGAGCATGTCGCGGATCTGGTTATGGGTTTTTTTGGCGATCCACTCGTTTATTGTCTTTAGAGACTGCGCTGGTTGGTTCTTGAAGTCGATTGGTTCTGTTTCGTCGTATAAAACGGTTTTAAAGTAATCGATCACTTCCACATTTTTGTCCACGTAAATGCGGTTTACCGACGTGAGCTCCATCGGACTTTGATGGAATCGAGCTAAGTGTATGACCTTGTTTACTGTGTAAGCGCTTCGAACCTGCTCCTTGTTAAAAGCCGAATTTAGATTCAGCACATTGGCCAGCTCCTGCTCTGTCTGTCCTGAGGATGCGAAATAGGCCAGAAGCAAGGCGTTATAGGTGCTGAACGGCGAGAAGAAAAGGTTCTTGTTGGGATGGTTTTCCCGGATCTGTTTCATCATTGTTATGGAAAAGTCTCGTTCTCCTTCAAATATCCTCGAAAATCCCTGAATATAAAATTGGGGTGGTTTGTCACGTACGGCTAATGCCAGTACGGGGATAATCCCTATCAGAACTAGGCGGAGAATGTACATTTTTTGGCTGGGTCTGAAAATATAAATTTAAAAAATTCCTTAATTTTTAACTTAATAAAAGGGATGGTTTTTTTTTGTTTCTAAAATCTTTTTAATTTCCATTCCTTGCCTAGATTTTGAATCATTTTTTTTTTGTATTATTATACGACCTTCTTATTGCTCATATTTATGTTTTCTTTTGAAATAACCTATAGGTTCGTCTAAAGATAATACAGTTGGATTTTCCCAAGTAAAAATTTCAATAAGCACATTTCGTTGTGTTTTATATAGGTACTATATTTTTCTAGAATAAAATTGATATTGAATGTATGAAAAATAAATTAATTTATTTTATAGACACGTGTTCTTCCTTTATTATCTCGTTTTTTTCACAAAAATTTTATTTTTCATATTGATAATAGTTCTTAATATGAATATGAATGTACATTCTGCGGAAGCTGTTGTGTATTGATATTGTTTTTATTGATATATTTGATTGAAAGAATACAAAAATATAGCCAAGATTAAAATGTATTACACTAGTTACCTCTATCAAGTATTTTTAAAAATATAAACTTAAGACGTCTGCTCAACCGCACATGAAATCTTTAACTGAATCATTCGGCAATTAAACGCCTAAGCCAAGCTCAGTTTTTAAAGTGTGATAGATGGCACAGCTGATATTCGCACACTACGGTACCACCAATTGATACGAAATACGTTCCAACTTTGAAATAATGTTAATTTGTTCTCTACCTAGAATAAAAGTTTAGGAAAGGTCGTTTGCTCCGATATTTTTCAAAAATGTTTCTCAAGTTTAATTTGATCCAGTGTTCTGATCTTTGGATTTAAATTTCTTTATTATTCTTTATTTATTTAATTCAATGAAAGCCGATAAAAAGTATTAAGAAAGCTATCAAAAAAAGCGTGGGTTTTCGAGGCACAAATTTATTAGTGAACATTTTTAAAAATTTGATTATCCTTTCATTGTATACAAAAATTGCTGAGTCAATGAGAAAACAAATTCAGTTTTAATGCTGCATATCCCTGGGGTCACTATAGACGCCAGCAAACAGGATCGTATGGACTCTTTCATCATAGATGATGAACACAAACGGATGGTCGCAAATGAACTTGGTGGGATCGGGTTGCCTAGCCGATCGGCTGGCTATGAGGATGGTGGCCGCCGCAGCGGTGCTTCCCATCTCGTCCACCTTGATTTTGGCCACGTGTTGGGCGTCATCGATAGAAACGTGCTCTGGGGTCAAGTCTTCAAATGTGGAGCCACTTCCGAACATCTTGTTTATGCCCATATTGACAAGGATCTAAAAAGGATGCAACCGATTAGTTAGGCTAATAGTTATAGGTTAATATAATTAAACTTACCGGAGTCAATCCCAGGCGCTGCTCGAACTGGAACTTGGGCACGGCCACCTCCATTTCGCGCGGCATGGACTGTTCAATCAACGTCTTTAGGCTATCTGCATCCAGTCGGGATATTAAATCATTCACATTGTTTTCGTAGGAGGTCGGCAGGATAAGGACCATGGAGACATCGGACTTATCCTCAGGACTTAAACGCTGCTCATCTTCCTTTTCGTATTGTGTCCGGTAGGGCAGCTTGAGGATTTGAGCTTGCAAGTGTTCATCTATGTTCATCTTGAAGGTGGCACTCTGGTGCATCATGGATACCATTGTTTGCTCACGGTCATTTATGTAAAAGGGCTGATGGGAGGTCTTCTCCACCTTAAACTGACTGAGCCACGCCCCCTTCATGTAGGCGGCGTTGGCCAGGACCAACATGGTGCGAGAGGTGATTTCATCGGAACTGAGCATGTCGCGGATCTGATTATGGGTTTTTTTGGCGATCCAGTCGTTTATTGTCTTTAAAGACTCTGCTGGTTGGTTCTTGAAGTCGATGGGTTCTGTTTCGTCGTATAAAACTTTTTTAAAGTGATCGAGCACTTCCACATTTTTGTCCACATAAATGCGGTTTACCGACGTGAGCTCCAACGGACTTTGATGGAATCGAGCAAAGTGGAGTACCTTATCTACTCTGTAAGCGCTTCGAACCTGCTCCTTGTTAAGAGCCCAATTTAGATTCAACACATTGGCCAGCTCCTGCTCTGTCTGTCCTGAGGAGGCGAAATAGGCCAGAAGCAGGGCGTTATAGGTGCTGAACGGCGAGAAGAAGAGGTTCTTGTTGGGATGGTTTTCCCGGATCTGTTTCATCATTGTTATGGAAAACTCCCGTTCTCCTTCAAATATCCTCGAACGTCCTTTAAGGAGGGATACATCTGGTTTGTCAAAAACGGCTAATGCCAGGACGGGAAGAAGCCCTGGCAGGACTACGCTGAGTATGTGCATTTTTTTGCTGGCACTGAAAATGTAAATAGGAAAACCCATTAGTCTAAGAAATTCTTATTTTTTGTTTTTATCACACTTGCCACTTTTCGGGCTATTGTTTTGGTTAACTAATCTGAATATTTTTTCGTTTTTTTATATGAACTTTTATTGATTATTTTTTTGTTTTCTTTTGAAATGACCTAGGTTCATCTAGAGATAGTACACTTGGATTTCCCTGAGTCAAATTTCAACTTGATTGCAATGAGCACCCTTCGTTACGTGTTGTATGTATTTTTCTAGAAAAACATATCATAAATTAAGAATTTATATGTTTCCTAAGAAAGTTTGTGTACTTTATGAACTGTTATTTTTGGATATCAAATTCTGAGTGTTAAAAATGAATATCCTTATTTGAGTTGAATTTGATATTGAATGTAGAGATTAATTAAATTTGTTATATATTTAGACACGTTTCCTTCTTGGGAGTTTGATAAGGTAAGCATGGTATTAAAAAAAACGGATGATTCATCGGAGAAGCAATCTCTTTGTTCATTTATTGTTTTTATTATCTTTTACAAAAATGTATATTTTCATATTGATAAGAGTTCGTAATATGAATATGTATTCTGCGGAAGCAGTTATGTATTGATTTTGCTTTTATTGATAATGATTGGAAGAATACAAAAAAAGGGCATGATGAATAAGACTAATTACCTTTATCAAGAAAATCACAGAAATTAAAAAAAAAATTTAAACTTAAGACGTCTGGTCAGCCGCACAAATAATCTTTGACTAATTCATGCGGCGTTTAAACGCCGAAGCCGAGCTTGACTTCTGAATCGATAGACAGCACTACGGTCTCACCAATTGATAAGAAATATTTTGCATTCCCATTGTTTATTTTTTAATTATTTTTAAATTCGTTCTTTATTTAAACTAAAAAAGTCAAGAAAGGTAGTGAGCCTAGATTTTTTCGATCTTTAAAAATGCAGGCTTAAAACCTAATTCCAACTGGTTTATTTGATTGAATAATAATTTTTTTATCATTTAATTTTAATAAGTGAAACTATAAATAATTCAGTTAGATTTTAACCTCTAACCTCTAAATCGATTAACGATCTGTATATGGTGAATGAAAACCCAGTCACTGTTTTTTGAGAAAAGCGTGACTTGCACAGAGCCCCGCGACCGATAACCGCGAAAGCTTCTGCCACCACCAGCAGCACAGCATCACTTACCAACACTGGCAGCCAGCCACCACCGCCACCGAGCACAGTCGCGAATTGACAACAAAATTACGCGATAAACAAACCGAATTTGCTGTGCGCTGTCCGAAATGAGTGCGTCGGCCAGCACGTCGACGGCGGCGTCCCAGGACGCCTGCTACATATCGCTCCTTGGCCTGGCGGAGTACTTCCGCACCTCGCAGCCGCCGAACATCAAGAAGTGCATCCAGTGTCTCCAGGCGCTCTTCACATTTATGCCGCCCTCGAAGGTCGAGGCGCGGACGCACCTGCAGATGGGCCAAATCCTGATGGCCTACACGAAGAACATCGATCTGGCGCGCCAGCACCTGGAGAAGGCGTGGAGCATATCGGAGCCGCTGCCCAATTTCGATGTCAAGTTCGACACCGCCTCGCTGCTGGCCCAACTGCACCTGCAGACGGACATGAACTCGCACCAGGCGAAGGCGATGCTGCGCCGCGCCGTCGAGCTGTCGCAGCACAACGTCTACTGGCACTGCAAGCTGCTGCTCCAGCTGGCCCAGATCCATGCCAGCGATCGCGAGTACTCGCTGGCCTCCGAGCTGCTGGCCGTGGGCGCCGAAAGTGCCGACGAGGCGAGCGCCACGTACCTGAAAGTGCTCTTCCTGCTCTCCCGCGCCATGATCCTCATGATCGAGCGCAAGACCACCGATGTGCTAGCCCTGCTCAATTCCGCCGGCCAGATCATCGACAACAACATACCCAATCCACACCAGAAGGAGTACCTCAAGGTGTTCTTCCTGGTGCTGCAGGTGTGCTACTACCTCGCTTTGGGTCAGGTGAAAACGGTCAAGCCCAGCCTCAAGCAGCTGCAGATGTCCATACAGACGATAATGGCGCCAAATTGGCCCACGGACGAGGCGATTTTCGGGGCCAATCAGCTGGAGATGTTCGTGTGGCTGCCCAAGGAGCAGCTCTATGTCCTCGTGTACCTGGTCACCGTTTCGCACTCCATGATGGCGGGTTACATGGACAAGGCGCAGAAGTACACGGAGAAGGCGCTTACCCAAATCGAGAAACTGAAACAGCAGGAGGACAAGCCGATTCTCTCGGTGTTCAAGGTGATCCTGCTGGAGCATATTGTGATGTGCCGCATGGTGATGGGCAACCGGGAACTGGCCATACGGGAAATAGCCGCCGCGAGGGACGTCTGCCTGGCGGCACCGCAACGCAGCCTGCTGCGGCGGCACTCGGCGCAGCTGCACTGCCTCATCGGCCTGTACTCCATGTCCACCAGCTTCTTCGAGCACGCCGAGCGGCAGTTTGTCGTCTGCGTGGGCGAAACGAGTGAGCGGGACCTGAAGCTGTTCGCCAACCTCAACCTGGCGATCATTTACCTGCGCACCAAGCGCGAAACGGACCTCAAGCAGATCCTGGACGCCGTGTCCACGGAGAACACGCACACGTACAGCAGCCAAGCGCTGATGGGGGGCTTCTACTACGTCCAGGGCCTGCACGCCTTCCACAAGAACAGCTTCCACGAGGCCAAGTGAGTACAGTACTGAGAAATCTTTTAGGCGTATTGATAACTTTTTATCTTTTTCCTGTAAAGACGCTTTCTGCGGGAGACCCTGAAAATGGCCAATGCCGAAGACCTCAACCGACTGACCAGCTGCTCGCTGGTCCTCCTCTCGCACGTCTTTCTCAGCATCGGCAACTCAAAGGAGAGCATGAACATGGTGACGCCGGCCATGCAACTGGCCAGCAAGATACCCGACATCCACGTCCAGCTGTGGGGATCGGCCATACTCAAGGACCTGCATCGCATGTCGAAGGATGTGCAACACGAGAAGGATGCCTATGCCAACCACGTTAAATACTCGGAGAACCTGATTGCGGACCAGCGGAAATGCGTGCAAAGTGCGCACCACGAGCTCGTCAACTGGTTCCAGGGCGATCCGCCCGTGACAAGCGGTCCGCCTGCCTCCGCCGCCGCCGTCCTGCTCCTGCCCGACTCCTCCGTCGCAGCCTCAGTCGCCGTCATCGCCTCCACATCGGCAGCCATGCAGCCGGCGGCGCAGTACGGCCAGTTCTACTAGCAATGAGATGATGATGATGCAATGTACCATTTAAGCTTTTATTTTTATCTACGACCTAGCGACTAAGTTAAGACTAAAGATGTACTAAAGTTGTGAGTTTTGTCATAAACTGTGCTCCCCAGGGGAAGAAGAGTAGACGGAAATGTAAAGCAGACAAGTTGTGCTTGCTGTTTTGGTTGAACAGGAGTGACCTTAGAATATAATCAATTACTTGGTTATCTAAGAGATAAACATGGCTCCCACTGGTTGCACAGTTCCCTCATCCGCTTACAACATTAGCGCAGTCTCAGTTATCTCATTTAGATCCTCCTCGAGGGCTCCGCTTCCGTTCTCCTTGTTGCTCAGAAAGCTAAAGTGTACCAGCCGTTTGTCGTGCTGCTCGTGACCGGCCAAATGCGATCGCATGTCGGGCATCGACTTGAACTCCTCGCTGCACACCGGGCAAATGTAAATGCGATCGCCTTGATGGGTGCGCTGGTGCATCTGGCAGTCGCCGCGTTGCGTGAACGTCTTCGAGCAGAAGGGACAGACATACGGCCGCTCGCCAGTGTGCGTCCTTCGGTGGTTCTTCAGCACATTCAAAGCGGTGAATCTCATGGGGCACAGATCGCAGGCGTAGGGCCGCTCGCCAGTGTGCTTCCGTTTGTGCTTGGCCAGCGAGCAGCTGGTGGTGAACCTGGCCAGGCACACATCGCACTCGAAGGGCTTGTCGCCGGTGTGGGTGCGGGCGTGCGAGGCGAGCTCCGCCTTGGTGACGAACGAGTGCGGGCACAGCTCGCACTTGAAGCTCTTCGTCTCCGAGTGACGCAGCTTGTGCTGGCGCAGATTGGCGTTCTGGGTGAAGCTCTTGCCGCAGATGTTGCACAAAAAGGGCTTCTCGCCGGTGTGGATGCGCATGTGGTCGCGCAGCGTGGACAGCATGGTGAATACTAGAAATTATTTAATAATAATTAAAAGGTTCCCCCTTAAATCCGCATTTAGCTTACCCTTCTGGCAGACGTTGCACTGATTGCGCAGATTCCTCTTGTGGCCCTGCACCAGGTGCTTGCTCAGTTGCTCCTTGGAATCGCACTGCATTCCGCACTCCTGGCAATTGTGAGCACCATGACTGGCCTGGTGCTCGGCCAAGTGATCCGGCGACACGAAGACCTTTTCGCACTCGTTGCACTTGAAATTCCGGTTGATGCAGCCCTTTTGGCGTCTGTGGATCATCAGGGATTTCTCCAGCGCAAAGCCCGCATTGCAGCGATCGCAGTGATACTTTAGTTCAGGTGTTAGAGGTGCAGATGCTGCTGCTGCTCCTCCGACTGCATTCAGGGATTTGCGCTGTGTTCCCAAGCGAAGCTGCTTGGAGGGAGAAGGTGATTCCGGCGTGGCCGGCACGTCCTGCTTGACCACTGCCCGCCGGCGAGAAGCTCTTTTAGTCGGCGGCGACACTTCCTCTTTGGGACTCGCAGGATTCTCTTCCTTTTCGCCCTGCTGCTGCGTTAAGAGCTTGGCGGCGCTCTTTCTGGTGGTCACCTGCGGAGCGGCCACTGTGATGACCTCCGCTTCGTTGTCGACGCCCTCGAAAATGGCCAGGTTACATTCCCGGATCTGCTGCTCCAGCTCGTTGTCATCATCGCCCGCCTCGTAAATCACATTGGTTTGGGTGAACACCACCTGCTTTTCGTCCTTCAAGCTGCCTGGGTGAACCTGCAGGATGAGGCTGGTGGTCTTCTCGACGGGCTCATCGGGCAGCTCGTAGTCAAAGACCTCGCCCTCGCCGTCGTAGTCCAGATCCACCGAAATCGTCGACTTGACCAGGCTGGTGTTCTGTTCGGCATCCGTGGTGGCCACCGCCTCCGTTTGCACGGAGGCAGTGCATCTGCTGGGCTCCCAGCCGGTCGTCTGCACAGCCTGATCCGCCGTGGACACCGGACTAGCGATGGACACCTTGTTTTCCGGCTCCGGCTCCTCGGGCAGGGCATTCGGCAGCAATTGGCGCAGGGTGCGACTGGAGTTCTCGCACTTGATCTTGAAGGTGTAGCACCTGGAGATCTCACTCAGGCAACCCAGGCACACTTTCTGCGGGAGATTGTCGTTGCGGCGAGGCTGGAAAACAAAGGATTAGTCGGATTAACATGGAAATCCAGCTGACTGAGAACCGCGCTCACCTTGGTTTTCGTGAAATCCCGGATCATGTCAGCCAGGCAGCTGCCCGATCCGCCGTCGTAAATGGACAGAAAGGGTTCCGTCGAGCTCAGGCAAGTCAAGCAAATCTTGTCCACATCCATTTCGCGACGCAATCTCAAGCCAATCTCCAAAAAACAAAATAAAACAATTAAAAAATTAGTGGTATGGCTGCAGTGCGGTCTGGAGAAAATACCTATGTAAATAAGATGAACCTGGTCACACCTTTATTGCTCTTGGCGGTTCTTTTTTATTTCGAAAATAATTTTCAGAAGTTGATTGGAAGTTATGATATCGGTTTTTAAAGCCGTTAATTGCAAACTATAATTATTTTTAATACATTTTTTAGCTACATGATCTGGAACTTGGAAGCTATAGCTTTTAGAACTTGGTTCAAGTTTTTTTTTGATTTTTCTTTAATTCAAATAAGTAAATATAAGCTTATAATCAGCTTTAGATTTAGTCACTAAAGTATCGCTCATCTCTATAGACTTCAAGTACTTGATAAAGATAAGCTCTTTCAGCCACAATCAGTAGCATAACTTAATTGTATAGATTGAAATTATGTCGAAATCAGAGGAGTTCACATTTAGGCGTGCTCAAGCTGAAGATATTAAAGATGTGCTTTCCATGATTCAGGTTAAGACTAATAGGATTCCCATTTGATGAAGTTTATAATTTTTACATTTTTGGCAGGAACTGGCGGATTTTGAGAAAATGAGCAATGGACCCCAGCTTACCGAAGAGGGTAGGAAAATAAATATTTTTAAATATGTAGTCACCAACTAAAATATATTTTACCCATTAGACCTTAAAAGAGATGCTGGACTAACTGGAGGCCAGGAATATTGTGAAGTCTACGTGCTTATAGACAATGCCACAAGGTAACATTTACAAATATTTGGTAAGATAAAAGCGAACAAATAAATTTCTTTACTTTTTTAGCCAGGCGATTGGCTACTCCATTTGCTACAAGGCCTACTCCACGTGGCAGGGTCGCTACTTTTTCGTCGAGGACATCTATGTGCGTCCAGAGCACAGAAAACGCGGCGCCGGCAAGCGAATCTTCCTGGAAGTTTCCGCCCGTGCGGTGGAGCTTCAATGCCCGCGGCTTGAATTCAATGTGCTGGAGTGGAACCCCGCCCGAAAGTTCTACGAAAGTCTTGGAGCTGTGGACTTGACAGCCAAAGAGGGGTGGCACTACTACCGCGTTGAGGAACAGCAGCTGTCCAAATTGGCCAAGGATCTATCTGCTTACAAATCTTGATTAAATTCTTTTTTAAATTTTTACTACTTCACAGTAGAAAGATAAATAATTAATAATACTTGACCACAGGTCATATATGCTACGAGTACATTGCAATTGTTTTATATTCTATTTGGCTTCTCACTGATCCCCGGCCACACTGGCTATGACATGGATCTGCATGCTCTTCGTGGAGTTGTAGACCTGTCCGGGCGGAAAGGGATGCACCTTGGAGTGGGCATCGGTCTTGCTTTTCCCCCCAGCCGTGTACTTTGATAGTCGGATGCTGGGCATGGGCAGGAATCCCGTACTCAACGGCATCACATCCAGGGATATGGAATGACTGTCAACGTCTTTCATGGACACGACACCTAAAAAGGTTCAGTTGCAAAACATTAGTCGGGTGATCACAGAATTTAGATCATAAAAGTTAGGCAAATTTATGTTTTAATGTTATGTGTTTCCAATTAAAAGCAAGGGCATATCTAGTTAGTGCTACGTGTGTCCTACACCAGAGAACTTACCCATATCTTATAATGCAAAAGTGATTCGTGTGTAGAGAAATCAGAATTAAATCATAAGCAAAGACAGGCGGAAAAGTAAAAGGACTCCAACTCACCCGCTGAGCGACCGCAGACGGCCCACAGATTCTGATCGTTGAGCACCTCGTACATGAGATCCGTGTAGGGATTCTCGTGGACCTTGGTGATCTTCAGGTTCATGTTGCACACGGTGCGCAGGCGGCACAGCTCATTGGGTTCCAGCTGCGCCTGCAGCTTAAAGAGCGTTGTGTAGTCCACCAGATCGAAGGCGCATCCATAGGTTCGCCACACACCGGTTTGCGAAAGCGGCGCGTATTTGATTACAAAGTGCACCTTAACGACGGGCAACTCGTGCTCGGTTTTGAGGGGCTCAACTTGGATCTCATACAGAAAAGTGACAGTCAGCGATTTGTAGATTTCCTAAAAGATAAACCATAAGTATCTGTATTAGAGCGCTTCGTGAATAATTCAATTTTTGTTTTATCATAGTATGCCATGCAATTTCTGATTGGTTTAATTCAATTCTATGTGAAATAAATTGAATGTTTTTCTAATTCATTTCGAATTGAATGAATAATTTGTATGATTTTTTTGAAATTTCCAGATTTTCTTTGAGTTTTATTTTGAGAACAAAAAGTGAAAAAATTTTAACAATTTTAACTGCTTGGAAAATAAAATTCATGCAGATTAAATCACATGATGATGGCACTTTCTTCTTCAAAAGAAATTGTCGTTTGAATTATTTCGGAATTTATGACATTCATTCATTCAATTCTATCTATTAAACTCAAAATTCTAATTAATTCATTCATATAAAAAAATTCAAAATATTTTATGGAATCCATTCATGGAGGGCTCTAATCTGCACAAAACATTCGACCGCTTTTCACTTACAATGGGCTGACTAGGCTCTGGATTAAGGTCCAACAGTTGCACTCCGGGAACATCGCACTTGACCTGAGCATTCTGCAAAAGAAGATGCGCATCCAGGCCCTTCATGATCACCTGCAGGAACTTCTGAGTGCCGCATGTGTGAAGCCGACAGGTGGCCTCCATGGCTGGTTGAAAATCAACGGGGATGGGCAGCTCAGTTCGCGACCACGGACAACTGAGGGCAATGTGATGCTCGTGGTGCTTGGACACCTTTCGGCCCGGCATATCGGTGAGCACCTCCAGTGGAATTTTGCGTTCCTCGAACGATTTGAATTGCACCAGCGGCACTTGAAGCAGACTCTCAAAGGATGCATCGTCATTGTAGGCTGCTTCATCCGTGTTATTCCGCGCCTGTCGTATCCGTAGATTCTTGGAACAACGCAGGGTGATCTTGGCATCCGGCGGAAAGATGAAACTGCCACCGGAAACATTCAAGCTAATGGGCTGCACTATTCCAGCAATTAGGGTTTTGAACTCCAGCGAAGCACTCGCCGGCTTGGTGCTGATCTCAAAACTGGGCGGTGTGAAAGGCAGCTGTTCCGACAAGAACTCTAGACTGGACATGCTAACGCAGAGCTAATAAAGATACAGAAAGAAAGTGTTAAACTTCTGACTAAGAACGAGAATCCTATATAAGGACATACCTGTTTGAATTGCCAGCTGCCCACTCTCGTAGCCTTTGCCTTGAGTTCGATTAGGTTTACGCCCGGTTGCAGGGCAATGTTCTCCGCCTGCACAAAGTTGGTGAAATCCGCCTGGACACTGGGCGATAGCTTTCTCTTAGTACTGCTGGTACGTCGAACGGGTTGCTTGCTCTTGGGCATGTCGCAAGACACGGCGGCAGAATGGAGGCGATTGTCCTGTTTGTAGACTAGCTGAAGCGAAACTTTTAAGCGCGAAGTGGACTCCTTGACCTTAACAGGAGATGGAGCAGCAGACAGACTGACATTCTCCATGGCCATTTCCAAAGAAGCCGCTTGCAACTCATAGCAAAGCTTTATATTTTCAGCCACAATCCCACGCGGATAGAGACTCTCCACTTTCAGCTGCACCAGGATGTAGTCATCCTGTATAATAGGTTTCTGGTTAACAACCTCGATGTCGAGCACCCGAAAGTGATCTTCCAGCACACAAAAATTGGCATTCTCCATGGACGGCTGTGCCGATAGAGTCGTCTTTAGGGTTTTCAGCGACTTGAGAAACTCGTCGAAGTAGAAGGTTCGCACCAAAGTTTCCAGTTCGGCGCAACAGGAAATGGAGCTGCAGGTCTTGGTGTAGGCCAACGAATCGCCCATCTTGCGGTAGCAGTTGGCCAACTCAAGCAGCGTTTGGGAGCTCAGCATGTGCCAGTTCTCCGCCTTCAGTTCCCTCAGAAGATCCGTGAAGAACCCAACAGCCTTATGTGGTTCGTTTAAAGCACAATAGAAGTTGCCCAGATCCAGGCCCACCAAACGAGCCGATCGCAATCGGGCCACATGCTTGTACGTACTGATGGCGAGTTCCGCCAGCTCCAAGTAGAGTTTCTGGAAGGCCTGATTTGAGCCCAGGGCCTCCTTTAACTGCTCGGCAGCCGATTTCTTGGGCTTTCGATTCGGCGAACGTTCACGGAGCTGAGGAGTAGCCTGCAGGAATTGATGTTGCTCCGGCGGGGCGTCTCCTATTCCCGACGACAACTGCACCACTATGTGCAGCTGCTCCGAAGTGGGCGTACAGCCGGGCAGCAGTCCGCACAACTTGCCCAACTCATAGAGTTTGTCCTTGGCCAGGTTCCAGATGGGAGCGCAGTGCTGGAAGCACGTAACCTCGTTGGGCTCCATGGCTTGCTCGCAGAGCTGCAGAACCTCCAGAGCGCAGACGAACTCCCAGCACCAGAGAGCGCCCTCCTGGCACTCCAGCTTAATGAATTCCACCTCGCGCAAGGTGGAGAAGAGAAAGTTGAGGAGTCTCTTGGCGATCTCCGGGATGTCGTTGCAAGTGAGCAGTAGATAGGCTTGCCGTTCGAACAGATAGTTGCGGAATTCCAGCAGGGAAACGCCCTCGTCGCGTATCTTGTTTCGCATCTCGAATCTATCCGGTCTGGTTAGGCAAATGCCATGAAAGGCGTCCAGAGGCCGACGAAAGTGGTTCAGCCACTGCTGCTTCTCGTTGAGCCCGGTGTGCGTGATGAACTGTGAGAACATGGCGTCCAGTTCATCGTACTGTATCAGCGCCTCTGTGGGCAATTCCAGCTTTTCGAAGATCAGTGCCAGATCCTCCTGCATGAAGAAGTACTGCCGGAAGTCCCAGCCATCCGCATTCCGCTTCTCCCGTTTGCTGCGTATGAGTTCCTCGTACTTTACAATATTGCGATTGTAGCTGGTGAGCATTAGGAAGCGGATGCGCTGCACCAGGCAGCGGAAGGATTCCGTCGACTTCTGCTCAAACTTGGCTGGATTCAATACAGAGATGCAGCGATCGTCGTTCTTGCTGCCAAAGTCCAGGCGTATCTTGTCCAGGACAGTGGTGCGTGGCATGAAGTTCTTGGTCTTTCGCATGTCCAGTGTCTCCACCAAGAGAATCATCCAGTCCGAGATGCCATAGCTGGTCAGGATCTTTAGCCAGGCATCGATCTCCTCCCTGATGGTGCCCTTGTAGGTGTCCACGTCCTGGAAAATATTTAGTTCGGGGTGATTATGGGATTCCTTTACCATTGGCCAACTCACATTGCATTCGGTGACGAAGATGTGCAGTATTGGGTGCTCCAGGATGCTCCAGTCACCCTGCTTGTACTTGTCCAGCGGCGCCACATTGAACTGCTGCGTCTGGGCCTCCAAGCGAACGTGTTTCGTGGGGCGTTGGAAAGTGCGTCGCCACTCGCAAGTGTCCAGGGGAATGGCGTTCAGGATCTGCGACTCCAGCGAGCGGAACAGCGGGCACGAGCCAGAATCTGTGGGTAAAATCATTTAGGTTTACATGCCTAGGAAATATGGTTTATAACTCACAAGTAATTATGGGCTTTATCTGCATTGTTTTTGTATATTTTTGTTTATTTCATTGGATAAACGAAAGCCACCCTACAATCGCGGCCAAACAGCTGATTAGAAAGCGAGGGCGTGGGAATCGATTGTGTTTCGATTATTTGCTATCAGTTATCGGTTGTCCAAGCTTTATTTAAAATTATGATTTCAAAAGTGATAAATGAAATGAGATGCCTCTTAAAACATATTTAAGCGTCATTAAATAGTTTATTACACCAAGTTCGAGATATTTCTGAGCAATCAACAGGTGTTTCTTAGTAGCCCTAATCAAGGGCGTAGCCAAGAGGGGTTAACAATTACATTAATTAAGAATAGTAAACAAAATGGTTGTTGCAACTGTTAAGACTTTCTATATTAATTTTAATTAAAGCTCAAGTTTATTGTTTCTTTAATAAATATTTAAATAAGCTACACCCCCTTTCCCACGCCCCTGTCTGCGTTGGCTTGGCTAAAAATCGATACCACCCACTGTCGCCTATCGAACAGCTGACGGTGAAATCTGGTTTGGAAGCCAATTGGAAACAATGAAGAAATAATATTTGCGCGTAACACGCCAACAAAATACACTCGCGGGACACTTTCACTGAATGCTCGACCAGGACACGAGCGGAAACTAGCTGGCCCCACAATGGACATGGCCAGGAGCATCTTTGGCCGCGACCACGAGGGTTACGTGGGCCGTGAAGAGCATACGGTGGGTGCAAATTGACCAGAAAAGATTGCTTATCATGGTAATTAATATTTATCGTTCCACCTTTGCTAACTGCTAACTGCCAACAGCGCAAACTGCAGAACCTGGGCTCCGAAGACGATTTGGGCGAGCTGCCGCCCATGATGGAGGAACTGAGTGTGGCCGATGGCCTGCGTCCGAATCCCGGGGGGCCATTCTCCGCCCTCACTGCCTCAATGTGGCCGCAGGAAATCCTGGCCAAGCTGGGCGGCGGCGCCGAACTGGCCTCCGGGCCAAACGATCAGCCGGAGTACCGCTTCGATGAGTTCGGCTTCCGGGTGGAGGAGGAGGACGGACCGGAGCAGAGCTCCAACAAATTGCTCAGCATCCCGTTCGTGGAGGACGCCCAGCAGCGGCTGCAGTGGATTGCCCACCTGGAATTTTCGCACAACAAGGAGGCCACCGAGCTCAGCTGGGAGCATGTGGACGTGATGCTGCCACGCACCGAAAAACTGCGCAACATGGTCCGCCAGGGCATCCCACACACCCTGCGCGCCCAGATGTGGATGCGTCTGTCTGGAGCGCTGGCCAAGAAGCAGAAGAGCGAGACCAGCTACCAGGATATAGTCAAGGGTAGGATATAACACTTGAATAATATAATATATTAATATTCTTTTATTTTCCTAGCCTCCAGCAACGACCAGCTGATGACTTCGAAGCAAATTGAGAAGGATCTCCTGCGCATCCTGCCCACCAATGCGTGTTTTAGCAATCCCAACGGAACGGGCATTCCACGACTGCGGCGTATACTAAGGGGCATTGCGTGGCTCTTCCCGGACATCGGCTATTGCCAGGGCACCGGAGTGATCGTGGCCTGCCTGCTGCTCTTCATGGAGGAGGAGAACGCCTTCTGGATGATGGCCACCATTGTGGAGGATCTGTTGCCGGCTTCCTATTACAGTTCCACTCTACTGGGCATCCAAGCTGATCAGCGCGTGATGCAAACGCTCATTGCCAATTACCTGAGCAGCGTGGACGAGTCGTTGAGGAAGCACGACATCGAATTGTCACTTATTACGCTTCATTGGTTCCTTACCCTATTCGCAAACGTGGTGCACATGAAGATCCTGGTGCGCATCTGGGATTGGTTCTTCTACGAGGGCTCCATCGTGCTGTTCCAGCTGACGCTGGGCATGCTCAAGGTGAAGGAGCAGGATCTGAAGCACTTGGAGAACTCGGCACAGATTTTTAACTCGCTCTCCGACATTCCCGGCGAAGTCACCGACGTCGAAGTGCTTTTCCGCCAGGCTTTGGAGGTGGGCGGCTCGCTTAGCCAGACGGTAATCGACACCCATCGTCGCCGGCACCTGGCCTATCTCATGGCGGATCAGGGCCACCAGATAGGAAACCCCGAGGCTGCGCCCAATCTTCCCAAGCAGCAGCTAGCCCGGCGACAGGTGCGCAAGAGCAAATCCATCCTGGAGGCCTTTCTCTTCCGCGGTGACGCCAGCGAAGGGGATCAGTTGAAGAACAAGAACATACGGCAAACCGAGATCCTGGTGGACCTAAGAGAGGCTATTCTTAAGGTGGGTCGTCATTTTATTACCATTGAACCCAAGTTGTCCGGCCACATCCAGCTGACGGCCAACTACAGTAGCGAGTCGCACTCCAAGGACCACGAGAACTTCATCAATGTGGCGAGGACGCGAAAGCGACGGGCCAAGGCTTTGCACGACTTTGAGCGTCACGATGACGATGAGTTGGGCTTTCGGCGGAACGACATCATCACGATCATCAGCCAAAAGGACGAACACTGCTGGGTGGGTGAGCTGAACGGCCTGCGCGGCTGGTTTCCGGCCAAGTTCGTTGAACTGCTGGACGAGCGGAGCAAGCTGTACACTTCGGCGGGCGACGATGCCATTTCGGAGACAGTGACGGACCTGGTGCGGGGCACTTTGGCGCCGGCAATCAAGGCCTTCTTAGAGCACGGCATGAAAAGGCCCACCTTCCTGGGCGGACCCATCCATCCCTGGCTGTACATCGAGGAGGCGGCCACCCGGGAAGTGGAGAAGGACTTTGAGTCGGTCTACAGCCGCCTGGTGCTGTGCAAAACGTATCGACTGGACGAAGATGGCAAGGTGCTGACGCCCGAGGAGCTGCTTTACCGCTGCGTCCAAGCCATCAATCAGACGCACGACGATGCCCACGCCCAGATGGACGTAAAGCTGCGCTCGCTCATCTGCCTGGGCCTCAACGAGCAGGTGCTGCATCTCTGGCTGGAGGTGCTGTGCGCCTGCCAGGAGGTCGTCCAGAAGTGGTACCACTCGTGGAGCTTCATCGACTCACCCGGCTGGGTGCAGATCAAGTGCGAGCTGCGCATATTGTCGCAGTTTGCCTTCAATCTCAACCCCGACTGGGAACTGCCGCCGAAGCGCGGCAAGGAGTCGCAGCCGCTCAAGGATGGAGTGCGGGACATGCTGGTGAAGCACCATCTCTTCTCGTGGGATCTGTGAAGCTCGCCCGCGCCTTGTACAATCAACCGCGTATCCCGTATATCTCATCGCTCCCCCTCTCGTTTCTATAATTTCCATGTGCAATCGCAATCCGCTTTTAAGTACTTCTTTCTGTTGTCGTACGCCTAACTTAAGTGCTTTACCATAACGATCTTTAGCTGTAACTACTACTTTAAATCGCCCTATGTATAGCTCGAGCCGTTTGTTTACTTAATGTCCATCCATTACTATAAAAACCTAGACCACACCAATCTACTAAATTACAAATGTAACGTACCTTTAAATTGAAATCAAATCTTATAAAGTACATACATATTTATTACTATATACACATAGATGTTTAGCTGTCTAAATGCATTTCATTAAAGTTTAATATATATATTTAAATTGTACACAAACCGGATGTATTTTTCTCTAGTTGCAGACCAATCCCAAGTAGTCGTCCATCAAGGTGCCAATGGCGAACTAAGAGAAATGTAAACTTGAGATGGGGAAAAACTGGTGTTAAGGGAAAACTTACGATTCCTGTGGCATCCACACGGGTTCCCACAATCTTGAGGCGAATTTTATCCTCTCCGGAGATGACCACGTCCTCATCTTTGCTCTTGTAGCAGGGCGGATTACCATTTGGACAGAATTGCATGTCGGCGGGAATAGACTAGACGAGATTACACGTTAGTAATGCAAGATTCTAAGATAATAACTATGTTTTTTAACCCACATGATGCGAGATGAAGCAGGACAGTGGACCGATCTCCGCAAACATGCCCACTTTGTTGATCTGCTTGACCACCGCGTCCAGCACTTCGCCCTTGAAGGGCCGAAAGACGATGGCTTTGTACTTCACCGGGTACACCACGAATCCTTGGCCCGGCTGAATGACACCGGATCCGATCTGGTCTATCGTCGTCACTGCTATCACGAATCCGTACTTTCCCGTGCAGGTGCCCTCCACCTCGGAGTAGAGTTTCTGCTTCACGGTCTCCAGCAGCTGCGGGCCAAAGTAGCGTGGATGCAGCAGGATCTCGTGCTCTAGGGATATCTACGATGGTGGAGGGTTACTTAGTACTTCCTTGACTCCTTAATAGCTTTACTCACGTGGTAAAACATGGCTAATTGTGGTTTTTTAGTTAAAAACTAAAATAAACAGCCGGAATAAATAAAAAGACGCCGCCACTCAGTGTGGCCAAACTCGGCGATGCAAAATATACCAAATATGAGGGAGTTTGCCGCCAATAATGAGAACCATCTGCTTAGGGCGGGAAATTTGAAAATAATATCTTTAAAAATAACTTTTCCCTAAATTCATAAAATTTTTCCGATTAAAAATTAGCAACCACTTTTTTCCCAAAAAGCCTAGCGTATTTATTTATAAACTACACAATCTAATCATCTTTGAGGCCCAATGTAAAGTCTTGGGAAATTTAAAAATATAATTTGTAAAAAGAACTTTGCTTTAAACTCATAAAATCTTTCTGAATAAAAATGATAGACAACTTTTGTTTCCCAAAACGCCTAGCGTATTTATTGATAAATTACCTACACTCTAAAATTCACTATAAACTACACAATCTAATCATCTTTGAGGCCCAATGTAAAGTCTTGGGCCTCCCCTCCGTTCCGAAAGATGCGCACATAGGCGGACTTGAAGCCAAACTTCCAAATGGCGATGTAGGGCAAGTAATAGGTCAGCACGTCCACCAGCCAGACGCGGAAATTAAAGTACCATCGCACCAGGGCGTACCTGTGCAGGTAGGTGACTATGAAGAGGCCGTAGCTAACGATAAATCGATCCCACCAGCCCATGTCGTAGTAGTACAGCTTCTGCTGCGGATCCTGCTGCACTCCGTTGTCATGATCGAAGCTAAAGTACTCGTAGCCCTTGACGCAGGCCAGTCGCTTGGCGAAGAATATGTTGGCGTCCACCGAGAACATGGTGTTCATATGCCAAAGGCCGTTGATCAGCGCCTCTGTCATGCGGTAGAAATCCTCGCCGGTGTTGGCCAAAGCTGGTTCGTAAACCTTTCGCATCACAATGTCCAGGCGAAGCTTCGATTCCGCCCAGTTGCTGCCGCAGATGTTGTACTCCTCCTTGATGCCCAGCAGATGGCCCAGCACACGCCACATATGCGTGGTGGCCTCCAGGAAGTCCTGGTCATTGAGCTTTATGCGATGGGCACCCATCGTTATGAAGCCAATGAATCCGAACTGCGTCAGGGCCAAATCCTTCTGGGTGATCTGGCCAGCTCCTCTGCGGGCACAGGCATGACTGGAGCGACTGTGTGCCTTCCTCACGGCCGCTATGCTGGTCCAGAACTTGCTGCCACGGTCCAAAATGCTGTAGTTGTACCAGGCTTGCGTGTGGAAAATAGTGCGCACATAGCGACGGTAGGCCGTGAACGCTGTCGAGGATTGGCGTGTGCACGAGAGCACCCGGAGAATCGAGGGAACGGCTAGCACCGCAATTAGGCCTGCCAGCATTCCGGCGTTCATCACGAAGCGGTACTTGCTGAAGTAACTCTGACCACTGTAAAATAAAAAGGGTGTTTATTACTCAATCAAGTTATTCAGAATGGATAATACATACATCAATTATGTAAGATTTATAATTGTTTCATATAGTTGCCCGTTTTACATTTACATTTTGAGCAAGGATTTTAATACTAACTAATTTTAAAATTTGAATAATAAATTTAGTATCTTATTTATATGAAAGCATTTTTTTAAAAACTTTAATTGTTTTTTATTGAGAATTCAGGAAATTTTAAGGAATTATTTTTTAGCAGTTTCGATTAGTTTCCCATTTTACATTTACATTTTGAGCAAGGTTTTCAATACCAACTATTTTTAAAATTTTCATTAAATATTTAGTATATTACTTATATGGAAGCATTTTTTTAAAAACTTTAATTGTTTTTTATTGAGAATTCAGGAAATTTCAAGGAATTACTTTTTAAACTGTTTGGAATAGTTTTACATTTTACATTTACATTTTGAGCAAAGATTTCAATAGTAACTAATTTTAAAATTTTCATTAAATAAAATGGGAGAATTTCGTAAAATTTTTTATTTATCTAATTGAGAATTCAAGGAAATTTCAAGGAATTATTGGTACTCCTTATTAGTTGGATTTAGATATTAAATGTTAAAAGCAATAAAACATGGATAATTTAACTATATAAACTTGTACTTTTTTAATACTTGTTGCTTTCTAAGCTGTGCTTGTTAAATATAGTTTATGATCGCACATTTTACCACCACGTATTTTCCACATTTTTAAATGCCTTATGTAGTATACTTTCAAGTTTATACTTAAAACCCATTGGACAATTAGTCACGCAACTTACCGCCTGAATAGCTGCTCATCGTACCATGGAGGTAGTTCCAGATCTGCCCCGCTGTCGCCCTCCTGACTGCCGTCCTTGAGCAGGTGCTCCAGATAGTCCTCCGGGTTATCCAGATCGAGGAGGCGTTCCTTTGCCCCCGCCCCCGCTGCATTATGACCATCTTTGGAGTGCGCCGCTGACTGCATTTTCCCACTGGCCCCTGGAAAGTGATCAAAGCGTTCGAAGAAAACGAGCTTGAGGGCCAAATTCAGATTACACAAGTGAAAGATAGAAGAAAGAAGAGACAAACAAAACCGTCGGCGTGCCAAGAGAGAAAGTTTTTCTTCGGGCCCGATGGCCAATTGAAAGCGAATCCCCTGTGCACTTACACGTCTCACAGTCCGTGGGGTCGGGCATTTTAGATGAGCTGCTACTGTTCGATCCATCAACCTGCATGTCGGCCCAATTATTGCTTGTTAAACTATTTAGCAAAATCACCAGTTTAGCTCGTTATGTGCAAAAACATTTTACACCCACAAAGGGGGGGAGAATTGCGATGGCTGTGAATCACGGCTGCCCCGCGTCGTTGCGGCCAGGGAACTGAACTGCAGCTGCCGCAGAGGCCCCAACAAATAGTAATCGTAAGCCGGTCATTGGCGCGTAAACAGGTTTCGAACCATTAAAGCTGATAACGAATTTAGTAAACTTTGTTTATGCAATTGGGTGTGATAGCACATGCAACCGTTGAAATATACCATTGGGCTGTAGGAAAATATACTAAAAAATCACAGTCACTGCTCACACCGTGACTTTGCTATCGTCATCGCTATCGAACATGGCAGCTCCGCCGGCAATCGCTTGCATTGCATCTCTATCTCCGACGACGCGCTTGCAAAAAAAAAGAGGAAATTAGACATTTCCAATTTTGCGCTGACGTTACGCCGTTAAAAGTGTCTTTGCCCAGCGAGAAACTTATTATACGCTTACCTCTTTGACTTTCGGTCAAGTGTCGGTTGCGCAGGCTTCGAGTCCGCAGCGGGTTTCATTAGTTTCCGTGCACACGTTTTGCCGCTTCGGCTTTTGTTTTGGCGCCCGAATTTTTCGGCTGCCGACTTCAGACGCAGACTGAGAAATTTCGTGCCAAGAAGCCTCGAAATGGTGGATCGCAGCGACAATGGTAAGTAGAGCACGGGGTTTGCTAATAGCAGTCTGTAACCCACGTCCTTTAGCAGCGGAATCCTTCGACGACGCCGTCGAGGAGCGCGTGATCAACGAGGAGTACAAGATCTGGAAGAAGAACACGCCGTTCCTCTACGACCTGGTCATGACGCACGCCCTCGAGTGGCCCTCGCTGACCGCCCAGTGGCTGCCCGATGTGACCAAGCAGGACGGCAAGGACTACTCGGTGCACCGGCTCATCCTGGGCACACACACATCCGACGAGCAGAACCACCTGCTCATCGCCAGCGTCCAGCTGCCCAGCGAGGATGCCCAGTTCGATGGCTCGCACTACGACAACGAGAAGGGCGAGTTCGGCGGCTTCGGGTCGGTGTGTGGCAAGATCGAGATCGAGATTAAGATCAACCACGAGGGCGAGGTCAACAGGGCGCGCTACATGCCCCAGAACGCCTGTGTGATCGCCACCAAGACGCCGTCGAGCGATGTCCTGGTCTTCGACTACACCAAGCATCCCAGCAAGCCGGAGCCATCGGGCGAATGCCAGCCCGACCTGCGGCTACGAGGCCACCAGAAGGAGGGCTACGGCCTCTCGTGGAATCCCAACCTCAATGGTGAGTACTGTACTTAGGGATAAAGTCTATTGAGTTTATCACAGATAATGCATTGATATACACAGAAAGAAAATAACATTTCGATGTGGTACTTAATAGTACAGACATATGGGCACAAGACAATATGTCGCTCGGACATTTGCACACCTTTAAAGTTGAAAAAAAAAATGGATTTTCTTTTCACTCTTACACAGCTCTATTTTGTGTAAAAATCTTGATTTTTTACCACTTTTAGTTTTTAAGATATCGTTAAAAAAACAGCATTTATTTCCTGTATTTCTTTACCTCTATCCCTCAATTGCTTGCTGTTTTGCTTAAATGAAGCATTATTTGCTTAAATAAATGAAGCATTCAGTACAGAAAAATGACACATAGATATAATTATTTTTTTTTACTTTTTTCAAACATTTTATTTTAATTAAAACTGAATAAATCTAGAATACATCCCGATTAATCAGTAATAACCTATGAACATGATAACAACTATGTAAATTTAAAACGTATTTAACCTTACTTAGGGAATACTATCTCCAAAAGGTAGAGAAATTTATAAATCTTGTATAACTAGTATTTCAACAATTCAAATATTCCGATCCTTACAGGCTACTTGTTGTCGGCCTCCGATGATCACACCATCTGCTTGTGGGACATCAATGCCACGCCCAAGGAGCACCGGGTGATCGATGCCAAGAACATCTTCACCGGACACACCGCAGTCGTCGAGGACGTCGCCTGGCATCTGCTCCACGAGTCTCTGTTCGGCTCAGTGGCCGACGACCAGAAGCTGATGATCTGGGACACGCGCAACAACAACACCTCAAAGCCCTCGCACACGGTGGACGCCCACACGGCCGAGGTCAACTGCCTGAGCTTCAATCCCTACTCGGAGTTCATCCTGGCCACTGGATCGGCCGACAAGACTGTCGCCCTGTGGGATCTGCGCAATCTGAAGCTGAAACTACATTCCTTCGAGTCGCACAAGGACGAGATCTTCCAGGTTCAGTGGTCGCCGCATAACGAGACCATTCTGGCCTCTTCCGGCACCGACCGGCGCCTGCATGTCTGGGATCTGTCCAAGATCGGAGAGGAGCAGAGTTCGGAGGATGCTGAGGACGGACCGCCCGAGCTGCTCTTCATTCACGGCGGCCACACGGCCAAGATCAGCGATTTCTCCTGGAACCCCAACGAGCCGTGGATAATCTGTTCCGTGTCCGAGGACAACATTATGCAGGTGTGGCAGATGGCAGAGAATGTCTACAACGACGAGGAGCCAGAGATTCCCGCCTCCGAACTGGAAACCAACACCGCTTAAAGCATCTGTTCCGCGTCGCGTAACTTTACACACCCTAAATTGCAACAGAAACCGATTATGTTTTGGCCGTGCCCGATGTCCAGCTATCCAGCCTAAATGGCAATGGGTACTCATTTTAATTTATATATATTTACATATTTTTAAAAATTAATTAAGCTCTCATTTGTCAGCAGAACGTACGATCTACGAATCTTTAATTAAAAATGATTTGAAAAACCCAGACGTGTAGTTATTTTCAAATCTCAAAGGTTTCCATCGTATTTATTATGTTCTATTCGAATACATTAAACTACCATGTATTTGTGCTTTTTGCCAAATACTTCTATATCCACACTGAGTGCTCTGATGTCCTCCTTATGCCTTCTCGATGTGATTTTTCCCTTGATGACGTCTCCCTCTTTGACATTCTGTGGCTGGTCAATGAAGAAAACCGTCTGCTTCCAATGGGTGGGCGTCGCAGTTGGTGATGTGCTGAACTCGACGGCGGAGGGCAGTTCAAAAAGCGTATCAAAATAGCCCACAAAGGCGGATAATCTACCCGCTTTCGTGACCTTCAAGCTAAACTGATGACTAAAGTTGGGATAGTTAAGATCTACGGTCATTATGTCAAAGTTTGCTATCTGTTCGGGATCCGTTAGCATAAATTCAGGGTCCACCACCTCCATGAGCGGCTCCTCGATGGAACGCTTGCGCAGATCGCTCATGTCCACCCCGTAAACGTTGGACCAGAACTCGACTTGCTCGGCATAAAGCGTATCGTTGCCGTAGCCCAAAAGGCTGAGGGTGCAGCGACTGGGCAGGATGATGCCATTGGGGTTAAGGTGATGCTCGCGGGCATAGATAATGCTGTCCAGCATGGACTCGTACAGCAGGAAATAGCCCATCCACTCGGAGATAATGATGTCGTATTTCTCCTCTGGCAGATCAGTATCCTCCAGCCGTCCCTTAATCAGCTGAACATTCTCCACTTTGTTTTTTCTGAAGTAAATTGGATTGAAATCATATAATATAAAAAAGGGTATGTTTATTTACCTGATGATATCCATGGCCGTGTACACGATTTCAGAGTTGTCTATACCGACGACGCGGGCAGCTCCCGCCTTGGAGGCGAAGATGGAGAGGATTCCCGTGCCGCAGCCCACATCCAGTACTGTCTTGCCACGAACAACTGCCTCGTTTTGAAGCAGGGATGCGCGATAGGTGCTGGTTCGCACCTTATCGCTCAGCATTTCGTGGTGGATGCCAAAGTGCGAGTAGCTTTTGAAGTACTCGTTGTCCAGGCTGGGATTGTTACGCGGTACGGAATTGCTGGAACCCTTGGGTTCGACGTCACTGTGGACCTTCTGCAGCAGCTCCTTGTAGTCGTTGCGCATGCGTTCCATGTCCTCGTTGGCCTGTTGCAGCAGTTGGGATTGCTCTGCAATCCGCTGCTGCAGCTCGGGCAAAGTAGCCTGGGCCGGAGTGGCTGTATCTGTCCTGAGGACTTCATAGTCGTAGCACAGCCAGGGCTCGTAATCTCCCGGCTTGAGGTACTTCTCATCCTGCCACACCGCCTGCTCCGCGGAGAGCAACTGCTCGGCGCTGATCTGGCTGGCTCTTATGTAGTTTATCAGTTTGATGAAGGAATACTGGTCCATTTGGAATTTCCGCTGAAGCTGCGACAGATTAACCTTGTGCCGGGCGTCCAAATGGTCGATGGCAGTCGATATATTTGGGGAGGTTTCGGTGCAAAACAGACAAACGGTCGGCTCCTCGCCCTCATCCATTGCCTCATCCTCGTCGTCGTCTATATCGTCGTACTCATCCTCGTCGGAGCTGGAATTGGCAGGCTCCTCTGGTGCCTCCTTCTGGGGCTCCTCCTCCTTGGTGGTGTCTGAAATGTGTTCGAGTATTCTTTATAATTAATCTTTCACAGCTTTGGCGTACTCTCACCTTTGACCTCGGTGTCTTTCATGCTAGCTGTGCCTGCAACTCCTTTAGTCCTGCTTCTGGAGTCCCAAAATAAAATGTGTTGACAATGACCACAAGTTTAAAAACGTTAACTAAAATATCACACTTTTTACGCGGCGCCAGCACGTGCGGAATTTCAAGAAAGGAAATCTCCTAACGCGATTTGGTATATTTAATAGGTTTCTTTACAGGGTATCATAGGGGATATATTTTAAATATGAAATATAAAAGAATATTTTATTTTTTTATATATTGATGCCAACAATGATATTTATGAATGAAAAAATAATATTTTGTTACAAATTTTTAGGGGGATTCCCTAAACTGTTGAATTGCTGAATTGTTGAAAATTCAACAACAAATTTCAGCAATTAAGGGAACGACCCAAAATGTTTCCTGTTGAATTTTCAAACAGCTGTTATTTGTTGAAAAATTTCACGGAACTTAAAGCATGTAAAATTTGATTTATTATTGCTAGTTACTGTCTAAAAGTGTTACCAAGGTAAAAAGAACCACAAATATGCTTTCAAAGTTTATTTTAAAATAAATAATGCGTACTGGTGATACTAAAATGTTACAGAGTTGCCACGACTTTTAAAAAAAGGTGACAACTCTGGCTTTTCAGCAATTCAACAAAATTTTCAGCAGCCCCGAGGCTGATGAATTGCTGAAATTTCTGAAAGTTGACTTTGTATGGAACAGCTGATTAACAGCTGACCAAAATTCAACAATTCAGCAATTCAACAGTTTAGGGAATCCCCCTTTTATAATACAGGGTATGTTGGGTGCTTCACAAATATCTTAAAGTTTATGGTATTTTCCAGTATTATTAAAAAGGCGTTAGGTTCATTTTAGCTGTTGGCGCACTTGCATAATTCTAGTTGTAAATAAAAATATGTTGCAGGTATTTAATCCCAATTTATTAAAGAAAACACGAATTAAACAACTAAACTTATATTCCCAGGCGCTAAAGACTCTCCGCTGGGCACAGCCAGTGCGGGCGCTATCCTCCGTGGCCACCAGTTCAGGTACTCAGGCGAATCTTGCATCGGCGACACCCGCTCCACAGCCGGATAAACTCTACAGCAAGCTGGAGATTGAGCTGCGGGGGATTGACCCGGCGGTTCTGAAGAGCTACACCTGGTTCGCCACCACGGCCGCCGATCACCTGGGCATTGAGAAGGGCAAGTGGTAAGAGGGGGCTACTATATCCACTTTCTGGAAGAGATCTCTTTTAAACATAACGTAATCCCCCTGCAGTTGGTCACCCCGCAAGGCGCACCACGAACGGATGACGCTCCTGAAGTCGGTGCACATCTACAAGAAGCATCGCGTGCAGTACGAGGTGCGAACCCACTTCCGCTACATGAACTTCCACAAGCTGACGGGCTCCACGCTGGACACCTTCCTGGAGTACATCGAGCGCAACCTGCCCGAGGGCGTGGCGCTGCAGGCTTCCCGGACGGAGCTGCAGCAGATCCCGGAGCATCTGCGCCAGCCGCCGGAGCAGGTGTAGCCAAAAGCATAGTTATAATAATAGTAGTTTCAGCAGGAGCTTGAAGATTAGGCTGATAAGCAAACAGAAGCACCGGCAGTCGGCCTCGTTAATCGGCCGAAATCGGGGCCCCGTCCGAGATTAGCGAAGATAAGTGTTTGGCAAAAATATTGAAATAAACGTCGTATCTTGACACACGCAATGGGATCCACTTGAAGAGTGAGCAAACAAAATCGGGGCGGGCGCGCGCTGGCTCCGCAGTAGCTACTCCAAGCCGAACGGAAGCGAATCAATCAGCAGGAGCAGAATGCAGCGGGCACAACAACTCACTTCCAAGGTCCTGCTGGCCACGGCCATCCTCTACGCTTGCTTGGCGCCCGCTGCCTGCATTTACGAGGACACGATCCAGAGTTTCCTCAACGAGTTTCGCATGCGCATGTGCCATCCCATTCCGAATCTGGGACTGCCCGCCTTGGATCCACTGCAGCTGGGTCCTGCCGATACAGAAGTGAACAACAAATACCTGGTGGAGTAAGCTATGGCTAGCATATGTCAAAGGAGAGGTGCTAAATCCTTCCGCTTTCAGCTTCACGGGGTCCATCGACAACTTTCAGTTGCACGGTCTGTCCGACTTCGATGTTCCCGTCCTCACCTTAAACTTGGTGCCTGGTCTGAAGAACACCATTAACGTCACCTTTCCACTCACGCACTTCGAGTCCTTGTACACCTCCAAAGGATCACTGGCCTACATCCTCAACCTGGCCGGCGATGGCAATGCCGCGTAAGGAGAATCTTTTCGAGAGCAGTTGTAGGGCAACTTTCTAACCTTCCACTCTATGCCTTCAGAACCTCTATCACAAACTTTTCCGTCCTCGTTACCTTTCGCTTGAGATCCGTGTCGCCATTGGCCATATCTTCCCTGCAGATTGAGATGCAGTTGGGAAATCTATGGATAAACTTTGACAACCTGATGGAGGAGGAGCGTATCACTGAATTTATCCATGCTCTGGTCAACGAAATGGGCGTGGAACTGCTCGGCGACATCTGGGACTATGGACAGGATACGGTGATCGCCAAAGTGCAGACGGTGGGTTAACCTAGAGGTTATCAGGAAGCAAAGACTTACCGTATATTTTCTCTACTTTCAAGGCTGTTAACAACTTTTTGGGTCAGTACTCCCTGACGGATATTATCCAAATCATAGTTGGAGGAGGCGGCGGCGAGGAAAGTGCACCCATTTTCGAGGGCGTGGAGCCCGACTGCAAGCTGGAGGCCAGCACAAGCAACTAAGACTGAAATCTGATGAAATACCCATTATCTTATATAAGCCACTATTTAAATTTAGCCTAGAAAATATACGTACGTTTAGATTAATAGATGACAATGGGTTGGCACTTGAAATGATACGATTTATGGACCGTTTGACGTTTCTGTTGTGTTTACTTATCAATGCGATAGGGATAAGTCGGTAACAACGTCCTCATTGAACCATCAAAAGCCCATTTGCATTCAAATCCGTCCGTTATCAGCTCCGGTATTCCCGATAGCGCTTTCGACAAAGGCTCTTACTACCTGTGAATACCGAATAATCGGTGTGGGGTCGCGATAAGCCTTATATTTATAGCCGTTTATTGATTTATGGCTGGTTTGCCGGATTATAAACTTGCAGTGGGTCGAAGCTAAGGAATGTTCACCATAATACTTACATGTTTACAAAGGTAGTTTATCATTTAATGTAACCCAGTTCCTCACAATCAAGCTCATAAAACTAAAACTCCGTAAGCAACATTTTCGGGGGGCAGATTGGAAATCTCCGGTAGCGAAGATAATGTATACCACTTGGGCGTTTCCCCCTTTGATAGCTAAACTGTCAGACGAAACAACTATCGAGGAATGTACCCGAAGCTATAAGTGCTTTCGAGCAGATTAAGCACCCAAACATTATGATACAAAATCGTATAAACCTTATATTCGAGTTGATAACTGGTAAAAAAAATGTGATGTACATACATATTTACATACTTAGGCTTATAGCTGCGGGTCCCAGCCCGGGAAAAGCATGCAGAGATTGCTTGGTAACGTGGCTTCGTTTATCAATCTCTCCACTTGGGCCTCGACGTTTGAGTCGCCCAGGGTGCCGGCCTCCCGGCCCTCCAGTTTGTTTTGCACCAGGAGCAGAGCACGCTGGGCAACTAAATTAACCGATTCCTCACCTGAAAAGATCCCAATTGAAGTCAAAAATGTATGGTTAAATACTATTACTAAGTACTAACCGGATTGCTGTGATGCCTGGCTTGATTGCTTCTTTTTAAGCACCCCCCAAATGAAGAGGGGATCGTAGAGCAGAACCTCAAGAATGGTGATAAAGACAGACTTGTAGCGGCGCAGGATGTGCATGGTGGCCTCGCAGGATTTGGCAAAGACTCCTTTCGTTCCACAGATTCCCATTGGAGCCACAAAGTCGCGTGTCAGCCGAAAGGGAACGGTTTCTGGAGTCGTCTGGATTTTGCCCTGCTCAAAGGCAATACCTGAAATAAATCAAACACAAACAAAGTTATCTGATTGAAGAACTCAAAGTTATAAGACGAGTAACTTACCAAAATCAATATGAATGACTTCGGCTGTCTGCTGATCTATAAGAATATTCTGTGTGTGCCGGTCGCCCAATCCTAGGACGTAGCCCACCATCGAGGTGGTGGCTACGCTATTGGTGTACGCCAAACGCCTCTCGAACCACACACCCGGAATGGGGAACTTCTCCAGCAGAAAGTAGTGGAAAACGGGCTTTATATTCTCGCATATTTTCTTGTATATGTTATATCGAGCCTCCTTGGGGAACTTCAGATGGTCCTGCAAATATTAACTATATTTACAAACGCCAAAATTGTCAACAATTATATAAGACGCACCGCAGACAACTTGCGGCATTTGTTATTGTTCCAATCGTTTGGACGATATCGCGCGTGTGCGCCTCCTTTGCCCTCTACTACCAAATAATGGCCCACCGGCATCGAATTGGTGCACCATTCTAGGATGCCACTGCGCATCGATAGCGGAGTGACCTTGTAGGTGCGCAGCTTCAGCTTGCGCTCGATGAACTCGGAATCCTGATTGAGCAGCTCGTTGACAATTCCGAATACCTGCTGCATCACGGCATCCTGCCGTAGATCGTCCTTGCCCTTGACCAGTTGCGCCCGAGTCTGTCCATCGGAGCATACGCACATAATTTTAACTGGCGCATTTAGACCACCACATTGAGTTATGCCGTTGCTCCACTTGACGATGCCTTAATGGAGAGTGATTTGGTTATTAAACAAGAGAGAACGCTATAGTTGGGTGGGTGTCCCGACTATCTAATACCCGTTACTCAGCGAAAGGGAGTGCGAGGGAGATGGATATATAACATTTTTTTGATTGCGCATAACTTATTAATAAATGGTCCGATTTGAAAAATGTCTTCTACATTTTTACAATAAAATTGCATGTATACTTATCGGAAATTTTTAAAGGTCTGGGCGCCAGACACATTTTAAAATTGCTAGTAAGCGTAAGAGGGGGCGTGGCGCTCGGCTGAAATAAACTAGCGCTGCGTAGGAAGCCCAAGAATATGTGTGGGAAATCTCAGCCTTCTAGCTTTTGTAGTTTCCGAGATCTCAGCGTTCATACAGACAGACGGACATGGCTTTATCGACTCGGCAAGTGACCCTGATCAAGAATATATATACTTTATAGGGTCGGAAACGCTTCCTTCTCCCTGTTACATACTTTTGCACGACTACAACATACCCTTTTACTCTACGATTAACGGGTATAAAAACTATTAGCCACTGGTTTTGCAACCTACTTGTTATTTCGTACTCCTTGCTGGGCATCACGGGCAACTCGAGGGTGGGGCAGTGCACAGCGTTGAGATTCCGCCAGCGCCTCACCTTCTCAAACTGCTTCAGGCGAACGGAATCCGAGACCTGTTGATTGTTGTCCGCTTTGCCCTCATTGGCAAATGTGATAAGGGCTGAAAGAACAAAAGAAAGATTAAAATAAATAAAAAGAAACTAATCCTTATCCTTATACCTGGGAGCAACGACTCCAGCTGCTTGCTGCATTCCGCCGCCGCCGTATTCTTTTCGCATATCCTAGCAATTATCTTGCGAGCAACTCCCGATCGCTCCGTATTGCTATTCTCGCCATCCAGGTGGGCAAAGACAAGCGGATACAGATGGTAGAATGTGTGATGCGGATGATCCTGGCCACATTGCACCAGAAGGTCCATCAGCCCCTTGAGCAGACTCGTGTTTTTGGAGTTGAGGCGCGCGGTCAGTTGGTTGGCAGCACAAATAAACTTATAACTGGGCACCGTGAGGATCTCATCCTTGATGGTCTGCTGCAGCGGCTCATTGGTGGCGTTGGTGAACCATAGCGAGATGATGCGATAGATGGCGGCGCTGGAGAAGCCACTGTCCAGGCGACAATAGGCCATATGATTGCGCATTGCCAGGCACAGGTGCTGCGTAAGCTTCTCTTCAATGTGCTTCAGCTGGCGCTCGTCCAAACTGGCGTAACGCTTCATCTGTACAGAGATTACGCGCCGATCGAGGTTCTCACGCTGGGTCACCTTTTCCGCTGCCTGGCGGTTCTGTTCGATGATGTCCTGCAACGTTTGGTATTCCTGCGAATGCCGGTAGTCGTACAGCTGCTGGTACTCCCGATCAGCGTACTTGGCCATTGCTGCATAGGCTGCCGTCCGTTGCTTACAGACGAAGGCATCCAGCTGCTGCCACTCAAAGATGTCCTTATACTTTTCGCTCAACGTCTTGCGGTGCAAAACAAAGTCATCGATGAGCTTCAGCGAGCTATCAAACTTGTTGGTCTGAACCCAATTCAAAGTCTCGGCATTGCAGTCGAGGAGAAACTCGCCCTGCATTCGCAGTGCCGGAACTCGCTGGACACAGTAGACAAAATCATTACTGGTGGTCACGTACTCCAGGATGGCCTTGGCTATCTGTTGATTGCCCATCTTCAGATTCACCTCGGCATCTTCCAACAGAACGCTGATCTGAAATAAAATACATGAAGTACAAGCATAAAAACATACGTTAAATTCAATAACCTTTGTGGACTCTCTGATGTTGGGTAGCTCTCGCAGTGTCACGATATACTTGGCTGCCAGGTTTAACTTGCCAGCGCTTTTGCACTCGCCAATTCCCTTCAGTAGGTACGTGTCCATGGGATTCTTTTGGTAGAACTCTTGCATTCGACGACCAGCTCTCGTTCCCGCCATTTTGAACAGAGCAATCTGATGTGCAATAACGTATTCCTTGCAAGAAAAGTTGCCGCACTTGAGTTCCAACTCGGTTTGCCATTTACCAAACAGTTGGGTCATCTGAGTAGGATCCAGTTGGGTTCCAAATTGGATCTGAAGGGGTGAAGAAGTTGAATGATCAGTAAATAAATTCGCTCATTTTATTGGGAGCTATTACCTGACAAAAGTCCTCTGCCTGCTGGAGGGAGCAAAGCCAAGTTAGGTACTTGTAAACGCTCTGCAGGCACTCCACGCTGATCTCCATCAAAATGTCGCGCACACAGCTGTAGGCCAAATCGATGGCCGACAAGCTGTTCTCCTCCTCCCGCTGCCCGATGCTCCTGAGGGCGACAAAGTGATGCCGCTTGAACTCTTGTTCGAGATTCAGCGATGTTATAGCCCTCGACTGGGTTTGCTGCTGCTTCGGATCTGTTAGCGAATCCCACTGTCCCAGGCGCCAGAAGATCTCGTAATCTGGCTCAGTGTTCTGATGCTGCTGGAGTTTGGCAAACGACCACAAACCATTTCCTTTCATTATGTCCACGCACAGTTGACCGCTGGCCTTGTCCAGATGATCAGACTCCAACAGAATGGTGGATAAACTGCTGCCCTGACCGAGGAAATCCAAACGTGAGCGCATGGGATTGACAAAGCCTGGAATGGCATCCATACAGCCAATAGATTCGTATGCCTGCAAAGAGTTTTACTTAGTTTTATAGGAATTTTAAAGTTTTATTTCCTACTTTTTTTGCATCGGCTTGAAACGATTCGTTGTCCAAAAGACTATCCCGATCTGTGGAGCTCGGTGAGCAGGCCCAGAGTTCCAGGTACATAATGCTAAGGAAATAGGCCTGACAATGATTGCTAGCCAAAACTACGTTGCTCAGATTTATGGGAATGCTCCTGAATTAAATAAATAAAGGGACTTCAATATCACGTTAATCTGTGCCATTAATCTGTACCTTACCATTCATTGACGATCCTTATGCATTCGCAAATGTGCAGGAACCTCTTGATGGCTCTTTTGTTACAGAAGATCTCCTGAGAGTTCTGCGACTGCGAACTAGAGAATCTTTCAAAAAAGTAATCCAACATTTGGCACAGACTCTCCAAATGTTGCTGTTTATTTTCCAACAGTAATTTAATGAACGGCTGCAGACAGGTCTTGGCGAAGGCAAAGGACTTGGCAGCCAAATCATCGAATCCTGTCCAGCCACACGCTTGGAAAACTTTTGAGACAAATGCGCACATCCAAGATTCGTAGTTTAAGCTTTGCGTGGCTTTTAGTATTGACAACCAATCAATACGAGGAATTTGCTTAACAGAATTTAGAAAGCTAGTTTTTGTTGCCTTGTCAACAAAGATCTTTAGATTCTTATAGTGACCTATAAAAAAGAAATATGATTATTAAGTTATGCATTTTATTTGTAATCTAGTTACCAATAATATTTGCTCCAGGCTTACTATTAACCACCTGACAAGCTACTGAATCAAGCTCTGCAAAGGTTTTGGGATCGAACTGGAATAAAGATTTGTCCAAGGCCTCGCAGACAACGCTTAAGAACACTTCCATAGGTTCATCCTTTGGCTGCAATGAAATAGGGGAATTAACTAGTGACAGCTTTGTAGACTGCAAACTAACCTCCTCAAACGAATCGAAATCAGTTTGGAAATAGTAAGAAATGTTGGATAGTTTAAGCGGTCCAATTTGAGCCAGGCACTTAAGGGCATCTAGACTGCTCGGCTTACTATGCGAATCCCTTGTCATTTGAATGAGCTTGTTAATGAGTTTAAACAATAACTTTTCGTTTTCTTGCAATTTGTCCTTGTGCTCGGCAATCTTGTATGGAAAGCAGAATGTTATTTAATGTTTTAAAATAGAAAAGGATGTGATCTTTCACTCACATATTCCCTTAGATCACGCAATCTTTCTGCGGTGGGACTTTTCAGAAATGAGCGCAGATAGTTGGCAACATCCGTTTTATCCACATTGGGTAGATTGCGTTTGTATTCCTCTCGCAGGGGTTTTAAAAAATCGCAATCTGCGGTCTCTTCCAGAAATATACTTAGGTCGACCTGGTCCTTGTTCGATTCCAAAATTTGCATAACAATTGCGCTGGCCTTTTCTTTTACTTCCTTGGCTTCACAGCCTATTTGAAAACAGCTTAAAAGTTTAGCTATCTCTCCCAAGTGATTAAGGAAATCAGGCAAGCCGAAGCTGGGTTTATTCAGCAAGAGTTCAAGGAAGGTCAGGGCTGACATTTGCACCCGGCTGAAATTGGCTAAAATACTCTTACGTTAAATTATAAGAAGAGTTTTCCAAATTTGGTTAACTCACTGTGAAGCAGAAACCGCACTACAAAGAACCAAATATCTCGAACAAAGTAGGAACACTGGGTCACAATGGTCTCATTTTTTTGGGCTGCGTCGTAGACAGCATCTGCAATTTCGCAATAAAGGAAGAACGCACGCAAAGCCTGACCGGAGAAGGAAGCAGTGAAGCAATCGGCTTTCAAGCGACCAAATAGGTCGACCAATATACGAGAATGTTTGATTTGAAGCGTGGTCATGGACTGCAATCGACTGTCCCCTGAAGAAGTCTTTTTAGGATCCTACAGAAAAAACGAAGTTAGACGAAGCATTTTAAATTATCCTCAAAATACTTACAATATGCCAGCTAAGACAATTGAAGAGCGACTCTTTAGTCAGACTATACCAGCTTTTAATTCTGCTGCACGGCGCAAAGGATCCCAGCAATCTCATCATTTCCTGTGGATCGTAAAGTAAGCTGACCACAAAGCAAAGGGTGTCCACATTGAGGTCTACATCTGTGGCATTCAGTTGCGAGTAACTGAGGTTCTCCGCCAACAGATGATGGTGATCCTTAAAGTCTTTGCCCTCGCTTTCGCTGCAGCAACAGGTTTTTGGCAGTAAAAACGATGCCACAATAGGAAGGGCAAGCTAAAAGATCAGTTATTGAATGATTTGTTCTAGGTTATTTTCCTGTGATCTTACATCCTCGCTAATTAATTTACTACATCGTTCTATATCCTCGGTTTTTCCATAGAGGAATGTATATGCCATAATTTCATTCGCATGGACTCGGCGAAATTCGCTCCTCTTTGCATAACACAGATAATAAGGAAACCTAGTGATATGATATAAAATGTAACTTTCCTCCAATTCGTAAATATTCCTTACTTGGTAATGGGCCAGCGATGTGAGCTCCACTTGTGAAGAAGGTCGCCGGCAAAGGGTTGAATAAGATCACGCATAGTTTGTCCATGGCCGGGAACAATACTTTGCAGGGAAATAAATTCCGCTGGATGTACAAAAAAACACGTTCCAGTAACTCATATCTGTACCGCAGACCTTACTCACTTTCATTTGGCTTGTGCAGGGCGCAATGGTGCATCAGCTCCTTCAGTGCAATCTCTTGGTGAAACGAGCTGCGCACGAAGAAGGCAATTAGCATTTGAACAACTATCGAATTGCTGTTCTGAGTAGCATCCTCATTGTTGTACTAAACATTAAAATGTATCATTAATAAAGCTACTTATAAAATCTTTATATAACATACCGTAAGCTTCTTGAACTCGATGCTGTTATAGAGCTCCTGGCAGAAATCCCAGTGAGTTTGAGAGTGCCCGATGGCATCGCTAGTCACACATTTCGTGTGCAACAGAATAGTGAATGTAAAGAGTGTGGCAAAGCGCACTTCCAAAGTAGGCATAGTGATGAATTTCGCAGTGGACTTGCATATCACAGTAAAGTTCTCCAGCAGGTAAATGTCCGAACATCGCTGGGCAATCAAACCCACGCAACGCACAATTTTCGCCGTTAAATGGGATGTGTAGGACTTCTTAAGGGCAATCCTCAGTAGAGAGTTAAGGGCCATAAGCATGTCGTCCAAGTGATGTTCCATTTTGTAGACAAAGTTAAAAACCGCTGGAAATAAATGACATTATTATGATAGGCCGTACAAAAGTTTTCATCTCAGCTCACTGGGCATATGATCAACCACTTTATCAATAACATCCAAGTCCTGATGATGATGCTGGAAAAGTGTCTTTAGTTTGTTGACTAACCAAATGCTGGATGCATCGGAAATGGACTGGCAGCTGCAGAAGATCTTAGAAGAGCTGTTTAAATTACTTTTCCTTTTTTTGCGACATTGTATTTACCTTGGCCACAATGAGAACATCTGGAGGATGCCAACGCATTGTCACCTTTGTTATGTGTTCAAATGCTTCGTCCCGATGCGAACTGCTGGCACATAGGCCAGCTAAAATCTTTAGGCACTGAGCGGTGATTGTCATATGATCAGCATTTTCTGATCGCTCCCTCTGCATACCTAAAAAATTGAACTCTAGAAATATTACGGAAATAAATTAAAAACTTAAAACTTCATTACAATGCAGCTTTAGTGCAGCGCCAACGAATTCTATCAACATTTCCAGGGGTTGCCTTTCCAAATAATTAAGTAGAACCGAATTCGTTCTGAACACTTCAAGTACATCGATTTCCAGGCGCAAAATCTCGCGCAAATCACTTTCATCTAGCATCTCAGGGCTGTTCGCCTTGTACTGAAACTAAATCAGGTGTTATAAAACAATGTCCTTTCTCAGAAAAGTAATTATCTTTCCACCCACCTCAATGTGGCTTAGGTACAGACCAATTCTTTTGATCAGAGGACAGCTAGTAAAGTTTTCGGCACTAAAAACCTTGTAATACAAAAGCCTCTCCATTGTGCAGGCCAATCTTAGTAGACTATTTAGGTTCTTTAGTATTGATGAGGGATTATTTTCCTTGGCTATCTGAAAGTTCAGGCCACGCATGAGGCAATCATAATTGCTTTGGAACAAACAATTCTTCGTTTCGCTCTGCAGCTGAGTGGTTGACATAAAGGGAGCCGCGAATTCCTTATCCATGCAAATCAGTTGCTTGTTGTACTTGTAGGCCAAGAGATTATGTTCGATGGAAACAGGCATAGATTCTGGACGGGAAATCTCTTGCAACTGCTGCTCGTCCAGAAAGTTTATAATACTAATCGCAAAGGTATCCGCCTGTAGCCGTGAATCTATGCTGGCTATATTGTGTATCAACTGGGCGGCACTATTTCGGTCTCCACTGCCATAGGCCCAAGTTATGATGGGCTCCAGATCCGCGGAGGCTTTATCCTGACCGCACTTGTCTGCATGAATGAAGATCTCGCGAATTGTCGCAAAGCATTCGTTTCGCTTTAACATTTCATTGGTGGTAATATTGTGCAGCAGAGTGCTGGCCATCTTTTGATTCAGTTTGTTATGTCTGATCAGCATTTGTAGTACCAATTGCTTTTCCTTGATCTCTTCACTGTTGGTGGTGGTCTCCGAGATCAGATGGTTCACCATTTGACTCCAAAGTTCGCCCAGGAAATCCTCCTTTATGGATTTCGACTGTAAAAGCTCCTGTTCCTTGCTCAGGAGACTCGTCAGACATAAACGAAGATTGCGCAGATTCCTTGCATTGCCATATATTTGCATAATTTCTGCCACTGTGGTAAGCGCCTGCTGGTAGTTGGCCACATTCAGGAGTACGCCGCTCAGCTGGAGCAGCTCCGCGAAGATGGCAAACCAGACGTCATTAAAGAGTGTGTCTTTTTTGTCGATCAGGCTAAATATAATATCCATTTTATCAGCTGGCTTTGCGATCTTTTTCGGCGCATCGCCTTCACCATTTTCATCGTTCTTCTTCGTCTCCAGGTGCCACAGAACCTAAAATAATTTAAAAAATTTATTAATTTCATTCTCAGTAACAAGTAAACACACTATTCAGCTTACGATATACATGACCAAGGCGGACATCTTGATAAAGGGCTCAGAGAACTTATCATTGCTCAGTTGTGCGGACTTGTAGCGAGCCAAAGAATTCTTGCGGATCTCCACGTTGACTATGGTTTTTAGCCTCAACAAAGTTTGCGGCCACTTTTCTTGTATAGGAACACCTAGGGTGTTAAAATCACACAAATCCAATTTGGGATACAAGGAATGCAGAGACTTTGTGACGCACTGGAAGAACAGATTCCTGGTGTCGTCGCGGAAGACATCCTCGTCGTGGAACTCGCACAGCTTGGGCAGGATGTCCTGAGCATGAATGCTCAATTGGTGATGGTAGTTAACGGAGAGCTAAAGTTAAATGCAAAAGGAATTAGGCAACATCTATAGATCATTTCCTTGTCTCACCTCCGAGGCGAATACTAAATAAAGGCGAACAATCTCTATTTTTCTGGCTCCAAGTGCGCAGCGTGCAAAGTTGCTTAGTTCGGGCAAATAGTCCACTAGATCTGCCTGCAATTGAACCCGATCCTTGCCCAAAGTGACGGTCCTAGTGATGCATTTCAGTATCTTGGTGCGCAGGTTCTCATCTCTTTCCACATTCAACTCAAAAAGGTAGGAGAGGATGCCTGAAAAATCAAAACTAAGTGCAATGAAGTGACGTTTTAAGCAAGAGACTCCCTTACGGCTGTACTCGTTGATCTTCAGATCGCGCACATAGCTGGGCGAGGAGTAAAGGGCCCTGTCCAGCAGGCTGAGGATCCTGTCTCCAAAGAACTTCACCACCACCCTCATCTTGATGCCCTCCTCAAATGCATTGAAGATGGTTGTCTTGGCCAGAAAGTGTCCATTTCCGGAGGTCTGCATTCCAGCTAGAGAGCACACATTACACATGGGAACATCTCAAGAGTTTAGGGCTCACCTTCCAAGTTGAATTGGGTGATCTTTTCGAGTACATTGTCGTACAAATAGTTCTTTCCTGCCAGTGTCTTGAAGGACTTTTCATTGGCATCCTCCAGGGCTCCAGCGTGCTGGGAGTATGGTAATAATTATAATCTTATATTTTTAGGAATAATGCGATAGATACCTTAAAGAGAGCCTCCTTCGTAGCTTCAAAAACTTCGGTCCAAGACAAGTCATATTTCTTGTTCAGGAACAACGTATTTAGATCCTCCCGGCAGTTGGAGAGCTTTTCGTCCAGCTGCTCAATGCCCTTGTTGCGGCTGGCTGGCTTCCCCGACTGCAGCTCGCCGATGATGCGCTGGATATCGTTTAGCAGTCCACTCATTCTGGCTGCCAGGCATCACTTCCTGTCGCTGAAAGCTTAATTGTAACAAATATTTTAACTAAACAAAAATTATCTCTCAAAATGGTCTTAGAGTGACCGCAGCTAGAGCGCCAAAAATTACGGCGAGTATATGTTGTCAGTGTGAGCACTATATAAGTTAATGCATTAATCTCACAAAATGCACCAAAGCCCCAGTTTATTTTTCCAGACGTTTGGCAATCGTTTTGTTAATCAATTAAAAAAAAAACAATTCATGCACTACATTTCTGATTTGATTTAACATAATGTTGTTCGCTCTTAGCTAAGGAATAATTTTAAACAGAACCTAACAATCGCAGTTAATTGAAAATTTAACAACAGAATACCCTAATTATTTCGTTAACCACCCAGCAAAGTGGGCTCTGTGGAAACAGACTATTAGGGTGAAATGCAATTTTTTAGCGGGAATTTATGATTGTTCGTGGGCATTTTAAGGGATTTAATTCTCACTTTCTGGTCACACCGAGCAACCTCTATAAAAGGCTTCCGCACATTAGCACGGGTGTATTTGAAAAAAAACGCCAGCCAGTTTGATCGAAGGTGCGGCAGATTAAGTGAAGTAGCAATTAAACGGTTATATTTTAGTACGTTCTAACAAACAACACACAAGGTAAGTGTTTATTTATTATTAGTATTTGTTGTAAGAAGTGCATTTCCATTCAATTTGCCAGAGAAAGGTTTTTAGCATGACCACGTGTTTTTCGTAGCCCTTTAATATTTAATCAATACTTGCATACTAAGCAAAACTTCTCGAACTTTCGACCCCCAGTGAGTCATTCACTTTCATAATTGCAGTCCAGCATTTTCAAGAACTTCTTAAGTTGAAGAGCAATTAGCCAACTGAATATTCTAGAAACTAGTTAGCTCAAGTCTGACTAATTGCATATTGGAAGTGAAAACGTGATTGCGCTTATCTGGAATATTCCACTGGAAAATGTGCCGCTTCACACTCACACTGCAATAAAAGATGCCTGTGTAGAGAAAACTTGCGTCATCCATCGGGGGTCTTGACATTGTTTATTTTTTTCCTTCGTGTTCCCAATAAATCAATGTCCAAATTACTCATCTTAATTGCTAATTTACTGCGAGTGTCAATGCGTTTTTGATGGAATATTCCAGTGGGAAAAATGTGCGGCTTCTCCCACGCACACTTCCACACGCTTATGCGTATGCACACTTAATCAGACCTTACAAAACTTTAGAAACATGGTAAATGCCCACCCAGACAGCTGAGTCAGATAAACATGGGTTTATAAATAGCCTTTAACATCCATAAATTTATATTTTATGCGGGTTTTCAATTATATTTAGCTAGAAAACACACGTTGCCAACCGGCATCCAAAGTGCGAGCACGTGTGTGTTTGTGAGCGGGTAAAACTCATGCATACGAATCGGGCCATCGACACAATAGTTGTCCCTTTCGCACGCACGCACGAATCACCCTCCAAAATGACCTGGCTTCGGCAGCGTGGTTTCATGCCTCTGTGTGAGTGCGCGCGTGTGTTTGCGTTTTTAGCATTCCAGAATTTTCGCCTTTGTCCATGCGGTTTTTTACTTCTTGTTTTTTGCGCATTTCTAAGAAAAGCGATGGCAGCTGTGCGGCCGCCATTTATAATTCTCTCCGATCTCCGGCATTGATCTTGCCGTTTTAATGAGCAAACTCTCTCGATCGCTGGCATTAGTCATTGTTCATGAGTCGCCAATTTCGGCAACTCGTTTGAGACAATCGTAAGGCGGCGTAAAAGGCACGATAAAAACGAAATGCTGGCTGTAAAAGGCGAAATAAGATGGCGGTTTTACTAGGAAACAAAAATGTGTTCTACTTTGCCTTTGTTTGGTTGTTATGAGAACGCATTCAGCCACCCCTAAATAAAATACACTGGAAAAAACGTATGCCCCTATGATCTTAGTCAATAGAACTTATTATAAATAAAGTTGGGAGAAATTAACATTTTATCAATATAAATGGTTCAAGAAAAATATGTTTTTTAACTTTAATTATAATTTTTAATTTTATTGTTTTACTATCCTAGCACAACAAGCGTGAAACTTATTTTTACTGCACATTTCAAATTAAAACCTTATAATAAGTTTTTACTTATTTTTTTTCTGTGTACTTAGTTTTATACAATTCCCATCGCACCAATCGATGAATTTCCCATCTATCGAGTTCAAACACAGCTGTCGCTTTTCACAATTACTTTTCTCTTGGCAAACATTGTATTGTTTTTTTTTATTTTTCTATTGATAATCAAGGAAATAACTAATAGTCAACCTCTATCACAATCCATTCCAGATGTCTAAAGCTCCTGCTGTTGGTATTGATTTGGGCACCACCTACTCGTGCGTGGGAGTGTTCCAGCATGGAAAGGTTGAGATCATCGCCAACGACCAGGGTAATCGTACCACTCCATCCTATGTTGCCTTCACCGATACGGAGCGTCTGATCGGAGACGCCGCCAAGAACCAGGTGGCGATGAACCCGACCCAGACGATCTTCGACGCCAAGCGCCTGATCGGCCGCAAGTTCGAGGACTCCGCCGTCCAGTCGGACATGAAGCACTGGCCCTTCGAGGTGGTCAGCGCCGATGGCAAGCCCAAGATCGAGGTGACCTACAAGGACGAGAAGAAGACCTTCTTCCCCGAGGAGATCTCCTCGATGGTGCTGACCAAGATGAAGGAGACCGCCGAGGCCTACCTGGGCAAGACTGTGACCAACGCGGTCATCACCGTGCCGGCCTACTTCAACGACTCGCAGCGTCAGGCTACCAAGGATGCCGGAACCATCGCCGGTCTGAACGTGCTGCGCATCATCAACGAGCCCACGGCCGCTGCCATCGCCTACGGTCTGGACAAGAAGGCCGTCGGAGAGCGCAACGTGCTCATCTTCGATCTGGGCGGCGGCACCTTCGATGTGTCCATCCTGTCGATCGACGACGGCATCTTCGAGGTCAAGTCCACGGCCGGAGACACGCATCTGGGTGGCGAGGACTTCGACAACCGTCTGGTCACCCACTTCGTGCAGGAGTTCAAGCGCAAGCACAAGAAGGATCTGACCACCAACAAGCGTGCCCTGCGTCGTCTGCGCACCGCCTGCGAGCGCGCAAAGCGTACCCTCTCGTCCTCCACCCAGGCCAGCATTGAGATCGACTCGCTGTTCGAGGGCACCGACTTCTACACCTCGATCACCCGTGCCCGTTTCGAGGAGCTGAACGCCGATCTGTTCCGCAGCACCATGGACCCCGTGGAGAAGGCTCTGCGCGACGCCAAGCTGGACAAGTCGGTCATCCACGACATCGTGCTGGTCGGTGGCTCCACCCGCATCCCCAAGGTGCAGCGCCTGCTGCAGGATCTGTTCAACGGCAAGGAGCTGAACAAGTCGATCAACCCCGATGAGGCTGTGGCCTACGGTGCCGCCGTCCAGGCCGCCATTCTGCACGGCGACAAGTCGCAGGAGGTGCAGGATCTGCTGCTGCTCGACGTGACCCCCCTGTCGCTGGGTATCGAGACCGCCGGCGGTGTGATGAGCGTGCTGATCAAGCGCAACACCACCATCCCGACCAAGCAGACCCAGACCTTCACCACCTACTCGGACAACCAGCCCGGTGTGCTGATCCAGGTCTACGAGGGCGAGCGCGCCATGACCAAGGACAACAACCTGCTCGGCAAGTTCGAGCTGTCGGGCATCCCCCCCGCACCCCGTGGCGTGCCCCAGATCGAGGTGACCTTCGACATTGACGCCAACGGCATCCTCAACGTGACTGCCTTGGAGCGTTCGACCAACAAGGAGAACAAGATCACCATCACCAACGACAAGGGACGTCTCTCCAAGGAGGACATCGAGCGCATGGTCAACGAGGCCGAGAAGTACCGCAACGAGGATGAGAAGCAGAAGGAGACCATCTCCGCCAAGAACGCCCTGGAGTCGTACTGCTTCAACATGAAGGCTACCCTCGATGAGGACAACCTGAAGACCAAGATCGCCGACTCTGACCGCACCACCATTCTGGACAAGTGCAACGAGACCATCAAGTGGCTGGATGCCAACCAGCTGGCCGACAAGGAGGAGTACGAGCACCGCCAGAAGGAGCTGGAGGGTGTGTGCAACCCGATCATCACCAAGCTCTACCAGAGCGCCGGCGGTGCTCCCGGTGGCATGCCCGGCGGTCCCGGAGGCATGCCCGGTGCGGCTGGACCCGGAGCTGCTTCCGGTGCCGGCGGTGCTGGCCCCACCATCGAGGAGGTCGACTGAATCATTCGCCAACCCAAATCACCCACCCCTCTCAACGCAACCATACCGTAACAGTTCTCCAAACGAATTACCAAACAAAAACAGTAGAAGAGTTGCTTAAGCAAAACTTGGATTCTAAATTAGAAACTCAACTGCAAAACGGGACGAACGACAACTGCTCCCCAAGATCATTTATATAAGTTATAAAAATTCATACTAGAACAAAACCAAACACACTGCTCCATAATAATATATATTATATTATTGTCATCGATCGATCATCCAAACAATATTTGCTTGTACTTGAATTCAATAAAATAATTTGAGAATTGCAAAGGCTGGTAGTTTGTTATTTCATAAAATCGGGTTTATTTTCAGAGTTTTGGGAAATTCCAAAGAATTTAATAGGGAGACATATAATTTTTAATCGCCGTGCATTTTGTTGGACATATTGCTTAACGTTTGTACGTTATCTTATCTAGTTGCCTGTGTGCATAGTAAAACATATTTAAGCAGACAAAACTGGTGTGGTTCCCAACAGGTAGGGCTGATAAGGAGAGATAAACATTGTTCCTATAACATGAGTAGCTTTTTTGTGCGATGCTATTAGGGTGGATGGGTTCTTGGATTTTTAAGAGCATTTGTAATGCGAATTTCAATTGTTCAATTGTTTTGAGATATGTAAATAGATTTAGTGATTTAGGCTACATTTTAATTAAAAAAGTATTAGTTTTTTCCACAGAAAAGTCTAGACTTCTTTGATACAAATTTAATTGACGTACAGAATATTCTAGACATTGTTTGTCTAGCCAATCTGTGCATACTACTTTCATCAGATACTAATTTAAGTGACGTACGTATCGGAATATTCTAGAGATTTATCATTTGTCTAAACAATCTGTGCATACTATGTAGTTTCATCAGATTTTTTCGTGGTTTTTTCCACGTACATATTGCTTAATAATTTTTTAAAAATATGTGACTCAGACATTGTGCTTAAATAGGTCTAATCCACCCAGGCAAAGTTTGGGTCCTTCTCCATCCTTGGAGCCTGTCCGATGACGGGAAACTCGCTGTTGTTGGGTCTGTAAAGGCCTCCACTGATGCTCTTTCGAGCGGGAACTCGCCGGCTGAAGACGTTGCCCGCTGTCCTGGGCTTAAAGGTGATGTCCGCGTGCGACTGGCCTGCATCCATTTTTAGGTTCGCCCGCGGACCACTGACCTGCTCCAGGTAGGATTGCCACTGCTGCAGTTTGTCCTCCGCCGCTCGCAACTGATCGATGCTTCGCTCGTGCCCAGGATTGATGCCAATGGGCTGGATGCCTGCTATATCCTTGAGATCCACCTTAATAGGCGCCAGGGCTGAGATGGCGCGTGATAAGCCGATTTGTGAGTGCCGGATGCGGTGCTCGGTGAGATCGGCACCCAGCAGCTCCTCGTGCGGATCCATGCGAATGGGTATGATCTTGTTGATGACAAACAACAGGAGGCAGGTGGAGCAGATGCCCCAGCAGGCCAGGCAGAAGGCCGAGAGCGTCTGAATTCCCAGCAGATACCAGCCGCCTCCTTTGAACAAACCGCTGCGTCCGTTGGTCGTGTCCAGCGGAATGGGGTTGTCGGCAAAGAGTCCCACGGCAATTACGCCCCAGATGCCGCAAACTCCGTGCACGGCACTGGCGCCCACCGGATCATCCACTCCCATGCGATCAAAGAGGGGCATGGCCAGGACGCAGAGAAGCGAACCGATGGCTCCGATTACCAGGGCTTCCCAGGCGCGGTACAGGAAACATCCCGCCGTGATGGATACCAGAGAGCCAAGGACCCCATTGATGAGGTCCATGATGTCCATGCCGCCGCCATGGCGCCAAAAGGAATAACTTTGGGGGAACATAAAACTCATTAAAATTAAACCTGCACAAAAAGCTTTTATAATAAATTGGAAATATAAACACTTTAAAATAGGAAATTATGTAGGTATATAAAACAACTAAATAAATTTAAAAAGTTAAAATCATAATTTTTTGTGAAGTTTTTTTTGGCTGTAACTTGGTCAAAAAGTGTCCCAAATAAAAAAACGTAAAGTTTTAAAAAGCTAAGAATGTAAAGAATTGATTTCGTCCACTTTCAGTCTAATTTATAAAAAACTAAATTTTTCTTAAATTTTGATTTTTTTATAAGGGGTTACATCACAAATTTTTGCAAAAAAACGACGAAAATTAAAATTTTAAAGTATGAATGTCAGTGGATTGGGAATTTAATTACAAGCTCAACGATGTATTACATTTAATATTTGGATCCTTATTTCCATTGTTTCGCCCAAAATACTGATAAGGAAAAAAGTATTTTCCGCAAGTTGAAGAATTTTTTTCTGAGTTTTTTCGACGAACTTTTTTTTTAAGCTTATAAGATAAGTTGAAAAAATAATAAGATTGAAAACAAAACCTTGCTTAACCTAAATTCTATTTAAAACCTTTAAACCTCTTAAATAATATCATTGAACTCACATGGAGCTGGTGAACCCGCCGCCAAAAGATCCCATCATGGTCATAACAGCGGCTCGGGCTGCATACTGCCACTTTGCCCCACTGACGCCGTAGGTGCTGCCCGAGTTGAAGGCCAGCCAGCCCCACCAGAGGACGAAGAGGCCCATGCAGGCGTTGACCGGATTGCCCAGCGGCAGCGGATCGTATCCCTCGGAGTAGCGACCCAGACGGGGACCCAACATGGCGGCCGAGGCGAAGGCGGAGGCGCCTCCAATCAAGTGTACCGGTCCACTGCCGGCGATGTCCACGGCACCCAGCTTGTTGAGGAACCCGTGCTCGCCCCAAACCCAACCAGCGGGAATGCAGTAGACGGCGGTGTTCAGGAAGGAGAACAGGCAGTAGGCCTTGAAGTTGCAACTAAAAGGGATACAGTAATATATTAATTATATCCTCTTCTTCCTAAGAATTCGCGGTCATGTACTATCCACACAAATATATCCTCTTAATCCTAAGAATTCGCGGATTTATTTGTGTGGATCATACATAACATAACTAAGAAACCTAATGATATATTCTTTATTGATTTTTCAAAAAGCGCGAATTCTTTAGAGCAAGAGAGTATGTTTTTGTGGATCATCATCAACATCTTTAATATTTGAAGACCACAAGAACTCGCATGGGCGGAAGAAGTGGAGACAAATGTCCATATATCCCTTAAATCCAACCGACCTACTTGAAATCCATTTGACTGGGATCGTTTGGGTTTGGGTAAAAATTAACTCACTTACCCAAACGACCCAAGTCAAATGGGTTTCAAGTAGGTCGGTTGGATTTAAGGTTTGACAAACAAGTCAGGTTACTTCTGCAGGGCTCTAATTATAATCAAGGATATAATTTACACCCACCGCTCAGCCATGGCGCCGCTGACAATTGTGGTGGCCGTGGTGGCGAACGACAGTTGGAACAGGAAGGCCGCAAAGATCTGGCCCATCAGGGCATCGCCCACCGGCGGATCCAGCAGAAAGTCCCCAATGGCTATGAAAGGATTGGACAATGGACCGCGGCCAAAGCTCATTCCGTAGCCAAACAGCCAGTAGGTGAATCCGCCCAGGACAATATCGATCACGTTCTTCATCATGATGTTCACCTCGTTCTTGATGCTCACACAACCGGATTCCAGCATACCGAATCCCGTTTGCATGGTGAAGATGATGAAGGAGGAGGTCAGGACCCAGTTGGTATCCTCCACGGAGAGGTCATACAGGCCGGGAATCACATATTGGCTATGATTCCTCACTGCAGGAACTCCAACAGTGACGTTACTCATGTCCGTTTGGTTAGTCGCGCGATCGACAACTGCCAAAATAGATAGAAATTCAAACTGCGAGTAGAAATACATGAAAAATACAAATTACCCGCATTTGATTTAAATGCAACCTAATCGCCGTTCAGCAATCGTAGATTATTCGCTGTGCGTGTTTTTTGCAACCCCACTAATCTGTTGTTGGTGGTATGTGGCCCTTAAGGTTTAAACTTGACACTGGGTTGCATGCCGAGTGCATTTTGCAAAATTAATGAGCGCACTTCGCGTTCATTGAAATTTAACTATCAGCGGAATTCGAGATGTGGTCAGAATGCGTCAATAAATTAAAATCTATTTCAACCTCGCGAAGCTTTAGTTGATTCGCGGTGAAAGGTTTTTTTACATTTTTTTTTTTACAGCTAAAATAACGGCACGGGATTTAGAATTTGGAAAGCAGATAGAAGCAGAAAAATCCATGTAGGATTTTAATAGCTATCACCTATCTAACTTTTAAAATATTGTGTCTATGCAAAATATAAATTAAATTTGTAGTATTAAGTTTTTTATCTATCCTCTTTAAGATTATATCTTTACAGTCCCTCTATAACGACACAAGTCGATACATTTAGCAGCACAATTGAGAAGAAAGGACAATTAAAAAAACAGGATACATAAGCTCTAGTTAAAAACCCTAAAAAGCATGCTACATTTTTTATGCAACTCATACGAAAAGGAAAATTAGACTGACAACGAAAGAGACTCTTTTTTTAGAATACTAAATTTTGTAATCATTTGCTGAGGTCTTAAGTTTTCCATTGGTAACTCAATTGCAACCTCAAGCGACCGTTACAATTTCCAAAAGAACCCTTTAAAATTCTTTTCTTCGTATCCCTGGAACTGGTTCGCGGCCCGCAAGGACGATAACGGTATCGAGGCTGGCAGCCCTGGCACGTAACGTCTGTGCGAAAACTCCCGTTCGTTTCGTCGTCGTCGGTGGTTGTTGGTATTGCTCGAACGTTCGCAAAAAAACTGTTGAAAATACTTGGATAAAAGTTGTGTGGAAAATCTAGCAAGTTTTCATTAATTGTGCCGTGCTGAGTGCTAACTAACGTGTGCAATATGTATCTTTTGGCATTGCTTGCGTTCATTGGAAATGCCAAAGGTAACGGTTCTCTTCCTAGAGGGGAAAATTGGTGTGAAAAATTTGATACACATACACACACACACACAGGCAGGAACCTGCAAAATCAGCCCCATATCCTGGTTTAAAGTAAAAATCTGCAATTGGAACGAAGATAAACTCCTTGAGAGCGACAACACAAGGTTTTTCAGGCAAAATCAATTTCGATTGCTCGGCTCCTTCAGCGATAATTGGAAATATGGTCCATGGCCACACAGTTCACAATTTATGGGACACGGGGCACACACACTCACGCAGAAACTTTGGCAGGGCACACCAACACCAGCGCACATGCTCGCTCTTTTCCTCTGCAGAAAACAGAGAGAGTGAGAGAGAGAGAAAAGGGGGCATAACGGTTTTTTGGGTGGGGAAATGGAAATGGCAATACGAAGGAAGTGGCCTGCAAAATTTCGCTTTGCTCTGCACGGAAAGAAATGGAATCATGATTTTACGACTTTTGATGAACATTAGTTAAATTTTAAATTCTAAATTAAAAAATTAACAAAATGTAAAATTGTAATGTTTATTTTTTCAAAATACTAAAAAATTTTAAAGGGGACGAGCAAAGCTTTCTTGCAGTGTATGGAATACACACAGACTCTGTAAGTGTGTGTGTGGAGCTGGTGGGCGGTTGTTAGGGGGTGTGTGCGTATGGTGTTTATTTTTTGCATGTATACTCGCCTCCTTTGTATGGGTGTGAACTGGGTGTGTGGGATTGACTCGCGTGTATGTATTTATCGCACACACACACACAAACTCGGACGCGAGTTTCACTTGGAAACTCTCGAATAAAAGGCAAATTTTTTTTTGTATGTGAAATTTTTTTTTTTTTTTTTGCGGGGGCGTAACGCACGCCTGTTTGCCATTTTCGTTCGTGCGTTTCCTGCCCAGAAATTTGCTTTCCTGCAGCACACGCATGTACCATACCCATGCATGTGTGTGTGTGTGTGTGTCCGAGTGTGCATGTATATTTGTTTTTAATTTGAATTTCCGTTTGCTGTTTAGCATTTAAATGATGTCGAAAATGTAATGCCTTTGCATTTAATTTCACTCGAGTGATAAATATTGTGGTCCCTGTCCCTCCTTGCCTCTCCTTGCACCCTTTTCTCCCCCTCTCTCTCTTTGCTGAGAAAATTTACAGCACCTGCTGCACTTTGGCAATGCGAGTGTGTATGTGTGATTTGGTGGCGCAATATTAAATCAGCAAAGGCGAAAGTTGGTCAAGTGTGTCAAAATAAAGAATTCAGTAAGCATCGAGTGTGCATTATAGGTGCATAAATATGTGTATGTACATTCGCATGGAGCCTGTGTAAATACATATGCATGCACCCACATACAAGGACTTTACCTACGTATTTGGTTGGCCACAAAGCAAATATCAAATAACAGTATATAACCCACATTTTTTAAGTATAAACCCACACGTTTTTTATGATGATTAAAGCAAAGTTATTTGTAAATTTTTATTAGAAGCTCTACAGTCTTTATTATAAAAGTGTATTATAAAAGTGTTAATATCCTTACATCTCAAAAACGCCAATAAGTATGCTTTAAAATTTTCAAATTGCCACAAAAACTTCTTAAAGCTAAGATATCTTATTTTCCTCAAACTCTTGAAGTCTATACCTTTTTTTTTCGAATTCAAAACTTTTTATAAGGTCTTTTTTCGATTTAAACTATTGGAAACTTTTTATAGTTTCGGATATTCTTAATAAAATAGCAATCAGTAATTGTATAACAAAAGTGTTTGTATCCTTACCTCACGAAATCGCTAATAAGTATGCTTTAAAAACTTAAAATTTCTAGAAAAACTTTTCAATCCTCTCATTAAAGCTTAAGATATCTTTTTTTCCTTACACCCTTAATACATTCATTTCAATAAATTTTTTCCGAAATCAAAACTTCTTTTTAAGGTTAATGCCTAGTACTCACTTCAATCAAAAAGCCTACGAAATGAAAATCCCCATACAAATTTTTGATCACGAAATTTTCCACTTGTCATTTTTGTATAGAAATTTTCGTTTCGTTGCCTTTTTGATTGAAGTGAGTACTAGGCATAAGGGACAAATTAAAATGTTTTCCATTTAAACTATTAAAAGCTTTTTGTAGTTTCGGATAGTCTTAATAAAAACAAGATGGTGTAATTTTCCCATATAAAGAAATGAAATAAAGACCTTTATCCGCAAGAACCCCCATTAAACCATAGTTATACCCGTTACTCGTAGAGTAAAAGGGTATATTGTATTCGTGCAAAAGTATGTAACAGGGAGAAGGAAGCGTTTCCGACCCCATAAAGTATATATATTCTTGATCAGGATCACAAGCCGAGTCGATCTAGCCATGTCCGTCTGTCCGTCTGTCCGTCTGTCTGTCCGTCTGTCCGTCTGTCCGTCTGTCTGTCTGTATGAACGCTGAGATCTCAGAAACTATAAAAGCTAGAAGATTGGCATTTTGCATGCAGATTTTAGGAGTTCCTACGCAGCGCAAGTTTGTTTCAAAATGGTGCCACGCCCCCTCTAACGCCCACAATCGCATATATACGATTTTAAAAATTTTAATATTTTGGAAAAGTAAAAATGCAGTTTTATTGTGTTTATCAATACCTATCGAAATGTAGAAGAAATTTTTCAAATCGGACCATTCGTTAAAAAGTTATGCGTGATCAACGTTTTCTATCTCTATCTCCATCTCCCTCGCACTCCCTTTACCTGAGTAACGGGTATCTGATAGTCGGGGCATCCGACTACAACGTTCCCTCTTGTTTTTTTTCACCCCATGCAGATGGAAATGCGGTGAGCTCGAGCCTGATCCCCGGCGGGTCCTGCCGCGACTACAATGGGAAGATGTACGAGACGGGCATGCACTACATGCCCGGTCCCGACTCCTGCCGCCTGTGCATCTGCGACAGCGGGCTGCCCAAGGCGTGCAAGATGGTGCTCTGCGAGGCGTTCAGCAAGTGCAAGTCCTTCCAGACGGTGGGCAGCGGCAACAACTGCTGCGAGGTAATCTGCCTGGACGACCAGTTCAGCGACGGGAGCACCGACTTTGGCATTTGACTGGTGGCCAGTGGCATCACGGCCACGCTCTCACTGTCGCTGCTCTTCTTCCTGGTGAATCGCCTGAGGCAGCGAAAGATGCGGGCGCGGGAGAACCGCCAGAATGCGGAGGATCAGCGCAGCATCGTGGGCAGCATAGGGTGAGTGTCCCACCCAAGATCCTCTAATGTTCCCCCAATAACCCCCGTAAATCCTTACCCAGCTACATAGCCGGAAACATGGGCTACATGGAGGGCAATCTGAGTGCCATTGACTACTCCTACGGCGGCGCCGCCACCCACTATCCCCTGTGGAAGCCGCACTTTCCGCGCGGCGAGGCTCCTCCGCCCTACGAGGAGGCGGTGGCCATCTCCCAGGCGGAGGCGCTCAGTGCCCAGTGCACGGTCAGCCTGCCGGCCAGTTCCCAGCGAGCGGTGGCCACCGTCAGCCAGCAGCAACACGCGGCAGTGGCCCAGGCCCAGGCTCAAGCCCAAGCTCAGCAGCAGCAGCAACAGATCCAGGCGCAGGTCCAGGCTCATCAGCATCTGCAGCAGCACACGCTCCAGCTGCACACTCAGCCGCAGCAGCATCATCAACCCTACAGCCAGCAACTGGTGGCCCATCCGCACGCACAGCACCCCCATTCGGCGGCTACCGTGCTGCCCCAGTCGAACCAGTACACCCAGAGCACCACCAATCTGATCAACATAAACATCAACAGCGGCGGGGTGACCACCATAGCCACCGGGGAGAATCACCAGCCGCCCTACAGCCTGCAGAGCGACCACCAGCTCAGCCTGGAGCAGCAACAGCAGCAGCAGCACTTGGTGCAGCCTCCCGTCAGCAGTGGATCCATCTGCCTCCAGGCGATGCCCAAGCCGCCGGTCAACGGGGAGTGCAGCTACAAGAACTGCCACCTGAACATCAGCGCCAGTGTGACCACTGCGGCGGCCAGTTCCAGTTCGGCGGCCTACACGGCGGGACGCAGGACCACGCCAAGGGGATCCCAGGAGCTGCTGCATCAGTTGCCGCAGCAGCAACAGCAGCACCAACAGCAGCAGCAGCAATATCTCACCGTGGCCGATGTGGAGATCAATGCCAGTGCCAGTGCCGCCAGCTATCATTCCCTGCCGGCCAGCAGTGGCGAACTCCTGGCCACACCCACTCACTCCCAGGTTCTGCAACAGCAGCAGCAGCAGCAACACCTGTTGGCGGCCATCTCCTCGCCGGCCATGGAGCTGCTGCAGCCCCTGGAGATAGCCACAATCTCGGCGGCACCGGCCTGCAGCACAGCTGATTCGGTGACCCAGACCACGCAGATGCCTCTGCAGGGAACGCTGAAGAACAGTCAGCAGATCAGCAAGACACCCTCCAGTTCGAGGCGCTATCATCGCACCGTGCCACGCTACTTTGCCGTGGCCGATCCCCTCCAGCTGAAGCCCAAGACGAGTCCAAGCGAGAAGCAGCAGGCGGCCAGCAAGAAGCCCATGTGCCAGTGCCCCATCCAGCATGTGCCCATGTCCTACATGGGCAGCACGGCCAATGCGAATGCCTTCCTGAGCGGAGCGGGCAAACTGTTTGCAGGGAACTCGAGCAGCAGCAGCACCTCCACGCCCACCTGCTCCCTGTCGCCGGGGGCGGCGGTCAGCGGGGGAGTTCGTCATGCAGCCACCTTGTCCTATGGACAGCGAGCCAAATCCTCGACGAATCTGCAGCAGCAGGCACAGGATCTGATCACGGCGGCTGCCTCGGGTGGAGGAACCTTACGAAGAAGCGGTTGTGGCCACGAGCCCAAGATAGCCACCATCTCCAAGCAGGTGGGCGATGAGACGCATCATGCGGGATCAGCCGGCGGCGGCGGAGTCAATGTGTCGGCCATCATACCACCGCCGCCGCTGCAGCATCCCGAGGAGGTGTCGGCCCCGCCAATTGTCCTGGGACGCGTGCAAAAGAGGTCCTCCAGCAGTTCCGCGGAAAGGGGCAGGAGTTCCAGCGGCGCAGGCGGGAGTGGCGGACGCAGTGTGTCCAGCGGTGGCGGCGACTCCCTCTCCAGCGCCTACTTGAATCGAAAGGTGAGTTCGAAATGTAAGTAATCCCTTTGTGAGAGCTTGACATGTCGGCGGGGAATGAGATCGCAGGCGAAATGGGAGAATTGATTGGACTTGATTGGTATATATATATCTCTGGTTTCATTCCTCGATTTCCCTTTTCCTTAACCCCTGGGCTCATCCGCCTTTCTTTTCCAGGTTGATGCCTACTTGAGTTTGACGCAGAAACAGCAGCAACATTTCTTTAACCAGCAACATCAGCAGCAGCAGCAGCAGCATCCAGATCCAAGCAATCCGACTTTACCACCGAAACTCTACAAAAGCCTAACGAATTTAAAGAGCGCCACCGTGGTCAGCACCTCCTCGTCCTCCTGCTCGTCCAACGGCGTGGCCACCATCTACACGCTGAGCAAGCCGGTGTCCAGTGGCCAGCGCTCCAAGGAGCAGACGCCCTCGTTGACCCTGCCGCCGGCGAGTCCGTCCGCAGGATCCGGCGAGAAGCTGGCCAGCGGCAAGATAAACTCCAGCACCTTCTATCCGCTGGCCAACCATGTGACCTACACCCTGCCCAAGCACATCAGCGGCAAGGTGTCGCTGAACAGCACCATCAACAGTGTGGTCAGCAAGGTGCCCTCGGTGATCAGCATTCCGCCGGTGGAGAACAACAATCCGGGTGGTCAGACGGCGGGGAATCCGGCCAAGAGCACCACACTGCCAAAGATACTGCGCGTGAAGCGGGATTCCGGAGGAGGAGCTGCTGCCACGAGCCTGGCGATTGCCCACTGCCAGATGCCCAGTTACCCGGTGACGCCGAAGGCCACCAGCGGACGGTCGCCCAGCAAGCAGCTGCCCGTGTGCACCACCTCCAAGAACTGCCTCAATCCCAAGGAGCACTTCCTGCCCAACGACACCAGCCTGGACGATGACTACCTGAGCGAGTGCGAGAACTGCAAGATAGCGCAGAGCGCCAAGTACTACCTGGATGCCGAGATGAGCGGCGCCGGATCCTCCAGCTCGCACCAGGAGACGATGACGCTGCAGCGCAAGTCGCTGGAGGAGACCAAGGAGGAGCCGCTCGATAGCTACTACCGCAGCTCGCACACCCTGCCCAGCAATGCCAAGAAGCATGGGTGAGTAAATATACCTGATGATAAAACATACCAAGGGCACTGAGAAAACTTGAGAACGAAAAAACCAAGAACGAATCTTCTTGATTTCAGTATTTTGTCTTCTCACATTTTCGAGCACAAACGTTCTTGAAATCAAGAATAAAAGTATTCTTGATCTGGTTTTTTGAGAATATATCATTCTTGATTTCGTTTATCAAGCATGAACACTCTTGAAATACCATGGTATACTACTATAAAAAACCAAAGAACGAAAAAACCAAGAACAAATCTTATTGATTTCAGTATTTTGTCTTCTCACATTTTCGAGCACAAACGTTCTTGAAATCAAGATTAAAAGTATTCTTGATCTGGTTTTTTGAGAATACATCATTCTTGATTTCGTTAATCAAGCATGAACACTCTTGAAATACCATGGTATACTACTTTAAGGAATGCAAGACCTTAAACCTCTTCTAATACCATAATATTTTCTATTATAGCAAGAACAACAACCGGGAAAAGTGGCAGTTTTCCACGATACCGGCGGCCAGCTCTTCGGATGAAGATGTCAACGAATGAGATTTAAGCCATTTTCTTTAAGATGCCCGATCCCCGGCCAGAAGAGCATCCTAAAGAAAACGCAGGCTCCAAACACCCAAAATCCCGCCCCCGGAAGGCTAATCAACTCGATAGGAAACCTAGGAACCCAACCAATTGCTGCTGCAACGAGCGATAGATCCTGTATATAGGCATATTAAGCGTACTTTAATCCACATATTACATTGTGTCATTGAATGAGTAGATGGTAACCAACTGATTGTTAGATATAACCATGACGATACTCAAAACCCAACAGCGGCATGTAAATCTGCGTGTTTGTTATGCACCTGTATATCTCTGTATGTATGTAATTGAATCTGTACTGTACCATAAACGATATGAAGCGATAGGATAAGGAAGTTAGGCCGAGAAAAAAATCAATTATAACCAATGCATTATGAGGATATTAGCGAACTGTTGAATACCTAGCATATACAATATATATATATGAAATTGATCATTAAGATGTCGAGCCCTACTGCCATCTGCCATTTTGCCAACGTTAACTGTCAATAATTGTGTACGTATGTAATATCTAAATAATGAATGTATGAAATTAAAACTTTTTATAAACAACTAAAGGAAGCTGACCAAAAGTTGAAGGTATTCCCTGCTGCTCATCCCCAAGATGCACAAACATTGCACATACGAACTCTAGGATAAAGCAATTGACATATACATACATGCATAAATAGAGGAAAACTTAGGATACGAATTTGAATTCAAGGCTCATTACCATTCCAAACCCGCTTTATTAAAATGTCGGAATCCAGACAATTGCTCTTCTAACTTCTAAATTTCCATTCTTTTCCCAGTAAACTCAAATGAATGTACCATATAAAATGAAACTGCGTCAGAATATAGAAGTAAGAAATCGTTTTTGTGTGGGGTTTAATAGACATTAGACTGTTTCTTGATCGATAACGAAGGACTTGCTAGAGAATAACTTCCGTTTACTTCTTGAATCGGGCGGGTCCTAGACAGTCTAATGCCAACGATATAAGCACGATATAATTATATGTATATGGAATACAGGTAGATGAGCAGTGGCGACCCAGAGGTAATTGTTTGACTCGATCAATTTGCAAAACTAGTCGTAATCATACTAAGCCAGGAGTTACTCAAGCAATTAGTCGAAGCTTCACTTAGACGAAAGCCAAAGATACCCCAAAAATAGATACTAAAAAGTACATTTTTTTCCTTTGCATTAGCCTTAGTCTTAGTTCATTCCTAATTTCCCCTAATCACTCTTCTGATGACCCGATGGTTACGGAAACTTGTTCGAAAACGGTTCTTGTTCCGCTTTTGGTTGTAATCGATCTCTGACCTGAAAACTGTATTGTGTTCAAAGGATGCTCAAAATAGCTATATACCGAAAAAGCATGAATTGTACAATCTGTTGTTTAAGTTCGAATATTAATATTGTATGTATGTTCAACGAAGACTCGAGACTCTGTTATCAAATGCTCAAAGCGTGTACTGACCACAACGCAATCGTGTCCCCCGATTTGGGGGAGTAATTTAGCAAAGTGAAATTACAAGTATTACAGAAATTACTCAATAGTATTAAATAATGAAATCAAACGTTTTTCAATATACTTATTAGTGAGTCATTTATCAAAATTTAGTTTCAACAGTAAAACCAAAACAACATATGTACATCACGGCTAAGTACGAATTTTTATTCAATAAGCTATATTTACTATTAAACGAAGTCTCAAAAAACCAAATATTAAATTAACAGATACTTGGTAATAGTAGTTTAAAATTACAAAAGATAAAAATACATTAAAATTAAACTAGTGTGCGATAGTTAAACAAATTTACCAAATCGAAAAAACCAAACCGTTTCAAAAATTATTCAACACAATTGATGTCAATGTCGGATGCGGATTAACTGTAATCGGTGGCGACGGACATCGTGTTTCAAAAACGATATTGAGATTTGTATGAATAATTGCTTAAACAACAAAATATTACGAGTATCAATGTGTTATTGAACAAAAATCGTATTGTAACTATTTAAATTTAATTGAACTAAAAGTGGAAAAATAAATTGGTCTATAATGAAAATAAAATCAGATTTTTACTTTTTCTCTGGGGGTTTTAAGGCCTACCTACCCAACATAACCTTCACTCCAACATTCCCAAAATAACAAGTCAGTTCTTGAGGTTTTAATTGTAAAAAATGCAATACAATTTGTTACGTGTTTTTTTCCTTTCGTTTTTCTTTTGTATTTAAATCATAAAAACAATTTTACGATGTATCAGATTTGCCTTTAGTTAATATAATATGTAAGGTATATCCTATTAGTTGTTTTTGTAATGCCTGATTCTGCTATAGATGCACAACACTCGCAAGCGGAACGTGTGTTTTCTTTTTATATACATACTCGACAACAAAATTCAATAAATTAAGTTAGGTATGTATTTCTTGTTGGTACTTAATTGTTTTCGGTTTGATCAACGGACACGGGAAGAATGGAGCTGGGGGACAAGAAGGAGCAGGGCAAAGAGGCTGCTACTGATGTCGTCGCTGGTGTTGTTTGCAAGAGTAGAACCAATGTGATCCTAACTTAGTTCTACTTCTTTGCTACCTGACTGTCCAAAACGGGTGTGATTGTCTTGCCTCCAAAGATCTGACCCCAACCGATCAAACTGAAAGGGAATATTCAAAGGTTATTTCAAAGAAACTATTAGCGGACTGAGTTTACTCACCGCCAGTGGTTCTCCACACGTCTGCTAAGGGCAATCTTCTCGCCCTTCTCCGTGCAGACAGGCGTCGTGAGCACAATCTTGGCCAAATCACCCTTGGTGGCCGAGATGCGGCCGCCGGTGCTAAGGGATCCGATGTTAACCAACAGGATTTCGTTCTTCTGCAGCTTCTCCACGCGCGCACCCTTCTTGTCGCCATCGGTGCGGACACCCAGAAGGCGACGGAGGAGGTAGTACGAGATTTCCAGCTCCTGGTAAATGTCAGGCAGCTGGCCAACGGCGCCGAGCACCTGGCCGACCAAACGATCGGCACGGCAGAGCGTTGGATCGATCTTGGTGCCCACACCAATCAGACCGCCGGGCACGGCGTACTGCAGCTCGTTCTGCTCGGCGAACAGCGAGACGATGCGCGAGAAGATGGGACGGCAAGTGATGTTGCCGTCGCTGTCCTTGGTCACGACACCCGGTCGCACCTCGATCTCCTGGCCCACCTTCAGCACACCGCTCAGGATGGAGCCGCCGGCCACGCCGCCCTTTAAATCAGCCACTTCGCAGCCCGGCTTGTTGACGTCGAAGGATCGGATGACGATCAGACGGGGCGGGGCGTTGAAGTCGCGCGGCGGCACGGGGATCTTGTTCACAATGTACTCGCAGAGCACATCGATGTTGTACTTGAGCTGGGCCGAGATCGGGATGATCGGGGCGCCCTCAGCGACGGTGCCCTGGACGAATTTGGTGATCTCCTCGTACTGCTCCTTCGCCTGGCTCTCCTTGATCAGATCGATCTTGTTTTGCAAGATCAGAATCTGTTTCAGCTTCATGATTTCAATGGCCGCGAGATGCTCAGATGTTTGCGGTTGTGGACATGATTCATTGCCTTTGTATAAGAGGGTTATAAATTAGTAAGTGTCTTTGTAATATTAAGATCGTAAGTACCCACCAGCAATGAGCAGCAGGGCGGCGTCCATCACAGCGGCGCCGTTCAACATGGTGGCCATAAGAATGTCGTGACCGGGGCAATCTACGAAGCTCACATGCCGCACCAATCTGAAGTTTCCGGAGCAGTTGAGTCGGGTGCAGGGCAAGCTGTCGTCCTTGCTCGAAGCATCCGATACGAAGCTGGCCGGACGCGGGCACTTGGGGTTGTCACACTTGTAGATTTTGGCATTGGCGTAACCTAAAAGCAGGGCGAAATGAATTATAGAGAACATATTTCTTAATTCTTCTACTCTTCTGTGGATAAATCTAAATATATGCTATGTGGCTACACTAGATTTTGTTTTCCAAAACATAAGGCTTAAATAAATAAATACATAACATCATTTAATTATCATAAGTTATTTATTGTGAAATATTGATTTACACATACATAATACCGTACTTAATTTCAGCACATTATAAAGGTGGTTTGTCCAAACACTACTGTTAACCTAGTTCAATAATAGAAAAAAAATGAAATGTATAGAATTACATGTACAAATTATACAGCGTTCTCGATTTATTCCCTAGACGTATGTTGTTCAAACTTAATATAATCCACGATTCGTCGATATTCGCATTTGGCAGTGCAAAAGAATTAACAAATAAATAGTTAAAATGCAATCAATTAGTTGTTCATAATATAAATCTGATTACAGATGGCCGGCATGCGCCAATTGAAAATAGTAAAAGCCAATGCAGTTTAAGGTATTTTCCGACTTAACAAAAAAAAAGAAGATAACTTTGTGTCCGTTCAAAAGAGGACCTTGCGGCAATTGTCCGCCCCGCAGCGGCACTCAACGCGCACAGCGGTCGAGAGGTTCTCGTAGGGCAAGTCCTCGTTGTCCGCGCGAATGTAGTCGAAGCTCAGCTCCTCGCCCGCTTTAATTGGACGCAGCGTGAAGAACACGAGGTGCGGCAGGGCCACATTCAAGTGCTCGATCCAGCAGGGGAAGACGGCAAGATTCGGATCACACGAGTGGTTGATAAAGTGCGAGATGTTGCCATAGTTGGCCGCATCAATGGTGTACTCGCTCTCCTGCGCCGTGTTGTAGTCCAAGTCGAATAGGTACGTCCTGCCCTTGTCGTCGTACGCCTTTCCCCGCTCGTTGGCCTCGTCGCTGGTGATGATCTCCCCGATGTACTCGCACACAAATTCCCCCTTTCGCAGGGCACTCGGGGTCTTCACACCCCAGCCGCTGCCGTTGCTCGTCTTGAAGAGCACCAGCGGCAGCTGTCGTCCGTGCTGCACTAGACGATTGGAGCACGTCTCCTTGCAGGCACAGCGGCTATTGCACTCGAAGATGGCGCTGCCGGGACGCAGGCGCAGTCGTCGGTTGCTTCGCTCGTAGGCAAACAGCTCGCCAGCCATGCGGGCACAGCACTTCGTGGAGGCGGCGCATTCCTCACCGCCACCATCCTCATCACTGCACTTGCAGCCCAGAAGCCCCGCTTCAGGCTTCGGCACATTTTCGCCTATTATGTTCTTCTGTATGTACATGAAATTGCTGTCTATGGTCTCCAGATCCACGTTGTTCTCAACTTGTATGGGAGGCGATGGCTGCTCTACGACATTCATGCGTTGCTCAAAGATGGCGAGGTCTACCAGCTGCTTGCGCCGCGTAAATTGGGCTCGCTTGAGTTGCATATTGCGCAGCGCTCGCTCTCCGATCTTCTGCGGCTCCCGCTGGCTGCGACTGCTTGCCGCCTGGTATTGGGCCAGTAGAATGAGGTCCAGCTGCAGATTAAGCGGATCAAAGGCATCTACCTCGGCCACCGTGATGTTCTCCATCAGCGGCAGGGCCTCCAGCTGCTTCTCCAGCTCACTGGTTATCTTGGCCAAGTACGTTTCGTAGAGCTGCTGATGCCGCTGCACAAACTCCTCCATTTGGACGCAATCCGCCACATTGGCCAGGCTCTCCCAGGTGTTTTTGCTGGCCGCATAGCCCTGCCATTTGACTAAGAAGACTGGCTGATACTGATCTACCTCGACGCATTCAATGCGCTCCACAATGTACTCGCCCTTTGGCGGCTTCTTGACCATCAGTCCCTCGTTGTTTTTGGATCGCTTGGAGTTTGGAGTCGGCGTGCTCACACCGCAGCTACGTCGTCGCTTTAGATCGGCGGATCCCTTGAGAGATCCCACGTCATGGTCCTCGCAGCCAAAGACGCTGCCATAGCCGCTGCTATTGCTGGGACTCAGCGAGGTCTGGCTACTGCTCCGCCGGCTGGTGCGTCTGCCCACGCTGTACGAGGAGGATGATGGCATGGAGAACGGGGCCGAGAGACGGCGCAACCTGCTGTGGCGCCGCAATTCAGAGAGGTGTCGCAGGACGGAACGTTGCTTGATTTCGTACTGCTGTCGCTGCTGCCTGGAGCTCACAAGTTTTTTGATTTTCTTTTCGCTTAAGCGTTCTGCAAATGACAAGTTTTGGACAATTTTTGGATTGGATGGCGGGTTGTTTTTGAGCGCGTCGCAACCGAAGGAAACGAAAAAACCGGAGAGATGGGGAAAAAGAAGAAAAAGATTGGCAATTAATTAAATTGCTGGATTATCGGTCGAATCAATAAAGATGGCAAATTCAAGACTAAGCTAACAGAAAGAGATTCTTAAATATTCTATGGGAGATTTCTGTCTTTTTAGTCTACTTAGGCGACGACACACCTTGACAGGCAAGGCAACGCGTGCTATAATCCAGCAATTTAATTTAATTTAATTTAAGGAAACAAAATACACAGGAGTACGAGTTACAAGAGACAATCATTCGCAGAACGCTTCTTTCAACAGTATTTCGATATAAAGCAGCGACAGAGTTGGCTACGCGGTGTGCCGTCGTCGGAACGGTGTTAAGTAAGATTAATCTTAGGGCTAGACAGGATTTTGTGGGGTTATCATCATCGGCCAGCCGAGAAGGTTTACATACATTCTTAGGGCACTACGGGTTTACAGGCGAGCAGAGCAGGAAGGATCAACATCAACATACGACTAACTTAGGCTAGGAGCTAGAACTATGGTTATCCTGGACGGATCCCGGCACTCACCCAGCTTGATTGTGATATTGCGCTCCAGTTCGTTCTTGAAACGCACCGTCTGCACGCCGGAGATGGCCTTGACCACCGTGGATTTGCCGTGGGCCACATGACCGATGGTGCCGATGTTGATGGTTGCCTGGCGGGAGATGACCTCTGGCGAGAGAGGCGTTAGCTTGGACACGTCCTGCAAAGGGGCAAATGCAAACCGATTAATAAACTTTGATCGAGAGGATCAAGGAGAAAAGTGGGTGAAAACAAGACTCGTTTACCACCGCCACGCCCCCCGACAAAACAGCCCGCCGCCTCAGCTGCATGTGTGTATATGGGAAAGCCGTCGATTTTGAGGTTAGAATGTCGCTTGAATTGCATCAGCTAAATGGATGACAACAGTCGGGCTGTCCTCGCGCAACTGAGCTGCTGGCCGGGCTCTGAATCTCGCCCGGGCAAAAATCGATCCCAAAGGCAGGGCCAAAACCCCGGGGAAAACCAAACAGTCCCTAAATTTAGCGCCACGTGCTGCATTTTCCCTACGTTTGCAGAGCCACAACAAACGGCTGTTGGCCCCGGGAAAACCCACTCGGGGCTGCTGGACAGCCGGCTGTGGTCCGCTCGAGGGTATCTGATCGCGTCCTGGCCTCCCTCGCCCCGCTGTTTTCCCGGGAAGCGGCTTCCATGATGACGACGCGTACACTTTCACACACGGGCGGAGAGAAAAAAGGGCAGGCGGCGTCGGGCGGTCCTTTTCGGGCTGCTTACCAAGTTGCTGAGGTCCTGCTTCTGCAAGTTTTTGTTCACACCGATTTGGGCTTCAGCCGTGGCCATGTTGCGGATGTTTTCGAAAACGATGCGAATATAAAATTATAAAATATTTTCAGCTATTACAGCTCGGCATCAAATCTCGATATCGAAGAACGATAGGGCCCGATAGGCGGAGAGAAATAACAAATGGAGTGTTATCGATAGTCGGCGCGTGTTGGAAAGCGCCGAAAGTGCAGTGCTGCAAAGCGCGGGTGGTGGTTGGCCGGCCAACCGATAGTATCGATACACTGACAGCTCTGCAGCCGCAAACGCAAGGTAGAAATCCGCTTCGCTTCTCTTCTCTGCTCAACTGTACCGCCGCTTTTTGGTCAAATATCTCGCAAATTACGACCGCACGCACACCGGAAGAGCGAGCAGAATGTCGAGCGTGCCAAAGCGAGCCAAGCTGGACGGCGCCCCCGCCGACGGGAACACAACCGCAGCCGCCGGCAACAACGAGGAGGAGTCGGAGGCGCTGGAGCAGATTGATGCCTGCCAGAACGAGATCGACGCGCTGAACGAGAAGGCCAGCGAGGAGATCCTCAAGGTGGAGCAGAAGTACAACAAGCTGCGAAAGCCGTGCTACGAGAAGCGCAGCGAACTGGTCAAGCGGATCCCCAATTTCTGGGTGACCTCGGTGAGTCCTCATGGCTGCGGCCCGGTCCGCGTGTCTATCGTTGAGTATTAGAGCTCTCTTTCGAGGGTCCGACATTGTAGTGGGTTCCGTGACCCAGGCCACACATGCACAAGAAATTTTCTCTATTCGAGGAATTTTTCTTGTTCATCTTGGGCTGCAATGCCTTCCTTCGCCGCCGGCTCCCCGCTCATTTACCCCACCGAGAAAATCGTGTTATCGATAGACCCGTCTGGCGGGCCTCTGCGGGAAATACACAAATTTTCCCAGTCTTGTATTTAAATAACTAACCGATTGGGGGCTAAAAATCATTTAAGTTCAAATCACTGAAAGAAATGCTTTTATATACCATACTTGCAGTTTATCAACCACCCGCAAGTATCCGGCATTCTGGACGAGGAGGAGGAGGAGTGCCTGCACGCCCTCAACAAACTGGAGGTGGAGGAGTTCGAGGACATTAAATCGGGCTACCGCATCAACTTCCACTTCGACGAGAATCCTTACTTCGAGAACAAGGTGCTCACCAAAGAGTTCCACCTAAACTCAGCGGGTAGGTCCGGCAGGATATCCCCCAAAAAGGTCCTCCAATAACTAATTCACTTTCAGCTGCTTCAGAAAACGGCGACTGGCCCGCGTCCACTAGCACGCCCATCAAGTGGAAGGAGGGAAAGAACCTGCTCAAACTGCTGCTGACGAAGCCCTACGGCAACAAGAAGAAGCGCAACTCCGAGTACAAGACCTTCTTCGACTGGTTCTCGGATAACACCGATCCCGTCAACGATGAGATCGCAGAACTGATAAAGGACGACCTTTGGCCAAATCCACTGCAGTATTATCTGGTACCTGACATCGAGGTGGAGCCCGAGGACGAGGAGGACAACGAGGAGAACGAGGAGGAGGCATTCGACGACGAGGACGGTGAGGATGGCGAGGGCGAGGAAGAGGACGAGGATGAAGGTAAAAGATGACGCTATTTGTTGCTAGCAAAAGAATTCTCTAACAGCCTGCTTCCTTTCAGATGACAAGTAAACTGGAATTCAATTCGCGCTCCCAACCGAAGGCCCAAAGTGTTTTCAACTGTAGTTTCCCGTGTGGTTATGCAACATTCACATATTCGCAACCATTTCAGACATATTTAGGTTTCTATTTAAGTCCAAAGTCATACGTATTGAAGAGCAAAAGAGAATATGAGAATCACAATTTAAAAAATTTAAACAAATAAAAAAGACGTGAATCGAATCTCAAACGGAGTTGTTTCAAATTCCCGCCAGCTTTCCCGAGTTAGCTACTTTTTCAATAAACGTTTTGAGAAAATTCAATTCACGACATCACTATTGTAAATTTGAAATGAGTTTAGTTTTGGTAATGGACATTTTTATTATGGTAAATGAACGAAAAATTATAAATACAAATTTAAAATTTATTGAAATCCAATTTTTTTACTAGCTAGTTTATATATATTTAAATCTAGCTTTTTTTTGGTAATCGATAGCTGTCCCCGATCTCAAAGCAACCCTGGCGCAGATATCGAAAGGTCCCGTAACGAATAACGGAACCCTGGTTACAGCTGCGATTTTTAGCTGAAAGATTCTCGGGATAAAAACGATGGCCTCTGTTAACAAATTGGCAATTTTGGTAGGTTTAAGTGAATTTATTAAGGAGACTGGAACTCTCCGCGTGCAAAGCCAAGCCATCGAAAGCGCAACGCATATTACTAGTGCCTGGAAAACCCACCATCGCTCTTGTACAATTATCTAACGCGCTTTTCTTGGTTATGTAATTTTTGCCCACTTTAACCCAACAAACCGGAGGCAGTTTCTGTTTATTAAACCCTCTTTTAACAATCCCGCAGAGCCGCACCCTCAGCTCGGCAGCCGCCCAGGCGACGGTGAAGCCCCCAGTGCAGGTGTTCGGTCTGGAGGGTCGCTATGCCACCGCCCTGTACTCGGCCGCCTCCAAGCTGAGCCAGTTGGACCAGGTGGAGAAGGACCTGACCGCCCTGCAGGCCACCATCCGCGGCGACAAGAAGCTGCGCGAGTATGTGACCAGCCCGATCATCAACAAGAAGGTCATGGCCACCGCCCTGAAGGAGGCCTCCGAGAAGCTGCGCTTCGCCCCGGCCACCGCCAATCTGCTGGGTCTGCTGGCCGACAACGGTCGCCTGAAGAAGCTGGACACCGTGATCAACGCCTACAAGACCATCATGGCCGCCCACCGCGGCGAGGTTGTCTGCGAGGTGGTCACCGCCAAGCCCCTGGACTCCTCCCAGAGCAAGCAGCTCGAGGGAGCCCTTAAGGTAGTTACTTCTTACTGCCCCGTTTTGGTTCCTACATTCACTGGTTCCTCGCTTTCAGTCCTTCCTCAAGGGCAACGAGTCCCTGAAGATCACCTCCCGTGTGGACCCCAGCATCATCGGTGGACTAATCGTTTCCATTGGCGACAAGTACGTCGACATGAGCATTGCCACCAAGGTCAAGCTCTACACCGATGTCATCCAGACCGCTGCCTAGACCCTTACGGATTGCTCTTGATTTAAATGGTTCAAACTGAGAGTTTGGCATTGGAATTCTAGCGGTAATTGCGAATAAAACACTCTTAACCCTTGGAAAGCCAACGAATGTGCTTTAGATACTTGCAAAGGATGTGCTTTGGTCAACTTTTAATATTATCTGTGCACTGCAGCTCCGCCACCTTGTGCTGGATGGTCTGCTGCAACAGGTTGTGCTGCTGCAGCAGATTCTCCAGCTCCTTGATGCGAGCTCTCTGCAACTCCAGGACCTTGGTGAAGTTGTCCGCGGCCGGGCAATCAAGCCAGTTGTTCACAAAGTCATTCTGCTGTTCTTTAATGCCATTTTGGTTAGATTCATCAGCCTGATTGTGTGCCTCGCCAGCTGCCTCATCCGATTCCCCCTTAGCTTTTTGGGTACACCCATCCATTGGACCTTCTTCGAGCACCAAAACATTGGTCTCGTTGGCAGACCGACAAACTCTATAGTTTGGCTTGTCGATTTCCGGAAAAACGGCTCGTTCGTTGCTCTCCGTGAGATCCGATTCCTGAACGCAAATCTCTGGAGGCGGCGCCGAGGGACGAAGATTGGTTGGACAGCAGCAGGAATTATCGTAGTCATTATTTCTGGTGCCGTTCATAAGCAGCACATTGATGGCATTTGTATTTTTTCGCTCACCGCCGTAGGTGAAGTTACTTGAATTAGTGGTATATCCTGCCGAGAATCCTGTGAATGAACTCCCTGTTTGGTAACTGAAGGAACCAAAAGGCTTGGAACTTTGCGTCTGCAGAGCCACCTTTGAGCATTGCACCTCCCTATCCTTTAAATGGCTGTTAAAGCAAACCTGGCAGCATTGGTTCTTCAGCTCCGGCTTTTTAATCCTGTTTATCTGGTTCATTGGTATCTTGGAGGCGCCGTAACTTCGCCAGGTCTGCGTACTGCTTAAGCTGCGAAAATCATCTCCTTGGGGCTTCCAATCCTCCGATCTTTGTTTCCTTACAACGGAACAAGATGGGCGTTCACAGGACTTTGGTCTTTCTCTCTCCTTCCTTTGTGTTTTCTTAGTACTTTCCTGGCTTCCGGAATCTCTTGGATGAGCTTTATACTGGTTTTCCCTTAGTGCTGGACAGTTTGCCAATGTGCAAACATTGGGAGAAGCTCTAGTGCTCGTGTTTCTCGTAGCTTTGTAGGGATCTCCTGCAGAAATTCTGGTGTGGTTTTCCGTTTGCGCTGGACAGTTTGACCAAGTGCAACCTTCGGGAGAAGCTCTGGTGCTTGTGTTTCTCATCATTGATTGATTTTCCCTTCTATTTAATTTAGAAGATGCCTGTGGATTGGCGAAATTCTGACCCATTTGGGTTTGGTAGTTATAGGGATTGCCCTGAAACATACTGTTGCAGGCATTTCGAAAGCGACAGAAACCATTATTGCATCGGATCGCACTGCTCCCTTCCCGCCTTTCCGAACTAAGACTCTGTTTGCTTTGATCCTGCATCTCCTGGACAACCCTGCTGTTGGTGGGGTAGCCTGGCACAGATCCCGATCCCGAAGAGCTCCACTTGACGCTGGATTCCTGAAGGACGGCCGGAGTCCTTGTCCCCTCAGCAGCACCAGATGAGCCCTCCGATTCCGAGCTGGATCCCCGGTGGTCTGCGTCCAGGTGGGCGGAGCAAACGCATCCGTGGCGACACAGCGATTCCGTGTCCACGTCGAAGCTGCTGAGGTTGGCCAGGTTCTGCCAACGGCGTGCCTCGGTCATGTTGCGCGGATAGACGCAGTGGTCGCCCGGCTCCTGGCCACAGATTATACAACGACGATGCATTTTTAAACGGACAACCAGGACAGAAACGGTCAAATTTTGAATTTTGAATCCAGGGGCATTTTCGATAACAGCTATCGGAATGGGGCCTATCTGCACTACTTTTTCGGGGACATGGCTGGTCACACCAGAAGAAGCGTTTTGGTATTCTGAGCCAAACAGGAGTCCAGTGTGCATCGGTTTAGTTTAAAAATAGTAAATGCAACGAACTTTTGTGTGTTTTACTGGCCCACTCTTGATGACAAGGCCTGGCAGCTGAAACAATGAGCTTGGCAAACGACGCTTTACCCATGGAAATTACCCCGAGCCCCGGCTTGGCTGCCACGAGTCGTGGCGACCTGGAGAAGGTTCTGGCCATGCTCGTCCTCGGGCTGGGAAGCCTTTTATCCGGAATGCTGCCCGCCTGCATTTCGGAGCGGAATCGTCGCCGCTTCCCGCTGACCACTTCCCTGCTCCTCTGCTTCGGAGCTGGCATTCTGCTGGCCACCGCCTTGGTTCACATTCTGCCCGAGGTGAGTTCGGGTTGCTTTAATTTATGGAATTTGATTACCTGTTAACCGACACCGCAACAGGTGCGCGAGCAAATGGACTCGAAATTCGCTGAAGTGGCCATGTGCGGCGGCTTCTTCATCATCTACTTCATCGACGAGTTCATACACTACTTCTTTGGCGAGGCCATACAGCACACACATGCCCAGGCTCCGGAAACGGAGCCCATAAGGCGACCCACTAATAATGGCAGTGGCTATGGTGCAGTGGGTGAGCGGGCGCCTCTTTTATCAGCGGAGCCTACGTCACACGGCCATTCGCATGAACAGTAGGTTGAATTAATGCATTTCCCTGCCCCCTACTAATTGCTTTGTGTTTCGATCAAGCAGCGATCATGACCACGATCACCCGTACAGCGCATCCGGCTGTGATGACGCCAGCGTGGAGGACGCCAACGCCCGCATCTGCCACACCAGCCACACGGAGCCCTGCGTCCAGTCCATGACCGGCACCCTGGGCCTCTTTGTGGCCCTGTCCCTGCACTCGGCCATCGAGGGATTGGCCATTGGGGTCCAAAACTCTTCCACAAAGGTCGGTGCCGCCTGCCTTGACATAGTTAGACACTCGAGAGTAGTTAGTGCGCAATCTTGCGCAAATATTGAAGCAGTCTAATTAGATAACCGGAATCCGCTTTGTCTCGCTTTAGGTTCTATTTCTTCTGGGGGCCGTCGCCTGCCACAAGTTCGTGATGGGCTTTTGTCTGGGACTCGAGTTCCGCTCGAATCCGCAGACCAGTTTTCGCGCCCAGTTCGTCGGCATCTCGGTGTTTGCTCTGGGCGCTGTTATTGGCATTGGCCTGGGCATGCTTATCGTGGATGTGCCCGCCGCCTGGTCCAGCAAAACGCTGCCTATCGTTCAGGCTTTGGCTGGTGGCACGCTCTTCTACGTCACCGTCTGCGAAGTGATTCCGCGCGAGAAGGCGCGCTGGCACTCGAATAGCACGCGACGCTGGGCGGGATTCGCGCAGTTCGCAACTGTGGCCGCCGGCTTTGCCACGATGTGTGTCATTAATTTTTATCTATCTGGTAAGTAGTAGGATTATGTGGGTTACTATTCCATGCTAACTTATCTCTCTTTTTCAGATGAGGAATAGGAATCTTGGTTAGAGTAATCTTCATTGCGCTGTGACCGATTGTGCCCTTATTTTATAGGATAGCATAACTTTTACGCATTGGCAGCTGTAAGATCCCCTGATATGTGCATTTCCATTGAATCTTTTTATACATATATAGCCAGAATACAAAGCAAAAAAAATATCTTTTCGTCTACATTTATATTTTGCATTCTCCAAAGTACTTGTTATTTTTTTATGCTTTTATTATATATAATAAACCTTACACTTAAGTTGGTAATCAAAAAAAAGGGCATCCTTTTTCATTTTTGATTAATATTACTAAACCAATCATAAAACGTCAATCATTTTACTTATTTATCTGGGAACATCCTGCCTCTTGTTTTAAACCAATTAAAACAACAGCTATGTACTACATCTCTATATGTATGTAAATAGGCATATGTGTATATATAAAGTGTTTACCTAGTCTTGAAATGTTGGTTGGTTGCTCTATTGGTGGCGGTGTGTGTGAAACGGACACTCATAAATAGCTAAATCTTGGGTTGTTTGGTCTCTGATCTCTCATTTAAGGGGGACTCCTACGAGTTTTACAATTTCCGTGCGAGCAGCGCAACATAGATGGGATGGGAGGGGATTTACAAGTACGTGGGACGTGTAGATTAGATCTTATACACTTTAACCTGTGCATATGCGTATCTTATCATCCACCGCGATCTTCGTTAACAATTTAATTTACAATAGAAACCGAAAATTCTTAGCGAGCTCAGATGCTATTATCTGCTAACGAACTTAGAACATAAATAAATCTAGTAATTATAGCTCCTCCTTCGCCGCCGCACTAACCCCATTCTCGTCCTCCTCCTCATCATCGTCCGCCCATTCGCTAATGAGACTCTTCACCTTGTCCACGCTGGCTGCTTCACCGGACGTCGTCGTTTCCTCGGCAGCTTTTGCACTTTCTGGGGACGCCTTTTCGGGCTCTGCTGCATCACCACTCTTGTTTGGCTTGTCCTCTACGACGGTTTCCTTCTTGTCTGTCGTCCTGGCATCATCATTATTCTTAACCGGTTTATCCGCTTCCGGCTCATGCTCATCAGTTTCCATTTGGTCGGTGGACAGCTGGGTGGGTGGCACCAGGTCATCCTCTTCCGTCACTTCACTTTCTAAGGCTGGTGTGGATGCCTCTGCCGTAGCATTCTCCTCAGGTTGATCCATGCTCTTTTCCTGATTCGGTTTCTCGGCCTCGGCAATCAATTCATCGAGCAGCTCTTTGCGTATGTTATCGGCCTCCAGATGCACATCATCATCGGGAACTGCCGCTTCGGGCTCGGCGTCTGCAATTGGTGCATCTTCCTTGATAAATTCTTCTTCCTCGTTTTCGACCCCGTGCTCTTTCTTGATCGTGACGTCTGCTTTTGGAGCCTTCTCTTGCGGCGTTTCGGAGTCTACTTCCATTTTCTCTGGCTCATTGTTTATACTAGAGGCCGCAATAACAGCATCATCGACAGACTCCTCACCGGGTTTTTCCACAGCTTGATCTTCAGGTCCCTTGTGCAGAGACTGGAGGGCCAAGTCAATGTCGTCCTCCTCCTCTGTGGACTCTGGGTGCTTGGCGGCCAGTTCGGTTGCAAGCTCTGTGGCGGCAGGCTTGCCATGGGCATCTCCATCGGCCTCGTCATCGTTCTCATCCTCGGTCCAGTCGCCGGTCAGCTCCTTAAGCTTTTCGCTGATGTCATCCCGTGATTTTTCTAGTTTCGGCTGTAAAGTGGAAACAATGTTATAGTAGGAATTAACGGAATTATAGATAAACAACTCACCTCCTTGTTGCTCTGCTCCTCGGACTCTGCAATAAGGTTCTCAGCCCACTCGAGGTTATCGTCCATCGACTCTTTGCTCTCATCGGCCACGTTCTTTCTGGCGCTTTCCACAGAGTCGGCGGCAGCCAGCTCGCTGTAGATTTGACTGTCATCGTACTCCTCCTCGGTGCCGGCCAGGGATTTCTCATCCGTTTCCTGCTTCGCGGGCTCCGCCTCGGGTTCACTGAGCACCATTACCACTCCACCGGCGGCGGCGCCTGCTTGCTGCTGGTTGAGCTGCGAAAGGATCTCTTTGCGCTGCTCATCCGTGAGCTCCACCTCGTTGCCATCGGCACCCACAAACTTGACCTCCTGCTGCACCTGCTCTACCTCCTCCTCCTGCTGGTGCTGCAGCTGCTCCTGCTGCACTGCGATGGCACTGGTGGCGGGCAGACTGATGTCCGAAAGGATTCGCACTTTGTCAGTCTGCTGCGGTTCCTGCTCCTCCTCCTCCTCTTCCTCATCCTGAGAGCCGAGGAACTCCTCGTCCGTTTCATCGATTATGCCATCCTCCAGGGCCTGCTCCTTGTGGTAGCTCTTCATGTGCCTGTACAGCTGCAGCTCCTGCTCGAATACCTTGTTGCAGTAGATGCACTGCTGCTTGTTGTCGTCCGTGTGCGCCTCGTTGATGTGCGCCTCCAGCTCGCCCTTGGTCAAAAACGACTGGTTGCACAGCGCGCACTCGGCAAAGGTGTAGAGCAGAGACTTGATCTGGTGCTCCATGTACATGTGGAAATGCAGTTCCCGGTTGTTGCCCGACCGCCAGCCGCAGTGCTCGCATAGCGCCGGATCAATGGTCTCCTTGTGCGTGTTGATCAGATGGCGTCGGAAGCCGCGGTACGACGGAATGCTGATGGGGCGTCCGTTTACGCCGCACCGCAGGCACAGCCAGGGACCTGAAGTAAGGAAAAATCATTACTTTCTGGTAGGGAAACTAAATAGTTGGATCATAAGTAATTTCATTGACTTTGAAGGCTGTCAGTAGAGCCCTGCGTGAATCATTCAATTTTTGTTTCATTATAATGGCACACTATTTTAAAAATTTTTGATTTGGTTAATTCAATTCTATGTAAAATAAATTGAATGTTTTTCTAATTCATTTCGAATTGAATGAATAATATGTATAAATTTTTTTAATTTGCCAGATTTTATTTGTGCTTTCTTTTAAGAACAAGAAGTGGACAATTTTTAACAAATCAATGTTAACTTCGAATTGAATGAATGTATGAATAATTTTTATGAATTTATGGAATTTGCCAGGTTTTATTTGTGCTTTTTAAGAACAATAAGTGGACATTTTTTAACAAATCAATGTAAACTGCATAGTAAATAAAATGCAAACAGATTTAATCACAAAATTATGGCCCTTTCTTCTTCTAAAGAAATTGTAGTTTGAATTATTTCGGAATTCATGCTATTCATTCACTCAATTCTTAACTCAAAATTCAAATTCATTCAATTCTATTAAATTTAAAATTCTAATTAATTCATTCATATAAAACGAAAAATTCAAAATAATTCTTTAAATTCATTTACATGAAACAAAAATTGAATCCATTCATGCAGGGCTCTAGCTGCCAGTTATTACACTTTTGTAGATTCCACTCACCTGTAGTATTCTCGGCTCCTTGGGCAATCAGGGCGTGCATTGTCTTGCTGTCAATCCGTCTCTTCTGCGCAGCGGCCGCATTTGCCGGTGGATTCGCCACAGGTGCCTGAGAAGAGATACCCTGCGTAGTTGCAGTCTTCTGCTGCGAACTGGCCGCCTTCTGCTGAGCGGTGATCAATGGCGCATTCTTGTCGGCCTTAAAGGATACATGCAACTTCTTGTGTGGCGATGTGGAGGCGGACTGAGTCGGTGCTGGCTTCACTGCCGCCGGTGCCGACTTCTCTGCGGGCGGTGTGTTGGGCATTATTTTCAGCTTGATGTTCTTGTGGCCCTTGACAATGTGCGGATACTGGCGCAGCACTTCGGCTATGATCTTGGTGTGGTTCAGCTTGGCGTTGGACGAATCCTTCACGATTATCGTGGGCGTCTGGCTGGGCGAGTCCTGCTTGAGGATGATAGTGGTAGATCCGTGCTCCAGCTGGGTCTGCGTGCCCTGCGGCGACTGCTGCTTGGACGTCGATGGCTGCGGCGGCATATCATCATCATCGTCGTCTCCAGCATGGACATCATCGTACAGCATGCCGCCATCGTACTCAGGATCGTGATCTCCGTACTCCGCAGCTATTTGCTTACGCATCCGCTGTTGCTCGGCAAACTCCTTGACCTCCTCCAAGCTGGGCTTCTTCGAGGGCGGCGACAGCAGGCTGGTCTGTGCCGGCCTCTTGTTGTTGTTATAGCCCTTCCGCAGCTGCTCGAATGGCGAGGTGGGCTCCTGCTTGATTGTGCCGCTCGAGGTGCGGATCATTGGGTTGCCAGTGGGTCCGCGCTGTGTGTTGCCCCGCTGCATGGTGGGTGTGGCCACATTCCGGGACGTGGGCGACGGTCCCAGGACGCGCTGCTGGGGAAGACCTGAGCTGGGTTGTCCCACGGTGCGCCGGCGGATGCCCTTCGGACTGGGAGGCTAAAAGGAATGGCATACCAGGTTAAATAACAAGTAACAAATGATAAATAAGAGGTACTTACCCTCTGCTGGCGGTTCACGTTCTCCATGGTGCGGCGATGCGCCTCGAGGAGCTTCAGCAGCACCGTCATGTTCATCTCCTTGGCGGTGCGCAGCAGCTTGCCGTACATCTTGAGCTCAAACTCCAACGTGCCGGTGTACATGAAGTTGACAATGGGCACCACCACGTCCGCCTGGAACTCGTTGGGCATGATGAGGGCATCGTCGACGATCTCGCAGGTCTGCTCCAGAACATTGAAGTAGTCGGTGCAGGCGCTGAGCACCAGGCGGTGCACCTTCAGCTGTGAGTTGTCCCGGAACTGCAGCGTCAGGTCGCAGTAGTCCGTTTTGTTGAAGAAGTTCTGCAGCTTCTGGAGGAAGAAGACGCCCCAGTTGTCCACCTTGACGGACTTGACCTCGCCCATCTCGCCGTTGCTGCCGCTGTGTGTCCTGTGATCTTCGTATCCTTGTCGTTAGCCTCCCCGCGGTTTCGCTTGCTCTATTTTGGCTTCAGGGCGCAACTGTACTCCGGCAGGGGTGAGGATGGAATTGGGGTGGGCCGCAGGTTAGGAAGGAACCCAAGAAAGAAGCAACACAATATAGATTAGTAAGAGGCGTATTTTACGAGGCTATTTTCAAATGGACGCCAAATGATTTTCCGTTTTTTTCGCTTTATTTTGCTCTGCCGCCACGGCGCGAAATGCAACTCGCTAAAATATCGATATACGGACGTGTACGTGTGCCCGTATCCCGCTTTTATGCGTGTGTGTGTGTGTTGTGCGCGTCGCCAGGCTTTCTTTTATTATTTCTCTATAATTGCTAATTGTTATTGAGCAAGTCATCTAATGTTTATGCCCGAACTGCATTACGCATCTTTCGGTTGGTGGCATTTATTCGAGCCCTTTTGGCGCGCCTGTCCACTTCACACAACAATGGGTTTTTGGGGCACACACATTTCACTTTGACCCCAGCGGCTTCTCAATCGAGCGCCCTTAGATTAATTGCACACTTTTCGGATGCACAGCAGGCACTTGCACTTTTAATACATACATTTACTCGTATTGCACACTACTTTTGCCGGACAAATTCTAAATTTTCTCCAGAGTCAGGTCGCCATATTCTTTTCCATTCATCGCTGGCGTGACAGGGTTGCACGCTGCAGCTATCGATAGGCATGCGATAACTTCTGGGGCAGGCATGGCGTTGTTAAGGTGCCGCAAGGGCAGAAACCGTTAAATTGGAATTTGATAAACCTTTTGTGACGTATTTACTTTTCCTTATTTAATTTTCGATGATTTTTATCTGATTAGAGAATTAAATATATTAATGTCAAGCTAACAATTTAAAAAATAAAGAATTAACGTAACAAAAGCGTTGCTTTTTTAATACTCGCCAACTGTGACGTCACAAAGATTTCAGAACACCTCAAGTTGCAATCAAAACAAAACGGGTGGGCAGCTTGAAAACCACGAGAATTTGGAATTAAGAATTAAACCCTTTTAGAATGAGTGGCCGGAATAAAGGAAAGGGAAAGCGAGGAGGAGGAGGAGGACCCTACCGCAATGTCAAGGCGAATCACAACTGCGCCCGCAACTTTGCCCAGCAGGCCAACGAACTGGCCAACAGCAGCAGCAGCAGCGAGGGCGACAGCTCGGATTCGGAATCCTCAGGAGCCGAAGTCAAGGACGATCTCGGCCAGCCGCCAGAGTTCTCGGTGGCCATGTGGGACCTCAACCACTGCGATCCGAAGAAGTGCTCGGGCAGGAAACTGGCGCGCCTGGGTCTGATTTCCAATCTCCGCCTGGGTCAGAAGTTTCCCGGTCTCGTCCTCTCGCCCGTTGGCCAGTTGTGCGTCAGTCCGCTGGATCGGGAAGTGGTTTCGTCCTCCGGCGTGGCCGTGATCGACTGCTCGTGGGCCAAGCTGGACGAGACGCCCTTCGCCCGGATGCGCAGCCCACATCCGCGTCTGCTGCCCTTCCTGGTGGCCGCCAATCCCATAAACTATGGCAAACCCTGCAAGCTCAGCTGTGTGGAGGCCATTGCCGCCACTCTGTACATTTGTGGATTCACCGAGGAGGCTCGCTGGTTCCTCGGCAAGTTCTCCTGGGGTCACGCCTTCCTGGAGCTGAACGATAAGCTCTTAAACGCCTATGCCGCCTGCAAGAGCAGCGACGAGATAGTCAAGGTGCAAAACGAGTACCTGGAGCAGGAGCAGAAGGAGCGGGATAAACCCAGGGATCTGCGCGACTTCTACCCCACCAGCAGCAGTAGTAGCGAGTCGGAAAGCGACCATGATGACTAATCTTTACAAGGTGCTGACATTTTATTAGCATTATTACCATTAGCTTATTACAAATCATTTTACTTGTGTTTTAATTTACAAACCAGTTGTTAGAAGCAACTAACGCGTTATTGCAAACTGTTTGGATGAAATTTTCACTTCAAGTCAAGGAGGAGATGATGGCCTACTGTGCATTTCGCACGTACTCGGGGTCCACGTTGATAAAGTTGCTCATGCTGAAGAACATTGCGCTGTTCTTCACCAGGAACTTGAGGAAATCCTGCAGGTGGACGAGCAGATTCTGCATGGACTGCTGATCCAGCGCCGAGTAGCTGAGCATGGAGCCCAGCCGCACGAACAGGCGCAGCAGGTGGAAGGATCCGTAGAGCTCGGAGAGCGGTGTGTCCGGATGCTTCTGCATCACATCCGCATACTGGGTGCGTTCGAATTTGTACAGCAACTGGGAGCCGAGCATCACATTGAAGTACTCCACAATGCCGTCGAGCACATCGTTTATGGCCACCTCCTTGCTGGCGCTGGTCGACTTGACCGACTTCTTGTGGGCCAAATACTGCTCGGAGATCTGCTGCACGGTCACCTTGGCGGGCAGCTCCAGCAGCTTGTGCTCCCGCACCACCGCATACCAGTCGTCGGTCAGATAGTGCTTCAGTTCGTCGGGTATCTTGATCTTGACCTCCAGCTTGGCGGCGTAGGCCTCCTCGCTTTCCACACAAGGTGCGGGCTCCGCGGTGGTGGTGGGTGTGGATGGGGTGGTGGGCGGCAAGGGCGCCCTGTCCGCCACATCGCTGCCCGTTAACGAAGGCCGCTGTTCGCTCATCCGCTTCTTCTTCGGCGCCACCGGTGTGACTGCCTCGTCCTCTGTGGTCTCCGCGGCGGTGGCGGCTGCGTCCTCCTTTTTCTCACTTGGCGTGCCGGGTCGCACCGCTGCCGACTGTGTGGACTTGCGGTTGGCCCGGCTGGTCGTCGTGGTGGTGCTGGTGCTGTTGGTGGTCGTGCTGCTGGTGCTACCGGCATCCGATTTGCTGCCCGGACCCGCACCGGTCGTCGGTATGCTGCTGGCGGTCGATTGCGAGGTGTTGCTGTCCTTGGAGGGCGTCGAGGCACGCGATTCGTTGCGCATCTGCTCCACTTTCTTGGCCTTGGCGCTGCCTGTTAAGGAGAGGGTTTAGTGGAGGATGACTTGCTTGCTCCTAAAACCCACCTTTCTTATTGTCCTTCTTGGAGCGCTCGCCGCACTGACGCGCCAGTTCCTGGCGGCGCTTGACGTTGTCATCGTTGTACTTGAGCACTCGGCTCTCGGGCACCCACTCGTCCCAGCTGAAAGTGAGATGGCAGTACTGAAGATCGGTTTCCTGGCCATTAAGTTTGCTTACTTTTTGCTCCAGCCCGCGTAGTGGATGTAGTACTCAACCGGCGTCGCATCGGGCTTTGTTTTCAGAACCTTTGCCTCGTAGATGAGCGGTCCGTGGAAGCACAGCACCCGTTCCCCTGTGGAAGTGCCATTATATGTAAGTCAACTAATGATTGGGACAAAGACTGCGGCTTACCATCCACGAACAGCGTGTTTGCGTCGTTCCCCGTGCTATAGTTTTCCACTTTAGCGGGTTTTACTTCTCCCATTTTATTTTCTTGCTATTTGCAAAACAGAAAATATTAGTATGACCGTTGGGCACGCACAGTACTATCGGCCTGTGAAAACTATCGAAAGCTATCGATTAATTACAGGGTATTTGCTAAATTTTAACAATATTTATTATTATGGCTATTTACAATAAACAGTCTGCTTTTAACAGGTTATTATGTTCAGGGAACACAAAGTCTAGTGTTTTGCCGTGGAGGGCTGACCCTCCTCCTCCCAGGGACGTGGACCGCGCTTGTTCTCCCAGTGTTCTATGTCCACGGACTTGACTTTGTCGTACTCCGACTCCAGGGTCACCTCCTGGCGGTTCTTCATGCTCACGCCGTACTTCTTCATCTCCTCCGGCGTGACCGGCTGCTTCTTGGCGTACTGATACCTGTAAAGGTGGGAAGAGCCATGGGTTGACTTTAATAAGGATTTACCGGTGTTTTCTGAATGCCCACCTGAGGTTCGAGAACTGCTGCAGTCCAAAGGAGCCGGCCACCATCATGATGAGGAAGGGTATGCCATATTTAAACGATTTTCGTTTACTATAATAGTTTAATTTGTCCACGAACGACATTGTTGTTTGTTATGACATTACAAATAAAAAAGGTAAAAGTTAAGTGTGACCAGAAGGTGAAGAACTTTGGAGCACGTTTGGCGGGAAATTTAAAAGCCAGTCTTATCTAAAACGTTTTGAACTATTTTATATTTAATTAATTTGGCGTTTACCTAAGCAATGATTTCAAATAAAATATGAAAATACATAATAGTTTTCGTTTCCTTAATAAAAAATATATTTTTGTAAATTCGTAAGATCAATTTGGCACACTCTGCTTATTTTTTGCACAATCTTAAACTACACACATTAGATGTCTATGTCAATCGCTCTGTGCAGCTGTCGACGTCTTTGAAAACAGTTGCCCTTGAATCGCAATCAAAAGATTTGTGTTCCCTGCCAAGTGTGAACAATTTCTATAAATTTCTTAGCAACAATTGTTTTCCGGCGCACGCCTAATGGCCAACATTTGCATGGGGCTTGGCGATAAGTTCAAGGTCCCCGACATCTCTCGGGTTCTCGAATAATTGACACTGACAATGTTGAAGAGTGCCAAAACGCTGTTCACATGCGCACGACATTCGATCCGGCTCACCTTGGCCAGTTGCAGGCTTCGGCAAGGCAAGTAGCTCGCAGCGAAGATTTCCTTTTGCTGCCCACAGCTCCAACCAGTTCGCGATCGCTTCATTCACAAGGAGCCGGCGCCAATTGAGTCATCAGAGGCCCCTGAGACTGGGCTAGTCCCACACACGCCCCCAACACCGCCGCCTCCCCCCACAGATTATATTTCATTTTCCGATGCACCCTACTCGCGGTCGATCAGTGATCTTTCGATTGACTGATTTGAAAAATAAAGAAAAGTCACTATTATATGATGTTCGATTCGATGGTTTACAAGCGAAAACTTTATTATATTTTGAATAAATTAATTCCGAGTTAAACTCTAGAATATCTTTTTTTCCACATCATATTAAAAATAAAACTAAATGTTCTTAAGCTGTTATTTTTTCAGTGTAGCCTTTCGTCTAACTGATCTGATGCGACTAACCCAAGTGGTCAAACTAAAATCGAATTAAATCAAATTAAAATCATAAGCTAAAACTTGATTATATTTTGAATAAATTAATCCCAAATTAAACTCTATAATTCCTTTTTTCCACATCACACTGTTATTCAGCTGTTATTTTTTCAGTGTAGCCTTTCGTCTGACTGATCTGATGCGACTAACCCAAGTCGTCTATGCCCCACAGGCCGGATTGCACTTTTCCATGCTATTTTCGCCAAATATGGTCGCGATTTTTCTAACAAGATTGAGCACTTGTCTGAGCCAAGCTGAGCGCTCCACACTCATGAACTTATTTAATTCGCGTATATTTTGGAATTATGAAAACTTTGGTTTTCCATAACTAACACATGTCAACAGATCCGATCCAATGGCCATGATTTCGTTTTCGAATTTAGCAAGTTGCTCAGACTGTTTCGTTGTTTTACAATGTTTTTTTTTCAACGTTTTCTCAAGGGTCTTTCTCATTACTGTATATCTTCTTCACCCCTGCTATATATTTGTAAATATAAAAATATATTGATCTAGTTTTGTTTTTTCAAAACTTTTTGTTTTGAATGAAAACAATTACGTCAGTCTGTGGGTGTTGCTTTGATTTTATTTTAAACTTTTCAACAGCCTCCGAGTGCCAAAAAATGTTCTCCAAGACAAAAAACAACAAAACCCAAAAAAGTAAATACATATGCTGATATCAAATTGGCTTATATTTATAGGTGGCTTTGGTTGCATTCATAAATACATACATTTATGTGTGATCTCCTAAATATAGGCAATCATTGATAAATTATTATTATTATTAAAAATGAGTTTTGATTAACAATAACATAACACCCCTTATTAATAATCCTGTCCTCATGTCAAGGATAAACTAGCATACTTTGCATACTTTTAAGTTTTTAAATTAACAAATAAGGTTTTTATTTAAAATATACAACAACTCAACAGACTATTCTAATCATTTCTCGATTAAACTTATTTAAAGCACATGGTTCCTTGAATACATTATTCTTTAAATTCATTAAATTAAATATAACAATACAGAAGATTTAATAAACGTGATCAAGAGTTAAAAATGCTATCTAGAGGGCAAAGATAATACCAGATCGGATGTACAATGATCTTGAGGAAATTGATTTTAAGCCATTTTCACGTTTTGCAATTAAAAATGTATGAATCATGGAGGTGTTTTCTTCCGAGACTGTTACAAAAAACGTATACTTTCATATGTGACATTAATGATTGCCAGCAAAATGTTTTCCGTTCGCAGACATGACGTTGAAAAATCAACAGGAATCGCTTAAAATATATAGAACAAAAAATAATAATCTGTAGACCTATGGTGGAAATACGTATAACTACGTGAAACAAGATTTTTTTGGCATATCAATAACTGAAAATTAAAAATAGAAGTCGAGAACATTAAAAAGCAAAACAAAAAGATCCACTAACCAATACATTCACGTGGGAAAAAGAGAAATGATTGCCTAAGTATTGGAAATATTTTGCAATGAGAAAAATAGTGGGTGAGAAAAGCTTTTCAAAATACAGGGAAATTTTGAAATGTTTGATTCCAATCGCCTGAGCACCAATACAATCGCACCGAACAGGTGAAAGCCCCAAAGGAAAGGATCGGGAAAGAGAGGCAGAGAGAGCTAAGAGAAAGGCGCAGGCGCCGGCTATCATTGTGTGAGATTAAATTGTTAAATGTAGTGGATATTCTGATGTGATGCTTTCGGTTACACTGGCAGAAATTAAAAAAGAATTAAATTGTAATAAAGAAATAATAAAATATTAATTTACCTTTTAACGTTATCCTAATTTAATGACCTTAATTTGAATGTAAAATATAATTGATTGATTAACAGTGAATACTTTATTCAGAACAGCTTTTCTAAGCTTTTTATTGCTAGTAACTTCAAAATTTTCTATCCATAAATAAAAATCTCTGCGATAAATCTATTTTGATTAATTTTCTTACAGTGTACAAGCTTACATACAATACTCGCACAATTTTCCGATTCTCTGGCGTAAATTGAGAGCCAAGTGCAGTGCAGTTCCAAAATAAACGCAAACAGCGACTACATCACCTCGCTTTTGGCCGAAAAGTGTGAGCTCTCGCACACAGATACTCACCCACACTGGCGCAAACGTGCGGCGGCTCACACGAACACACACCAGCGCAGACCGCTCGAAATCGACCAAGCGGCGAGCATCGAACGTCAACATATTGAATAAATATTTTCAGTTGAACATCACAATCCGTTCAAGTCGCGGATAACTCCGAATAAAAGTTTTGTAAGTAAAAAAAAGGAATACGTTAACGTTAAAAAGCAAAAAAAAGAAATAAAGAAAAGATATCACAGAATTTTTAAACTAAAGAACCTGTTGAGTGCTTAAAAAATAATTCAATTTTAATTGGGAAAAAAGGATCGAACCAACCCAATAATATAATTACATAACCGAAACGTTGCTGCAAATCCAACTTGAAATCAACCAAAGTGCTGTGCAATTTTTAACTTAAACCATCCGCAAGTATAAAAGAATATTTGAAATATTTTCAGTCAGAATCGAAAACCCAAATAGAGGTTAAGCACCTTTCGAGAAGAGCTAAGAATAACGATTCTCGGGACCTTGTCAAGTTTGTCTGCTAACCGCAAGTCGCTATATAGGGTTTCTGCTAAACGCATTTCATCAGATATATAAACATTGTCAGTGGGCAGTTAAGGTGATCTTTAATTGTTGCAGCATTAGTGGGGAATTTAACCAGGAAGAATTGGTGCTATGAATTTCTATACTTTCATTCACGTTCTGTAAGTAAATAGGCTCTTGATTCTTTTTTAGAAATTCTTTGCTTATTTTTGTAAGCAAGATTGCCAAGATAAGATAAAGATAAGAAGGGTAAGAAAGACATTTGTAAAATTCTTTATAGGGGTCACGTTTTAATTGTTATTTAACTAACGTTTTCGGAACTGAATGTATACTATATTCTAGAATGCCCAATCTTTTATTTTTCTTATTCCCAATACATATAACTTGAATCCACGCGCATTTATTTTGCAATTTTGTATCTGTGAAATCCGATACACGACCGCTGGCCTTAGATGCCAAATGGATCTGCAGCGAACGTAGGCGAAATCCACCAAGAATTTCCCAGAAAGCTCCCTGCTCTCGGCGCTACTCAATTTAGTATTAAGTAATATCCGTGGGGAGGCAAGATATTCAACAGATGCCTCAGTTGGCCTATTTTTAGATACTTTCTGTGTGTGCCAGAGAGATAAAACACTGAAATAGAGAGCAGGAAAGAGGCAGAAAGCTTTAAGTATTGCCCAAGGCATTTAGCTAAAGAATCTATATGCGTTAGACCTATTTAAACCAACGTGTGTATATTGAAATCTATTAATAGAAAATTCTGTATTCTGTATAAAGAAAATCTGAATTTTTCATTGGATAATTTGGAAATTTCCTGTGGAAAAGTACATTTTAGGGGGCCAGATACAGTTGAAAAATTTCTGGAATCTGAGTGCTGAGTTAATAAATATGCGTAGAATAATGCCTGAAATGTCTTGAGTTTGTAACTTCATGAAAACTTTATTATTAAAATAATATGAATGATACCACTTTGGTATAGACCCATTTTTTGCAATATATATATGTCATTGCCGAAAGTTATAAGATGTCATGCGAATTTTTGTGCTGAATCAACGCAAACATAAGTCAATGTGTCACCTCAATCGACTTATAGCCCATACACATGCAGATATTTTATATATGTTTCAGCGAACAAAAAATTTGCATCGATTGCGATTTCATTAAAATTCAACTTTTTGGTTTTTTCGATTGGTCGTTGTTTTTTTGCAATGCCACTTCTCTTCTGCGGATCAGGCTCAGGAATGTAAACAGAGTTTTTAAAAATAAATGCATGTTTAAGGCGGGAGAACAACAAATGACAGCGATGAGCCGTAATAAAGAATTAAAATTTCACGAGGCGAAACTCGAGTCAATTAGCCGGCGGTTGCATTCGGTTCGAGCCATGACAAATGTTGTTCAAGTGGGTTTTGTGTTGGCCAGGAGGAAAGGGGCAGAGGGTTAGGGCTAAAGCTGGTCCTGAGAAGGGGCCAAACCCTCCAGCTGCGTTAACATTGAGTCAGAAGTCTGGAGCGATTGGGAAAAAGGAGAAATAGTCCACAGCAGCTGGGCATATGATTCATTGTGGGGTTTTTAATTAAAAGATGGCAACTTCCGAATCCAAAGTTCCACAATAAGAATAAAAATTTTAAGAAAAAGCTCACCAAAATATATAGTTTCTCAATTATATGCATAATATTATAAAAATAAAAAAACTGTTGATAAATGTACAAATCTTCAAAAATATTTTATTTTTAATTTTTTAAACCTATTACAAATTTTAATCAATTTAGGAACCGATCTCATAACCCAGATTTACCCCAATCTACTGACACAATTCTTCGTTGGTGACTGAACTCTCTATTTAAAAATCTTTGCCCAGCTTCGCTCAGATGTGATCAGCATAACTAAGCACACTTTTTGGGTTCGAAGTCTCCCCGCCGAAATTGAAGACAGGAATCCGAAACAGAAACGTGCATTACCTAGTCAGGTATTCTCGTTTAAATGATTTACTGTGAGATGAGAAAACACTCTCGAAAAAAGCAAACGCCCGAGAAAGAATCGAGCAATAAAAGTCGTGCGGAGACGCCAGCGAAATATTAAATTCTCAATTTATCAGTTGGATGAGCTTGAACAATGAGTCTGACTTGGAGAGGGGGCCTTGGGCGGCTTGGTTTTTGGCCAGTCCGAATAATTTATTGGCTTTGCCACCTTTCGTCCAAATAAGGCTAGCCATTATTCGAAATCACTCGATGAGTATCTTGAAAAGTAGAGAAAGATATGTATCTGCTACTGATAGCATAAAGATAAGCCGGGTTTGACTCATTTTTATAGAATTTAATATTAAGTTTAATAGGTTCCCTTAAATTACTTAAAATATAACTCCTGAAATTATTGTAAAATGCAAATGAACTTCCACAGAGTTTCACTTTCGTTTAAACCTTGTTTTGTTTTTCCATTTCCATTGCGATTGATGGTTATCGCATAAATTTGCTAATTGCCTTATTGGCTGCACTTAACAACAATTTCGATCGCAATCTTCAATATCCATCTCCGTTTCGATTGCAGTTTCTTTCGAGTGCAGTACAGTAGCAAAACAAAACAGTCATGGATGCCATCAAGAAGAAGATGCAAGCGATGAAAGTCGACAAGGACGGAGCTCTGGAGCGCGCTCTCGTCTGCGAGCAGGAGGCACGCGATGCCAACACCCGCGCCGAGAAGGTGAGTCAAAGTCAGCCACCCCATTTCCCTATCCCCTGGTGCACAGAAAAAAAATATAGGTGCATTTCTAACTTTGTATTTGTAACTATAAAAAACATCCAAAACTTGAAATTCTTTCAAAAACGAATTCATATAATGAATTTTATATTACAAAATATTAAATAAAATATTAAACTAAAAATAATGAAAAATATTAAACACCTTCTTTGTTATAAATCGTATTTAATACCATTTCTTTGCAATTTCCCTCATGTGTAACCGACTACGAATTGAAAAACATTTATTGTAACAAAAAGCATAATTGCCGGCTTTCACACAACACCATAAATCTTGTTAGCACATGCAATTCCCATGTAGTGCCTTGATTTGTAATAACATTTTATTTATTATTTGAATCCGTAGGCCGAGGAGGAGGCTCGCCAGCTGCAGAAGAAGATCCAGACCGTTGAGAACGAGCTGGATCAGACCCAGGAGGCCCTGACTCTGGTCACCGGCAAGCTGGAGGAGAAGAACAAGGCTCTGCAGAACGTAAGTTCACTTTTCGAAATATTCTATAGAGTAGATCTTAAGATAGGTTTAGAAACAAGATCGGAATATTTTTAATAATTCAACCTGAGTCATGTAAAGTAATAAAAAAATTAGTTTCAAATTAACAAAATTCCATTATGTTTTAAAGACAATAATTAAACTTCAATAAAGAAATTTTATATTTTTTTTTTGTAATTTCTCAAATATTGTTATGTTATCAATTTAATATTTTCCCATATTTCATGAGTAAGTTTTTTGACGCACACATGCATCTATGACGTCATTTTTTTAAAAAACTGAAACATTTTTTTCTAATAATTTTTAATTTGTGGTATCCTGAGGTTGACTATTATTCGTCTGACAGCTTAAAATAAAGTTTGACAAATATTGAAATGGATACAAAAACTTTCTGTCAAAAAGCGATAATTAGTTAAGTCACTTAACAAGGCGTCTGAAACACAAGGAAAACATTCCATAAATCATTTGAAAATGTAGACCGCCATTTGTCAGTTTTCAGATGTCCAGAATCTTAAGCCATTTCCCCTCAAAATTTACCATAAGCCATTTTAGTTCCTAAGAAAAATACGTATATTTTGAGTGCTTCTGCTCAATATTTTGAAATGCATTCAAGGCAAGAAATACACATAAATTTATAACAGGCGATTTAAAAGCGACTCGGTGACAGCCGGTGGTTTTTTTGGGGGAGATTGTCTTGAAAATGGGGCAGCGGCAATTTAACGCCAATTTCATGGCAGCTTGAAATCGGAGAAATTGTTTGGGGGAAACATTTTTTTAAATTCCAAAAAACATCATAAATTTCTTTTTTGAATTTCAAACAAAGCAGTCAGCAATTGACAAGTAGCACTCCCTCTCTTTCGCTCTCTCTCTTTTCCTGTCTTTGCTGTTGGCAACGCCTGGCGGAGAGGCGCTATTTTTAAATCTGTTGAAAATAGCCAACGCAAGATATCAAATAACGCAGCTAAATTTTTCTCTTGGCTTGCCAAAAAACAAAAAAAAAATCGTTCTCGCAAAAAAAAGCACGTACACGTACTCTCTATTTCTCTGAATTAGCTTCGAATCTAGAACATTTTTCGTTGTGGGCCTCAGTGCTTCCAAAAAGAATTCGAATTGCGATTCGTCTTTTGATTCCGACATTTTGGGAAAGTATTTCAAGGACATTTGGCAGCGATTCAAAAAGTGTCGGCAGGTAAAATGCTTGGGAAACTTATCGCTCGAAGTGGGCCTTCAAATAAAATACTTATCAGCCAAACAATGTTGACTCTAAAACAAATATGACAAAGACAACGGATGCCTCTGACTAATAACTTGAAAATGAATGAAGAAAAAAACAAAAGATAAGCAATTAAATGAATCAAATGCTGAAAATTCTCTCTTATTGGGAGACGAAAATCTGCGGAAGAGTTGAAGAAATGTATTTGGTGAAACACTCTCTTTCTCTATCCCTCTCTCTCTCTCTCTTTGGGTGGGTGGGGATCCATATTGGATCCTATATGGATCCATATTGCTGACTCACTCGCACACGTGCCACACGCAAAGACCCACAGAGAGAGGAAGCTAGTGAGAGCGAGAGTTTCCCCATTCTCATCTAACGGTGAGCGCATGGCCCCAAAATTCAAGTACAACACAAACACAACACAACGAGGGGCCGAGGAAAAAGCAGCAGAAAACTCAGCAGCAGCCGCCCGCTCATAAATCCGTCGAGGGAAAACTTAATTAATTAAAATAATTACCAACCAAATTACACTCCTATAAATTAAATTAAATCCCGTTCGGTCTAATTAAATCGTTCCAAAAATCACTGCTTTCATTTAAATCCGATTTAAATGGAATTCTAGCGATTTGTATAAATTACATAAAAAGTGTTGCGGCTCTCTCTTGGCAATTTTCACGCGCCGATGAAAATTCGCAAAAGATCTGTATTAAATCATCAATAAAAATAGCGAAACTAACGGTACCATGAGCCCAGCTGTTTGAAAGCCGCAACAAAAACAGCAAACCAAACCAAAAACTATAAAACAACACGCACCAAATCACAGAGATACAACAAAAAAAAGCAACAACCATAGGCATTGCTCATAATTAATATGTACGAGAAAACATTAAACATAGGAACTGCAAAAGTTAATAATGCATATGAATGGCAAAAAGTGAGATACAACAACAAACCGCAACCAACAACAACATCAGTTAAAGTCAAGCAACAACCACAACCGATACAAAAGCAAAAAAATGCAACAACAAAAGTCGCGCCAACAACAACCACAGCGCCACCGTTAACCGGCAACAGCATTACCGTTAAGCAAGGGCCAAAAATCAAATTCGTTGGCAACGCGGCGCGCCGGCAATCGTTGGCGCATCAAATAAAGCGAGCACATCGCCACTTACTGACCAGCGGCGGTCAGGACAAACAGCCGCAGCAAAAGCGTAAAATATTTTATAATTTTTTTAAAATCACTTTTAAATTGCCCACTAAACGCGCTAGATCGCGAGTAGTTGGCAACGCGGATCGATTCTGCCAGCCCCTCCAGCTGAATTGGTATTTTTGGCATATTCCAGACTGGTCACACTGCCCAGCCAGCAACAGCTGTTTCAGTAGAAAAAAATTCACGTAGCAATTTTGGCCACAAATTAACCGAATTTAATCGGATTTGTAAATATTCAGGGCAGAGTTTGTAATACGCAAAAATACCAAAACAGGAAAGAGTGGTTAGCCAGCCAATCGAAGAAACCAATTCTAACTTTTCAGAGAAAACACAAGTGCAGCCGTCTGGCAAAACAGTTGCCAAACCGAAACAGCGGTCGAAACAGTTGTTAAAGGGAGATAAAAAGTCAAAACAGCAGCAGCCGAGAAAGACCAGGAGGAAAACCCGTGCGGACTCGCAATCTTCTGGCCTTTCATCCCGCTGGTGTTCCATCGAGGAGCAGCTGAACCTCCTCGACGATCTGCTCTACTACTGCGATGAGGAGGCGGAATTGTATCTAGCACAGCTGTACGAAAGGTTCGATAGCCTCCGGCGCAGCAGGAGCAACAGTTGCAGTTCCTCCCCGGCCAGCGATTTCTGGAGCGACGAATCGGACATGGAGCACCACGACGACTCCAGCACCAGTGGCACTGGCAGCCACAGCAGCCTGGTTCCCGCCTCGCTGAAGCGTCGTGGCCACCAGCATCATCCGCGCTTCTCCGGCACCCGCCGCCCCAATGTGCCCAATGTCCAGGAGATCCTGGCCGCCCTCTATCGCGGCGACTCCAAGAGCGCCCTCTCCAATCTCAGGGGTGAAACGCAACCAGCAGCAGCGCCGGAGGAAGAGGCACCTGTGCTGCCCCCCAGCAGGAGCACTTTGAGCCTGCCTCTAAGCGAATCGGTGACCAATTCGCTGGGCAGCAACAGTCCCACGCCCACGGACGAGAGCAGCGTGCAGGATGAGGGTGCCAGCGTCTCCGTAGCCGAAGGAGCAGCCCCTCCGGCAGTTACAACCACAACGTCCTCCGCCAAGAGCAAGAAAAAGAAGCGGGAAAAGTCGGAGAAATCAGAGAAGTCGGAGAAATCGGAGAAGAAGAAAAAGTCGTCCGGCAAAAAGGAGCGCAGCAAGCGGTCCAATCCCATGGAGATGAGCAGCGACAGCCTGGCCACGGACATCAGTGGCGGTGCGATCGACGAGGGCATCGCTTTGGCGGATGACGATGACAGCCAGGCGGCCGAGTGGTCCAAATTAAGATGCACCAGCGAGGCGGCCGAGATTGTGGCGGAGCGGGAGGCGCGAAGGAACAAGGGACGCTGCGCAGATTATCCGGGATTGGCCTTTGGCAGATCCATCTTCAGTTCGGACACCATGATGAAGTTCAACATCATACGGAACGAGCTGCACAACATCATGAACACACAACTCAAGCGGGTAATTAGTGGTTCAGTCGAAATTTCGTTACTAATCACCTTTCTAAATCTTCTATATATTCCAAAATTAAGCGAAGAAGCCAACTCGTTGTTGTTGTTGCCGTGAAAGGGGACTCCAAAGTTTGGTTAGGTTCTAGTTCTTCTGCAATTGCTCCAATTTGTGGCTGCTTCTTTTCGCATTGCAAAGCGATTACGTCGTCGTCTTCGCCTTTTCGCGATTTTCTATCTGTGCCTTAACCCTTCGATGGCCCCAGGGTCTTTAGGCGGCCCTCGCGTTTTCTTTCGCTTTAGCTGTTGTAAATCTTGACCCACTTGGTTCATATTCACACCACTTATTTCTCTCACCTTTCACTAGGTAAATTGCCTAAAATCGATTTTATATATTCATATGAAAATCTCAAACTTTCCCATTCCCCGCGATAAAAGTATTCCATTAATTTGGGCAAATATGTTTACTTAATTGCGGGCAATTGTTTAATTAGTTACGCAATTGCTGGAATGCCTAACGGTACTCGCCGGCCACCTGTTGCTCTCCCTTTCCCTCGCCCAGCTGCTGTGCGGGTGGCAGAAAGAGAGCGTCCGATAAGACCGCTAAATGGTATTAGTGATATTTTTTTTGCTCAATTCTCAGTTTGCTGAAAAAGGCAAAACAATTTGAAAAACTAAAAGGAAAACCCGGCCATATTTGGCCAAAGCATAAAGCATGCGGCGCGCGACTTGCCAAAATTGGCCAGCAAATTAATTATTAAACGCCGATACTCGGCGACCTTCCCCCCTTATTTACTTTTAATTTCTCTTCAATGTCGCCCGGCTAAAAATGGACAAGCGCTCATTGTTTGCATTATCAAAACAATTACGCCATCGTCGGCGAGAAAAGTCGAAAAGTCGGGAATAATTCACCGAGCTACAGGTGGTTGACAGTTTCGAAAAAAGCGGTTAACATACCGATTAGTCATTACGTTGCGCTTACGTTGTTTGCTGATAAGCGTGATAAAGCGCCGGCATTGTGTTTTCCGTTTTCCGTAGTGGAAGCAATTAGTGGAATGAGTGGGAGGGGGGTGGGGTGCACAAGGAGGTGGGGGTCGTTGCGTTGGCACACACGCACACCTGCAAGCCACCTTGCCCGCTTACTCATCCCTCTGGCCATTTTACATGTCCGATTTTTGCATAATATTATTTGCCTGGAAATGACAAAAATCCGAAATATTTCTTCACTAATTAATGCCAAAACAACAACAATATCGACATGGACAGAATTTTAGCGGCTTTTAACAGGTTTTCCAGTCGCACACACGCACACCGTCGCACCGTTTTAGGCGAGGCAGACAGACTGGAAGACGGTAGCAGTAGTTGTCTCGCTCGCACAAACCACCACCGTCGCTTCGACGGCTCCACCGAATCCACCGAATGGAATCATTTCCAGTTACGTACTCGTTCGTCGCAGTCGCGTCGTTGTCTCTCTGCGTTCTCCGTGTGTGTTTTTGCCACCAAATAGCAATATTCAATATTTAAACGCAGCTCAATCTGTTTCCGAAGTTCGCTTGCCAGTTTTGCCACGAAATACTGCCCTTTAGATCGCAATCCAAGCCAGGAAAAAGGCAGTTCGAGCAAAAGAAAAACCGGTGGTTCACTGTGTTCAAGTGTGTGTGAGCTCTTTCGTTTTCTGTGTGTGTGTGTTCCGTTCTTCGAAGTTCCAAATTGTAAATTAAATTTGGTCTGCAGAGTGCTGCTTCTTCGGTAGAAAAAAAAACGAGCTCAAGTGTCCAAAGCACTTTGCCAGTTTAAACAAAAAACACCCACAACCTCTGCGCCGTAAAAGCAAAAAACCACAAAAATGACGACCAGCATTCCACAAGGCACTCTCTTGGACGTGCTGAAGAAGAAGATGCGCCAGACCAAAGAGGAGATGGAGAAGTACAAAGACGAGTGCGAGGAGTTCCACAAGCGGCTGCAGTTGGAGGTGGTGCGCCGCGAAGAAGTAAGCCAGCCACTAGATTCCCAGCTAATTTTGCTACCCTTGGTTTGGGCAACAAACGACTGCGTGACCTGTCTGTGAATTTTGCATAAATCCTACCTAAATGGAGGAAAAAAGACATTTCTTTCGCCCCCTCTCTCTCTGCCAGCGTTTTCATCGCCCTCCCGTGTGCGTGTGTGGGAGCGAGACAACACGCAAGTGCTTCAAACGACGGCGCTCTCTCTTCACTCTCCCTCTCTTAGCTGCTGTTCTTTCTCTTTGGTGGTTTTTCCAGTCTGGCTGTTGTTCTTTTCGTGATGAACGAATTCAATTTTCGGGCTCAGATACAGGGTGCTTCCCGCCCCACTTGACTTTTTTCGGTTAACTGTTCTTATCGCTGACCGAATTCATTCACCTTTCGAATTGTGTGTGTTATCTCCCGCTTGACGGCACACACTCGGGCATTAGCATACAAAACACACACTCCGCATATACACACACACACCGCCGCATTTACATAAGGCCAAAAAGGAGAAAGAAATCTTTTGTAAATTGAGCGATTCGGTTGGTCTTCTAGCTTTCTGCTTTCTCAGCGACAAAAAACCGGCTTTAAGTCCGGCGAAGAAGCCACATCGTTTAGCTAGCGGTGTTCTAAATTCGATTAATTATGATTTTTACGCCACGGCCATCAATAAGTGGTTTAATTCTCTTAATTCCTTTCCAGCTTTTGCCCGTTGGCACTGCCATGTTCCTAATTCAATTCTAATTAAACAATTCAGTGCGAGGGCTCGGGCTCCTTTGTGTTTGTTTGTTTGTTTGCTGGTGTGTGTATGACGTCATTGCCGAGGGAGAAGATTTTTGAATACAGTAGGAACTCCATAACGTTGCCACTTTCAATTCAATTTTATTTCAGTTCGCCTTGAGCGAGTTTTACTGTATTTTTCCGTTTAAATTCAAATTGATTTTGAATTTGAAAAGATTCTAAAGCCTGATTTCACTCCCTCGTTGACTTTTTTCCACGCTGCCAGCAAGTGATTGACGTTTCGCTTCCCTCTAAAAATAAAAGCTAAAACAAAACATAATTTGCTTTATTCCGGATTTCTATACAATGCTTTCAATGTCACTCTGCTCCGCTCTTTTCCCCCTTTTCCTTCGTTTTCCTTCATTTTCCCCTCGTGCAATTGAACGTTGATAATTTCAATGCGCGCATTGTGACAAATTGGTTTTGATTTGTGTGCTTTGCCTCTTGCCAGTTTCGTAATTCGGAGATTACAGCATATGACGCCATCGCTCCACCCTTTCCCCTCCCCTTTTCCCCACCACTTGCAACGGAAAAAATATTTTATGCTTGAGAGCATCGTCTTTAAAACAGTGTTTTACATTTTCATGGCTTATTTTTCGGTTCATAATTAAAAATGCATCATCACAATGAAAACACGCCCTACGTGTACCGCTCCAATAAGTCTTTCTTGTTGTTATTGTTGTTTTTTTTTCGGTTGCCACGGCAATAAAACAAAAAGAAGGAAAAACGAAAAACACGTAAATTTCAAGGTGTGTATGACTAAGCCGTCAACAATTTCTGGTACAATTTCTGGTACAATTTCTCGGCCACATTTTATGGACAGTTTCTTTCGGCATTTCAATTTTTTTTTTGCATTTTGCCGGTCATTTTTCATACATTCCACAACAATTGGGGGCCACACTCGACCATCTCCCTCTCTCTTTGAAACGTGTTCTGTCGCCGCTTTTCTTTGCCCACTGATTTTCCCCCCTCCCCCTGCGGTGGCCCGTTAATAAAGCGTTTAATCTTCAATACGTTTTGTTAATGAGTTCGAAAAAAAGAGTCGGCAAGAGGGAGACGACATGAGACTCCCGCTACAAAACGAAACCCAACTGGAATCCACTTTTCAACTTCTTTGCTTTGCTCTTCGTTGTTTCGGATTTATTTGGGAATACCCTTAAAAATGGGTATTTCCAGTTTGGTCTGATATTTGTAATATCTAACTGTCTTATTGATCGCAGCCAATTTATTTTGGTTTCCGTTAAAGAACTTTAGTTGCCATAGAAACAATTTATACAAAACTGTATAACTTAGTTGTTTAGAAATAGCAATTTCTAAAAGATTTATGAAGATTTGTAAAATCAAGGGTATAAAAACTTCGCTCTTTCCCTTTAGTTTTTATTTGATTTTTTGGCATTTTTCGTTGTCGCTTGGCTCTTGGTGTTCATCGGCGGTTTTGTTGTGTGACTTTCGTGTTTGGAAAGCTGCGCTGCCTGCTCCCCCAATTCGAAATGCTTTTTATCGCTCAACGTGTGTGTGTGTGTATTTCGTACGATGACGTAAGCCACACGGTTGGTTCCAATTCATAATCACACGATACTTTTACGACCCGCACTCACATCGCTCATTTGGTTCTAGGCGTCGTCAGTTGGTCAGTTGTTCAGTTTTTCAGTTGCTCAGTTAGTCATTCCATGTACATATCAGTAGCTCCACTATATCCATCTCTATCTCTATGCCCGGCACCATATCAGTCATTGGACATGGTTTTGGACATGGACATGGAACTTGGAACTGGCACCGGACTGCCTTGTCCAATTGCTTTTCAGCCGTTTTCGATTCAAAGTTTGATTCGACTTTAATTTTATATACTTTTTTCACCATTTTTGGGCGTGTGCTTTGCGCGTTGTTTTCGCTTTTCATCGTTTAACGTTCAGGGGCCTCTATAAGGTCATATAGCATCGAATATTTTCCGTTCTTTAATATGGGTAGATCTATGATTCTTGATGGTGGGAAAACTCTCGATTAAACTAAATCGATGACGTCATGGACCAGGAACCTTGTATTGGCTTCTTTTTGGAATTAATTGCCATATCAGATGGCGGTGTTGATGAACTTTTGTTTAACTTTGATGGCAAGTTTCGATTGCACTTGGCCAAAATAACACGCAAACATTTGGGGGGATTGTTTGACCTTGCTTCGACAACAACAACAACAACGAGGTGGAAAAAGGAAGTTTTCTTTACAGGTGGAAGCCACAAAAGAAAATCGGAACCAACGGTCGACTTTGTAGGGACCAAATTAGGTTTACCATTCTAAGTACTCTGAAAAAGTGGGGGTTTAAGAGAGCGCAAATGCAGGATAATAGCAGTCATGTTTTCCCAAACCAAAGATAGCTAAATTATAATTAGAAGTTACCCAAACCAAAAGTAGCAAATATTTATGTGTATTTCTTGCCTAAAAAGCACTAAGTTTAGTACCCTAAGAAGTAAATTAAATATTAAGTCTTTAGCGATAAGTTTTAGCGAATGGATATTCTACAACTGGTTCTTTCGACCATCGAACGTTATTCTTATAGGCCGAATCCGAGGTTGCCGCTCTGAACCGTCGCATCCAGTTGCTCGAAGAAGACTTGGAGCGCTCTGAGGAGCGTCTGGGCTCCGCCACAGCCAAGCTGTCGGAAGCCTCTCAGGCCGCCGATGAGAGCGAACGGTTAGTACCACCTTTCCACCCTATGTCCATGCCCCATAACCCAATCTATACCCCCACTGTACCCCGATATGTAAAATACTCTTTAAGTTTACAGAGAAATATTTAAGTTCGAGTTACAATTGTATATCTTTAACCGTATCTGTATATCATTCCGCATTGCTGCGACAAATATAGGATACGAAAAGCGCTTGAGAATCGCACAAATATGGAAGATGACAAAGTAGCTCTCTTGGAGAACCAATTAGCACAAGCAAAATTAATTGCAGAAGAAGCTGATAAGAAATACGAAGAGGTATAGTCTACATATAAATTACTTGCGGAAATTGGTCTCCGCTTTAGGGCACTAGGGTTATTAGGTTCTGCTCCTTGAGGTTAGGTTCACCTGGTCAACATTTGCGTTACTAATTAGGTTTTGGGTCTTTTTCTCTATCTGCGCTCTCTATTTTCTAATTTCTACCTAACCAACTCTGCAACGACGACGTTAATTGTCGTTATAATAATGGTCACTTTTATAATGATGATGTATCTAAGTTAGCTTGTAAGATTCTCTGTAAACAGCGTTTAGTTTGCCCAGTTCAAAGATGTCGACCCGCCGCTGGAACTGGAACACGCCGTGGATGCTCTAAATTCTTGTAAAAATATTGTAAAATGAACAGCATGTCCTACATAAGCTTATGGTAGTCTATTAGTCAAATGGCTGTGAAACAATTATGTTTAAAAATAGATGAAAAGATCCCCCAATGTTTGTGATGAGACGAAGCTTAAAGAGTGTTTGGTTCTTGGCTTAAATCAATTCTAGTTGGCTTAATGAACTGCCAGTAAATTCGTTGCATATCAATTTCGCTTTCAGGAAGCCAAACATTATTTAAGCTTCTAGCTTAACCCCTTTGTCTCCCCTAGTCTCCCCCTTCCCACTGTAAAATACTTGTTAATTAAGTAGACAAAATCCGAATTGTTAACTCAACTGGCAACAACAAATTTCTGTCTCTTTTTACAACAACAACCACGACAACTACAATCAAACTTCCAATATTCACAAACCAAAAATGTATCTCTAAATGTGAACGTTTGTGTAAAACATCTGTTTGTCATAACAATTGCAACAACCACAACAACAACCACACTGAACACGCAACGATGTGGACGATGACGTCGAATGAATCACTTGAAACCTTTTCGGCTGTACCAACTGCAATTCCACTGGGGAACGGCAAATCATCGCTAACCACTTGGTCACTGTCTTCTATGGGCATGGTCGTCGCAACCGATGGGGTCTCTATATATGTATATATGCGCTATATCATATAGTGCTCGCAAGATTCTTGAGAACCGCGCCCTTGCCGATGAAGAACGCATGGACGCTCTTGAGAATCAGCTGAAGGAAGCGCGTTTCCTTGCTGAGGAGGCTGACAAGAAATACGATGAGGTGCAGCTAAAAACCAATTTGTCTTCTATTAAGCTAAGCAACAATAACAACAACAGTAACAGTAACAATATCAATATAAATATCAGTAAATCAGAGTTATGTAATGCCAGCGATATTGGTGGCACCAACAACAATAACGCATCCAGAACTATTGCATCTGCTGCTGTTGGTGAAGAGACTTCCACCTTGTCCTCCACAAGCCACGAACACAACAATAATCCCAATAACGACACCTGATCTGGTTCCTTTGTCAAGCGGATATCGAATTGAATTGATTAAGGGTTTTTCGCCCCTGAAACTTGGCACAGGAATCAGCCAGAGTGTTGATGCAAAACTTGTGCTTACAACGATGATTAAGAATGATGCTTGAGGGCAGCTATAGCTTAGATCTAGACCTAGATCATGCACCGCCCGCCCGCCTGACAATATGCAATATATATACGTGTATAGATGATGATGATGATAATGATGTATTAGTCGATGTACATACAATGTAAATCCAATCCAATGAAATTTTGATTGTAACGTGTGAACAAATCCCCCGGAAATTGGAGACGGCCCTAGCAAAGGCCGAAGCTTTTTCCCCCGAGTGTCTTTTAAATTGTAAAATACCAATAGCACTATGTAAAGTAATTGTTAAGCGGTCTATATGATGTCCACAAGTACTCTATTAATTGTACTCAATGCTCTTCCATGTGAAAAGGCTTGAAAAGCATATCGCCACTGAATTGATTGTTTAAACTAAAGTGTAATTGGGTTAGTTTCTTGACTTTTTTGTTTATTTCCATTCGATTTACGTATTTGTAAAGAAAATGTAATTTATACTCACGTTATAATGCATAAAGCAACACACCTTAAAATTATAATTAACCCAAGGAATTGTCTAATTTTGATTAATATTTTTGCAAATTAATGTTTATATAACATATTATATACAAACAAAATATATGAATACAAATATATAAATGCAGCATAAAACTAATTTGATATTATTGACCAATGAAAGGGAGCAGATAATATTTGGTTACTTCTCTATTGTTGTACATTTTTAGCTGGGGTTTTGAGTCGTGGGATTGATATTGTGGTTAAGGTGAAGTAATTATGAGGTTGTATTATTATTAGGAAGTTCCTTATAATTCAGACTTAATTTGATAGAAATACCTTTAATCTACTTTACAGACGTAATACTTTTTAACAGGAGAAATGCTAAAAGCGCTAAATTAACTCATTAAGATCTAAATGCCATATATCAAGGATTGGATCTAGGGCTTAGGTTTTGATTGATGAACAGCCTATCTGAACCTACAAATAAAATCGAAAATGTCATGCCTAACTGCGAGGTAGAAAGGTTTAGCTTTTCCCCATTTTAGTAAAGTTTGCCTCACCCAATCCAGAGAGGGTCTGAATGCCTACGTGTTTTGCTCGTCAATCAGATCGAAGAAATAAACCAACTGATAAACTGCATTGGCAGATAAGCCCCCGTTCTTTCAGTATTGTTTTTCGCCTTGCTTCCTTATCTTTTCACAGAAACTAAGGCAAAGCCAGCGATTGTATAAAAAGTGCGAAAGCATGAGAATACAAAATGGAACCCATAACTGGGACAAAGAGGGAAAAAGAGTTTGTTTAACTGGCGGCGATAAGAGAAGGCCGCTCCCCGAATGGTGGGGATACTGACTGGATTCGAGTAGATTTCGCACGCCCGCAGCCCGAAAACAGTGGGCCATGACATAAGCGCCTAAAAACTTGGTTGCCAAAACGATCGATGATGAATCAAGCGAGAGGGGATCACTTGACCCTCAGACGATGGCCGATGGAAAGTGCCGTGAGTCAGGAGCAAGAAATGTGCGTGGAGCACATTACGTGTTTCCATCTGCATTCGTTATCTTTTCCCGTTTAAAAGATCTGACGACACTTTAGTCACATGGCCACGCTTTGTGCATTGTCTTTTATGATTCATTGGTATCTTTAAGAAATACTGGAAGTTTCATATTAGCATACGGCACGGCAAAGCGAAAATTAAAATTAACTTTGGTTAGCATGGCAATTAAAATCAATAGGCCCTAACCCAACATGGGCTAAAGCAGTTTCCACAATGTTTTTAGAATTTTTGGTCAAAATGTCTCAGTTAACTGGTTTTGGAATACTATAGTTTTAATGAGATAATAGGAAATAGACAATCAGTGGATAGTTTCTGTATATGGTATACAATATACGGTATTGTTAAATCTAACATCTTTATGATCTTAATTTCTGATGGTAAAGATTTGCTTTCAAAGACAATAGTTAATTAATTTTCGTTATTATGGGGATTACCTTAATTTTATCCAGATTTAATGGTTAGTCCAAAAGAAGATGTACAACAATTTTGAAAGTTAAAAATATTAAAACAACTCCGAAACTCATTTTATGCGATCAATACAGCTTGAGTACAACAAAGAAGAGTATGTGTGGATAAGAAAGGCATTAGAGGCCCACACGATAAGCACAAGTTTTAAGGGATAACAAACTGAAAACAAGAAAATAACAATAAACTACACAAATTGTTTTGTTATTACTAAATTACGCTAAGGCACCACACAAGACCATAAAAAAACATTTAAAATCTCATTAAAATCTAATGAAAAACTTCACCTAACGCTTTTTATGTTACTTCACTAAACGAAATCTTTGTAAAAAACATGAAATTTAATACATTTTCTATATGTTCTCCTGTATTACCCGACGTTCCTTGTATATTTTATCAATCAATCAACACTCAATCAATGAATCGATATGTAAAATTGTATGAGAAAAGGTTGCCCGTAAATTGGCCATGGTTGAAGCCGACTTGGAACGTGCCGAAGAGCGTGCCGAGCAGGGTGAAAAGTACGTTATAAGTCCAAATTATATCTATATTGTTCGAATTGTTCGCAACCCGTTTGTTGTGCCTAATAACGAAAAAAAAAACAATGTTGAAACTGCCGCAAAACAACCTAACCTCATTAAAACCAAAAAAAAAAACAGAATATTTTTGCATTTCCCCTGTTCAGTTTAAATTTTGATTTTGTTCTTGATTTTCTAGCTAGCTAGCTTTTGCCTAGATGTTTATAATGTTTGGTTAAAAATGTGAATATCCTAGATAAACCACCTAATGTTGTCTATAATAAAAGCATGTTTCATCTCAAATAGTTTAGACCAAACAAAAAGCACAGAGCAGCTAAAGCAAAGAGGTGAAAAGTTCTTTAAAAACGAATTTCTCCCAGTCCCGCTGGGAATAAAACCCCATGGTTCTGGTGCAAAGCGCGGTGACCTCAGCTTGAGGTGGGAAATAAGGCTGCAATGACCTGAAGTTGCAGGTCAATGCGCTTTATAAACCGCTCCCCAAGATCGGTGAACGTTGCACAGTGCAAAACGAAACTGGACGGAGAATTTTCACCTTTTTAGCCCAACTGCTCTGTGGCCATGAATCATGATGAATGAAACCAGCACAGTATTCACATTTTTTGCCAATCTGCAGCTTTAGCCAGACACGAAACTAATCTTGAAAACCTTTTTTCTATGCCATCCATAACCCATGCCAAAACCACAACCAAAACAAAAAATGTGTGTGTACTTAACACAATGCTAACACCTTGCCACACCCCCGCTACGCCACGCCCACTGCCCACTGCCCTGCCGAAAAAGGTTGCCAGAAAACTCGTGCTCATGGAACAGGATCTGGAGCGTTCCGAGGAGAAGGTCGAGCTCAGCGAAAGGTTTGTCCCCTGCCAAGCCCCCATCAGCCGGCCATTCGATGTCTTTTTGTCTACTAACTGCATTTGGTTAAATATAATCCACGTTCGTTTCTTTGCAACGCGCAACTTGAGCCCGAGATAGCCAAATATTTATTTATAATTTCCATAGTTATAAATAACCAAAAACAGCAAGTGAAATCTTTTGAGTTGCCGTCCCAAAAACAATTGTTATTATTACAAAAATATTTGCCAGACCTTCGCATCATGATTTGACGGTTTCTCGTCTCTCGGCCAACTCAACTCAACTTAACTCATCGCCTCCATTGGCAGCAGTCACAAGATCTTTTTCGAAAGTGAAGTGTTGTCAACTTGGAGAGTTGGTCAACCGTTTTTTTTTTGGCATTGCTTGGGCATAAATTGCGCTTGAAAGAAACCCTTATATTTAACAATTGCATGAGTTGTGCTATTCTTCTTGACTCCCAGTTATTGGACAACTATTTAATTATCAACTTTTCTCTATCATTTACCCTGCGTGCCAACAGCAAAATTGTGGAGCTTGAGGAGGAGCTGCGCGTGGTTGGCAACAACCTGAAGTCCCTGGAAGTCTCTGAGGAGAAGGTCAGTATCTCTATATGTTGACTAACTATATGCTTAAATTTGATATACCATATAAACATTCTTAAATATTTAAATTGAATTCCCATATTCCCGAAACCCCTGAAACTCCCCACGAAATGAACAAACAACAACGACAACAAATATAGGCCAACCAACGTGAGGAGGAGTACAAGAACCAGATCAAGACCCTGAACACTCGTCTAAAGGAGGTAGATACGAAACGAAATAGCCAAGCCTGGTACCAAAAAGTGGCCCAAAAGCAAAGAGAGCTTCCCAGCGAACCGAGTGTCCAAACCAGCGAATATATATACCTATCTTTTGTTGTTGTTTCTCATTTTGTTTGTTTAACCTAATACCAAATATGGAGGGGTATTCGAGACAATTGCCCCTTCCAAAGATGAAGAATTCTTCAACTGTTTCGTACTAATTCCTCAAAAATGTCTACCGACATGATATTTGTTTTACAGATCAAGCAAAATACCCCTTTGCCATTTTTACTAATTTATATTTTCTGTTCTTTCTTTTTTCATATATATTTTGTTTGTTTAAATGTTGCCGCTAAAAATGCCAATACCCGATTCTAATTTGCGCACCTGCTGGATGTTTACCACCTATACAAACTGATTTGTTCTTGCATGAATAATTTATTAATTTATGTTCGATAATGCTTATAACATAAACCCAATCGCTTGCCAACACTGAACACCAAAAACCGCCCGTAGGCCACACAAAAAGAGGAGACCTTTGAGACGCAAATCAAAGTATTGGATCATTCTCTAAAAGAGGTATTACGACAGAGTCGAACTTTATAAAATATTTGTAAGCTGTGGTCTCCCTCGGTAAAACTGTGGTGTTGGTTAATCCGCTGCTAATATGCGAATTCCCTTGAGCTAACTTAGTTTAAGCACTAAAAACTAAACAAAAAAGAAAATATTGAATTGCACAAATCGTTATTCTCAATTTTAAATTTACTGTACATATTCGTCAATTCGACATTTAATATTTTCTTTTATGTGAAAACAAAAACGCTTTGTGAAAATACAGCAAATGAAAGCGGAATACCACAAGTTATGAGTTTTAGATCAATAGATCGATTTCGTTATAGAGCGTACATCATGGGCAAGTATTTCTGTGAACCATTCTCTCGCATAAGACGTGTGTGTGTACATTTGTTCAAAATTGAAAACAACTTTTTGTGCATTGATTGCAAGTGAGAAAAACGAGTAAAAAAGCCAACCCATTGAAAATGAAGAGTTTTCCAACTACAATTTACAATTTACCATTCCTAAAGCTATTGCCTGACTAGTGGCGAAAGAATTAATTCTCGCTAAGTAGAAGATCAAAATTAATTCAAAAAGAGATGATTATTTCGGTAGATATTTTATAAGACCCTTTAAAAACTCACACCCATGCAACAACACACACACGCACACACAGCCACCCAATGTACGTGAAATTGATCTATTGCCATAAATTATAATTTGTTGTATTTTCCTCGACGTCTAGGCACGCGTCAATCAAAAATATTACGAACAGGAGCTCATACAGTTCAAGTTAAATGTAGAAGCTGTAAGTCGCCGCAGATTAATGGGCGTAGAGATTATAGATTCCGTCGAATTGCGATCTTAACAGCATTTTCTGTTTCATGCAGTGACTGCGTAGCCTCCACCAGTAATCGTTGCTCTTATCATTCCCTTAATGACATTTAATTTGTCTGATTTAGGTTTTATCTAAAAACCCTAAATACACAAGCGTCAGCAGTTTGTAAGCATTCTAGTTGAATAGAAAAACCGAATTAGTTTCTAAGTTGTTTATTTGAATGTTTTGTTAATCTCTACCACATATATATATAATTTTATTAACTAGTTTCATTTGTCATTGTTATCGACTAATGTTCATTTCTCACGTACATTTTATTTAGTAAGTTTTTCTGCTGGTTTTGGTAGCATATTTGGGAAGCTTCTTGGCTTAGTGAAATAATCGGTTGAATTTAAATTCTGAATGGATTGTGATAATGTGGCATTCAGAACTTAAGTTTAGCAGTCGGTCAAGAGATGAAGGAATGCATATGTTTCTCTTCCAACTCTTGCCCGCTGTGGTAGCCACTTTTTGTTGCTTTTTCTCTGCCGGAAACTATATATTTTACTAACTCAAAATTTGTATCTCTTTCCCTCCTCCAATCAACCAAAAGGCTGAGGCTCGTGCTGAGTTCGCTGAACGTTCCGTTCAGAAGTTGCAGAAGGAAGTCGACAGGCTCGAAGGTATGTCCGTCAAAGATTTTATTCAAATTTTACTAAGAATGTAGGAGAAATGGCTCAGAAATAGACAATTATTAAAATCTATGTAGCAGTATTTCAAATTAAAGTACAAGATCATAGTAACATGCAAATGTTATTGTTGTTTATTATGCATTTATGATTTATACAACTATAAGTAGGATCAAAATTAATTTCCTTACTCCAAATCCAGTACCAATTGTTATTTAGTGAACTTTATGTACCTCGATTTTTATTTCATTTATCTGTTTATGCAATATTTTATAATTTGATTTTCTTATTGTTTACTTTTCATATATAATTTTGTTGTTGTTGTTATTGTGCTTAACAAAATACAACTTGCGCTGCTTGCTAAACCAATTGTTGCATGACCTGCCCCGCCCTGCCCTCCAAAATGACAATCAAAACGAAAAATCGCAGATGACCTGCTCAACGTGCGGGGCAAGAACAAACTGCTGCAGGAGGAAATGGAGGCCACCTTACATGACATACAGAACATGTAAACATCTAATTTGCTTATGTGAATTAACTAAACTGCCTGCTTTGACGTCAAACAAAACAACAACACCCACGCACACAAAACTGGCGCTTTCCATATTTAAATACTAGAGAACACATCTCCACAACACCCACGCCACGCCCACCACCCACACGAGACAAGATCCAAGGACGCCGAGTGTCTTCCATGCGGATGCGAAAGCCATCTTCGAACGCCAAGCAACGGGAGAGTTAATCAAAACTAGCGTTAAACACACTCTAAACATAAACATAAACTCAATGAAAAGCAGACGGACGGAAGGGCAGAAACTAAAGCAAAACATTCTCGTAGCAAGCGCATTCCATATACGATTTCCAAATCCATTTCGATTTTTTCGATTGACTGGCAGCTAGCGCCATTTTACTAAACTGTTGCAATACAATTTCGTTGAATCAAATCAAATTTAATTGTAGCCTTGATTTTACCATTTTACCATTGCTTTTGCTACCCCTTACCTTGTTTTGTTTTACTTTAAATACCTTAAATTATACTTGTACTTTTGTATTTGATGAGACGATGACAACTTGGACAAAACACGCATTGCCGCCTTCTTTTTAGTTTACGTGTATTAAAATAGAGAGACAAACAATCGCTGTTATTTATATTTAAAGAGTAAATTCTATGCTAAAACTTTGTATTTTGTCGCCAGCTTAACTGTATTAATAATATGCTAATGTTTACCTTGTTTATACATTATTTAAACAAATTGTCGTGTTTGCAAAACGTTGTGTAATATTTGCCTACTTTTAAGTTGCCGCCACGCCTACCAATCAACACCAACTACTACTCTTTCGATAGAGATTCCAAAACGAAAAGAAAAACAAAGACAAAAGACATTTAGCTGAAGCACTTCATTCCAGACCTTTTATTTAAAAAATAAAACGAAAACCAATTTCCATACACTAACCAATCTTCTGATTCTGAATACACCGTGACACCCAAACGAGAAGAATGCTGCAACAAGAAATGGCATTAAAAATTCTAATTCGATCTATTTACGATTTACATAAATTAATTATTTATACTTTAATATATACCTATACAATACATATACTATACAATACATACCATGCTGCTGCAATTGCACAAATAAAGTATTTTTTCGAAAAACGTATGCCCTGCCCATCGATATCGATCGTCCAGCGTTTAGTGTCAGCCCCATCCCTGTGTGTTCCACCCACATTTGGCCACCACTGGAGGTTCTATCGCCCTGCTCTCTCTCTCGAATCTGCTCTAATCCGACTTTCTAACCCCTTGAACCACCACCAAACCACCAAATCACACCCATCCGCCATGCCAGACGAGATGATCAAAGAGATAGAGCACTACGCCCTCGTCGGCGACCAGCTGGACTGGACCTTCGTGGAGATGATGGGCATGCCGCCCTTCTACAACGAGCGCTACCCGAAGCCACCCACCCCGGAGCTCACCGAGGAGGAGAAGGCCGCCCTGGAGGCCGCTGCCCAGGCGGCAGCCGAGGCCAAGGCCAGGGCCGAAGAGGCGGCTGCCCGTGGCGAAGAGGCTGCAGCCGAGGGCGAAGGCGGTGCAGTGCCGGCGGAAGGCGCTGCTCCCGGCGAACCTGGAGCGGCACCAGCCGAAGCCGCCGTGGAGGCCCCGGTCGAACATGTCAGGACTCCGACGCCACCACCGCCACCACCATTCGAGTACTCCATCGATCTGCCGCCAGAGGGTGCCGAGGTGCCATACGTCAGGAACGCCGAGCCGGGTGACTTTGCTCCTCCGGCAGAGGCACCACCAGCAGAGGGAGCCCCACCCGCAGAGGGAGCCCCACCAGCAGAGGGAGCACCACCAGTGGAAGGAGCACCACCAGCGGAGGGAGCACCACCAGCTGAGGGAGCACCACCAGCAGAGGGAGCACCACCGGCACCAGCTGCTGAGGGAGAAGCCGCCGCTGCTCCTGCTCCACCACCGGCTGAGGGAGAGGCTGCTCCTGCAGCTGCTCCTGCACCAGCTGAGGGCGAAGCACCACCAGCACCACCTGCCGAAGCAGCTCCCGCCGCTGAAGCACCTCCAGCTTAGAAACCCAGAAAATGTTTTATTGCAATCAGTGAAAATAGATCAAAGGATCTCTAGAAGGATCTCGGCGTTCAAGAACTGGCCAAAGTGTTTTCCTTTCACTAACTATTCAAGTCCTAAACTCCCAAATAATATACTTACTTATCCGAAAAATGTAAATAAGATATGATGTATATAATTCGAAATTTGTTCACTGGTCTTATAAGAATGTTATTTCGGTGTCTAGGATTTGTGAACCCTTTCGCTTGCTCCCCATCATTTCCCTCTGTGCCCCTCCCTCAGCTTATTCAAGTTTAATTTTTAGTTTACGCTTCTATCCTCCTTTCACGCTTTATTTTATTTCTCTCTCCATCGCTTGTATTGCCTTTCACACAAACATCTTCGCATACCGATCGCGATCGCGATAACCAGACGATCTAATCGTTGAAAAAGAGCGCTATTGCCTGATTGGCGACAGCCTGGACGAGGCCTTCGTGGACCTGATTGTGGGCCTGGAGCCCTTCTGGAATCCGCGCAACCCCAAGCCGCCGACGCCCAAGCTGCCCACGCCCACGCCCGAGGAGCTGGCCGCCATGGAGGAGGCCCGAGCGGCAGCAGAAGCCGCCGCAGCGGCCGAGGCGGAAGCGGCAGCCGCTGCCGCAGCCGGCGAACCCGGAGCAGAATCGGGCGAGGGCGGAGCACCCGGAGAGCCGAAGGCACCGGAAAAGGAACCAACGCCGCCCAAGGAGCCCACTCCTCCGCCACCACCACCGCCGCCATTCGAGTACTCGATCGATCTGCCACCAGAGGGAGCCGAGGTGCCCTATGTCAAGAACTACGAGCCACCACCACCCGGGTCCGAGCCAGAGCCAGTGGCTGCCGTTGAAGGAGAGGCTGCTCCGGCGGCTGAGGGTGCAGCTCCTCCGGCAGAAGGTGCTGCTCCACCAGCGGAAGGGGCTGCTCCTCCTGCTGAGGGTGCCGCTCCTCCAGCGGAAGGTGCTGCTCCTCCTGCTGAGGGAGCTGCTCCTCCGGCGGAAGGTGCCGCTCCTCCAGCCGCCGAGGGAGAAGCTCCTCCGGCTGAAGCTGCTCCTGCTGCCGAAGCACCAGCCGCGGAAGCTGCTCCCGCTGAAGCAGCCCCCGCAGAAGCGGCTCCCGCTGCTGCCGAAGGCGAGGCACCACCAGCTTAATCCCCGCTCAGAAAATCCCCGACAGGAACTGCTGCACATCGTCGAAAGAAAAAACCACTGCCACATAATGCTGACCTGCTTTTAAAAACTTTAATAATACGTTTTCGAAAACAATTTTTATTATTTTATTTTAAAATAACACAAAACGAAATTGAATTAAAAATTCAGTTAACGAAAGCATTGTAAAAACCGAATGCTGCTTTTTTTTTTCGTTGTTCTTGCTACCTTTTTATTTATTTAAAATTAACAGCTAGCACAACCATGCCGATTTTGCGAACTCAACTGCTGGCTTTTTTATTTATTTTGCCCCAAAAGAGGTAATTATTATCAGTTTATGTCGAGTTTTTAAGTTTAAGTGTGAAGGTCTCAGTTTGTGTCAGGTCTTAAGTGTAATTTTAATTATTTCTTATGCACTTTTATTAATTTCGTTCCTTACTCTTGCGTTCTTTTATGATTTTCCACACATCAACTTGAACAGACGACCTTGTCCTGGAGAAGGAGCGCTACAAGGATATCGGAGACGATCTCGACACCGCCTTCGTCGAGCTCATCCTCAAGGAACAATAAGCGATCCGACCTTGACGGCCCCTCGACCTCAGACCAAAATCGATCCGCACTTCTACACATTTGCCGGCACACCTTTCGATTGTTTTTACTGTAGCATAATCGTAGGCGCACTGTACTCGTAGTATTTAGTAGCCTCTCTACTCTTGATTTGTGTGTTTGTAGATCAATATAGTTTGTAGATTGATTTTGACTGCGGACCAATAAGAGGAAGCATCGAAACAATTGTGTATTTGTTTGACTCAAACGTTTTTATTTATTATTTGTATCCAAACTAAGCAATAAAGCAATCAACTTGAAAATATAAATCCTGATACATTTGCCATCTTTATTTCGTTTACTTCCGCTGCAGACGAGGTGAGCAAAGGTAAGGAAAAGTACAAAACCATAGCCCAGGAACTGGAGTACGCCGATCTGAACAACTACTAGGGAGCGTAAATCCCCATCCACGAGGAAAAGGAACAGCAACAGCCAGAACAACAAATGCAGCCTGCGATCTACAACAAAACATAAACTACAAAAAATGGAGTCTGAAAGCATTTCGACGTCCAATTTACAAATTATTTTTAGCATTACACTTCTTCGCCTAAGCATTCCAAAACAAATTTTCTTACATAAATAAGAGCAGAAGTGTTACCATAAAGTAATTTTTTAGCAATTGTTTAATACGATTTATAAGAGTTGTATAACGAAAAAAACGCTGCCATTTTCCTCAAAATCACATTCCCGCTCGAAAAAAATATCTGTAATTTTTAAATACCAAAACCCCAGAAAGCCCACCAGTCAATATCGTACATTACCATCTGCATAGATCTCAGAAAAGCTTGAGCCAAAGTCAATTTTCCCCTTAATTTCCGTTGCTTGTGTTTCTTGGCAGTTCGCGAATTGTATCTACAAAATTTCTATGGCCTTTATATAAGATTAAACAACAAAACAAGAATATATTAATATAGAATATATAAAGGAAGACGTATAAATTAAATTTACACATTTGACATAGCTTTTGTAATTCTATGAAACATGCAAATCAAATAAAACAATGTATGTATTTTTATTTACCACTCAATATTTTTATGATCAATAAACTGAAACCATTCTTTTGCATATAAAAACATCTGGACTTTTTATTCTAACGGTTGGGTTATATCGAGGACAGTGGCGGTATCCAGATTTGGTTATGGGGGTTTGGAGAAAAACTTTTTGTTGCATACTTTTTGAACGCCACGGGCTTCAACGTAGACGATGTTGAAAAACCGAATGCGATAAAAATTAATAGATGACTTTGTAAAAAAGCTTGTATATCTGAAATATTACTGAAATTATTACCACCATACAGTACATCCTGTGATGTGACTTCAAAATATTTTGAATTCTTTTTTTCGAATTCACCAGAACTTTATTGTTTCCACAGCGACATGGAATAAATACAGTAGAAAGACACGATTTATGTTGTCATAACGATTGATTTTATATTTCCTAATTAAACCTGAAAACTTTTCGTGCCAATCTCTAATAAAAATGTTGAGAGAAAGTAAAAAGTTGGGAGTCAGAAGTTGTGTCTGCATGGGAACGCAGGAAGCTAATTTTAAGTATTTTAAATTATGAGAAATAAATCATTTGTTATTAGTATTGGGTTTTAATTCAGGCGACTTTTATTGGGGATCAAATCTCTTCCAAAGAATAAATATTTTCTTTTTCAATTAAGAAACTTAAGCTGTTAAGCTGTTCCTCTTAATCAACGTCAGGCACCATTAAAACCAAATACATATTTTTTTTGTATTTTGTGTTCCATTTTTTATTTTAGGAAAAACGGTTACGTCATTAAAAAGGAAAGACAATAAGAAAAAGCTAAACTAAGAACAACAATGGTAAAAGGTTAATGTTTTGTTGTTTATGTTTGTATCTACATTATGAATAATTAAGTATTATAAAGAATTATGTATGAAAATATTTTATAATTAGCAATATCAATTAATAAAAGAACGTATAGTTAAATATTATTATAATTTTTTGTGGAAAAAATCATATTCGTTCGCAACAGGTTCTAAATAGTTATATTTAAAAAGCCATCAAAGGCAGGTTTTACTCCTAGGATATAACAAAAAAAATTATGCTTATAGAAATCCCCTGCACTGGACA